ATTTTAGTGCCACTGGATCACTTTCACTCAGACCCCATGGAAAGCCCAAGCGTGCACATGTGCACAGATGTGAGCACACTTTCTCACCGCAGGTGGGTGGGGAGCGAAGAAACCATAGATAATGGTGCACATGGTACTTGCTCAAATTTCCCAGTTCCTACAGTATCAAAAAGTTTGGTGACCCTTGCAATGTGCTCTAGAGGCTACTTGGAAACTGCAGCTAATGCAAAATGCAGCAGCACAGCTATTGCATAGAACCACTAGTAAAGAGTTGCACTGCAGTAGTCCTTCAAGGACAGCACTTTGTGCCAGTATGTTTCCAGTCTAAAGTCAAGGCTTTGCGACACAGAAAAGCCTGAACAAGTTGGGACCTTCTTACCTGAAGGAGTACCCCACTTTGGCTGGAAGTTAAGCAGCTCCACAGTATAGAGGATGCAACACACAGGTGGGCCTTCTCCATGGCAACCAGTCTTTGAACTCCCCAACCCTTGAATTCACACTGGCCTCTTATGTTGCTGTTGAACAGAGGCTTTTGGAAATTGGTGTTCAGTTGAGAATTATGTCTCCTGTTCTACTTGTTCGTGATTTTTATTCTGTGGTACTGTTTTATTGAAGTGACTGTTCCCCAGAGATCTTGAGATTAAGGGGCACAATAGAAGTATTTTAGATCAATTTTTAAAGATGCCGTTAGGAGCACAGATACAGAGAAAAAACACTTATGCACCTATGATGGGACGGCATCAAAGTAAAACAATTCTGCATTGCAGTGTTGCATAGTCAGCCAGCTTTTGGTCCCAGACCTGATGTTAACATTGCTCTCAGCTTAAAACAATCGGAATCCCTTGTTGCACCATAAAGAACTAGCATCAGTATTGCCAACAGCAGCTCGGATGGAGGCAGCTAGATGGTTGAAGGCCGCAGAAAGGCCCCAAAAAGAAGGGTGGTGGGTCAAATTATACGACGTAGCTTCCTTGGAACACTTAATCCATCAGAAATGTAGCAGAACATGGTCATGTTTGATACGATTGTCATTCATCAGCTTTAATTAAGAGAATTAACACCTCCTATCGGTGCCCAATGGGACGCAGGTGGCACTGTGGGTTAAACCACAGAGCCTAGGACTTGCCAATCAGTGAGAGCCAGTGTGGTGTAGTGGTTAAGAGCAGTGGACTCGTAATCTGGGGAACTGGGTTCGTGTCTCCGCTCCTCTACATGCAGCTGCTGGGTGACCTTGGGCCAGTCACACTTCTTCGAAGTCTCTCAGCCCCACTCACCTCACAGAGTGTTTGTTGTGGGGGAGGAAGGGAAAGGAGAATGTTAGCCGCTTGGAGACTCCTTCAGGTAGTGATAAAGCGGGATATCAAATCCAAACTCTTCATCAGAAGGTTGGTGGTTCAAATCTCCGCAGCGGGGTGAGCTCCCGTTGCTCGGTCCCTGCTCCTGCCAACCTAGCAGTTTGAAAGCACGTCAAATTGCAAGTAGATAAATAGGTACCGCTTGGGCGGGAAGTTAAACGGCGTTTCCATGCGCTGCTCTGGTTTGCCAGAAGCGGCTCAGTCATGCTAGCCACATGACCCGGAAGCTGTATGCCGGCTCCCTTGGCCAATAAAGCGAGATGAGCGCCGCAACTCCAGAGTCGGTCACGACTGGACCTAATGGTCAGGGGTCCCTTTACCTTTTTATCGGTGCCCAGTGACTCACATCGTGCTATAGCGGGGATGGCTCTTGGTGAGACCATTATAGTATTGTTATGAAAATTATGTACTTGGCAATTTCCAGTTGTGCCAAAGCTGGAAATCTTGGTAAGAATTCTGCCATGCTGCTGTTTTCTTAATGTTTTGGCAAAAAAAAACCTGATAAAACTTTGGGGGGAAAGAGCACACACAACTAAACAACAGAAAACCTTTTTGTTGCTTGTATGCTGCTTCTGTATTGAAACCAAGTGGCTTATGTTAAAACAGACAAGATAAAAAGTTAATATATCTAATAGAATAAAGCCTGGCAGGAATTAGTGCAATTAAAATGACAACAGGAAACAAACAATTCCAGCCAATGGAGCTAAACCCAACTGGCAATGTTATTACGACTGAAACTGGAATAGATGCAGCCTTTGATAAAGCAGTGGTCATAGGTCTTTAAGCCCCTGTGTAGCACAGGTAGTTCCACTGGAGACAGGTCCTATGGTCCCTTGTTATTTTTGGAGCCTCAAAATACCACCACGGTCAAGCATTCTGGGTCAAAGCAGACACTACATATTGGTCTGGTTTTGTTTTCATGGGGGGGGCTTGTAATGTGTGTCAGCTTGCAAATTTAGGACACAATTACTAAAGACCACCCTGAGATTTAAACATTTTTATTGACTAGTTAAAAGCATTTTGTTAATCCATCATTGTATTATAAACACTGAGATAGTTCAAAACTGTCCTCTCTTATCACTAATCACATCCCATTAACTGAATGTACTAGATCAGATCCAAGATTATGAATGTCCTGTGCTGTAAGAAGCTAAAATAATTAACTACCGAGAGTAACTTTTCCACTGTCTCACACCTTCCATATACTCTCAGGAACTAGCCAAACTCAGAATAGTACAGCTGGATTATATGCACTATACCAAACAGCATTAGATACAAAAGCTTTAAAGCTTGAGCAGGAAGTGATTAAGCATCTCCTGGAATAGTACTCTCAGCTTTGCAGAGTGAAATGCAAGAGACTATAGAGAAATTCAGATTCAGATAATCTTTTGAATCACGCATTACGCTAGCAGAGTGAAGCTAGTGACCAAGAAGAAGTTATTTATGAGAGATCTCCAAAGCCAGAGGAAGTGGCTCAATAAATTTAGTTAACCCAAAACAATGCAAAGTTGGACTATTGGTCCATCCAGTGTATCATCAAAACTGAATGGCAGTAGCTGTTGGGTTTCAGACAGGACACTTTCCCCGCCATACCCGATATACAGGGGACTGAACCTGGAATCTGATGCATGCCAAGCACACATCCTACTCCTGACCAAAGGACCAACTGCGGCTTCAAGGTGGACTCATGAAGATTTATAAAAGTATTACTTCGTTTAATGAATTCAAGCCAAATTGGGATTAGCTATTCTGTATCAACAGAACAGCTCGAAACACTGAAACCCACGCACATTTGTGTAGCCCATTGAAAAAACAAGTTACTTACCTTAACTGATGTTTGGGCACATTTGATAGTCCATGGTATCCACAAGTTATTTATTTGAACTTTACAGTCAATTTATTAAGCAATAAAATACTCTAAACAAACTTTTGGGTTTATTCAAATCACACAGACCCTAATTTCCCATTAAAAAAATTCTAGTCCTTAAGTTACAGAGATGCTTGAAACAGTTTAACAAAAAGCTAAAAGGTTGACTTTTAACAGAAATGGCTTAAAGGTCTTCTGAGGTTTGGCATTTCTTCACATTATCAATTGCAGAATGCAAACACTGCATAATTCAACTGCAGCACACCACAACTGTGCCATCATATTTGTGTGAAATAGGCAAGTTTGGATTAAATGCAATTTAAAATTGTGGCCCACAACATTGACCCAATTCCTACCTACATCACAGCCAGAGTGCTTCTAAACTGGGAACCCCAGTTATTCACCTAGATGCCTTGCACATTGTCTTGTTCTCATTAAGTTGTGCACAAGACCATCAGCAACTCCAACAGCTGCAATGATGTTTCTGCATTTTATTTTATTCTGTATATACATTCAACAAAAACAGATGTCTTAGCTTATGCAATACCATGAATATATCACAGTGATAAAGGTTATCATCAGAACCAGGGTTTAATCATTTCACCCTTATTTGAATGGCATTTTAAAGCCAATGATGAGTAACATCATCGCAACATACTACATATACTGCATATGTGCATACTGTAAAAATAACGCACTGTAAAGATTTAGGGTGTCATTTCCCATAGTCACATATGGAAGGCACTCGCTTCAGAGCTAATGACAGTATCAATACATAGTTGGGAAGTCCTCAGAAAGTATTATAAAATGTTACAGAATTCCATGAGGCTATTAAAAAACAAAACGTGCAACTCTAGAAAACATATATACCCATGAGGAGACATGAAGGACAAACAGATCTCTTGAAAGACTTCAACATACTCCAAAAACTGGATAAAGCAAATCTAGACTTTTTTATTTTTTTTAACAATTTGCCAAGACTGGAATGAGAGATAAATAGAAGGCACAACAATTTTGTTTTCGTTTTAATACAAATACAAACTAAACATGAAAAAAACTTCCCTATTTCAATAAAAAAAAAAATCACAAGTTCAGGAACAGTGTTTTAAAGAGTCAAGTTCTAGACATTTAAAACCTATCCCACAATCCTTGTAAGTGGTAAAACAGTAGTGAGAATTCCTTTTCGTGATCATGTACCAAAAGAGAGCATTCTATTGATACCCTTTATTCCACTTTTACAGCGCCACAGAGAAAGGGTAATGTCAATTTTCAAGCGGCAACATCTCCAGACCAAGGTCCAACAGGTCATGTGACCCCTCCCCCCCAAAGGGGTGACGGATTTCCCTGCCCTTGAAACGTTTGTCACGTACTAGTTTTTCCTATAGGCTCCTGAACACATGCAGCTGAAAAGGTTAATTCCACTGACTGAAGCGCACCCCATTTCAGTAAGGAGGGGAAAAAAGCGCCACACATTCCATTAGGAAAAACAACAGGTACAAAAAAAAAAAAATCCAGTCCACATGTCTGCAGCAAGCAAGGATTCAGTTCTTTTCTTTTTTAAAAAAAATCCACTTTTTCCCGAAATATTGTTCCACAAAGCTGGAATCTGGGACAAAGACTAGAAAAAAAAAATCACGAAACCAAACACAAACAAAATGGGCCAAAATAGTATCAAACGTAGCAGTCTATAACAGGGTAGGGCCACATTCCAAGATACCCAAGGCTGAAATTCACAAATCTGCAGGAAGAAGGGTTTGTCTCATCATGTCATCCATTAATCACTGGCGTTGCCCGATGCCCCTTCCAGTGCCAAATCCTGGTTTCTGAGACATTCCTCCACGTGGAGGCCCTCGGATCCCACCTCCCAGCCCCCCACGGGGGCCACCAGGCCCACGGGGTCTGTTGTCTCGGCGATCACCCTCCCTGGCTGCTCGCGTTTTTTTCTCTTCCACATTTAAACGCACTTCTCCTCTGAACATGATCGGCTGGAAGAGAAAAAGTGGTAAAGTGGAATCAACAAACAGGTAAGAAAGTACTAAATACGTACAATAATACATGGAAGTGAATTATTGCATGGAACAGACATTGCAGAAAAATAAGATCCTGATCTCCCAAAATGAAGAGTCTTTGTTTACTCAAGTTGTGAATTCTTCATCCACCCCACCCATATTTGGCAAGGATAGTTTAGAACTGTTGTGTAGGCCATTATTTTTAACTGTAACTGCAAATTAATATTGTAATCTAGCCAAGAGCACCAACAGCTTTGTCTATCTATTCCCACTTCAGCTGCCACCCCGAAGTTAAACGAAGAAGCCATTCTAATTGGCTTCTCTTGGTTTTTTGTGTTTGCTTTATTTCAAAACATCAGTTTTTAGTACACTTCAGTATAACCTTTATCACTTTAAATATCATTTAATGTACCCTATTGGCAAGGATCTTCTGAACGGGCTCTGGATCGTCAAACACCACAAATCCAAAATTAGGGAGCTTTCCTCCACTGTTGATACGGAGTTCCACAACATTCCCATAACCTGCAAAAGAATTTCCAATTTCTTTGATCACACATTAGACTGTTCTGTAGAAATAGGCATGTACTTTTAGACACAACCCTGAAGCCCCACCACTAGGCAAGCAATATTCAAGACTTACGTTGGAAGAAATCCTTTAGTTCTGCCTTATCCACATCATGAGGGAGATTCCCAACAAACAGCTGGTGACTGTCTGGGTACCTCACAATACGCCTAGTTTCCATGTCACCTGGCTCTCCTTCCCGCACTTAAATTAAAAAAGATAGACATAAATCATTCATCATCTTTTGCTTTCTATAAACACCATCATAAGCTTTGCCTACTGGAATAATGACAGAAGTCAATAGACAATAAAGCTTCAAATAAAACACAAGAAATGAGTGACTTGGTGCTTCCATTCCAAAGCATGTAAGCAGACTGAAGTGTCCACTTAAGATTAAGTTGTGGCACTTCAGACTTTTGAAAGCATCTGGTTTAAATTATTCCCAAATTCTTTCCAACTCTTACGACACACTCTTATTGTATATAGTTTAGCATCTTTGAGTATCACAAGAGTTGACTTTATCTGTTCCAACAGTGAGCGCTGCTTTAGTAGCTATATTGTTATTACCAAGTACACCAGATTTCTTACTTGGTCTAGGGCCTCTTTGTGGTGGGATATTTGTCCGTTGTTCTCTCACCCTCTGGTCTCGCTGAGGTCTCTGCGGCGGAGTCTGGGATTCAGGCTTTGATTCAGGACGGGGCTGCAAAAATGGACCAGCACAAATGTAATGCATCTAAGTCATGGGTAGGCAAACTAAGGCCCGGGGGCCAGATTCAGCCCAATTGCCTTCTAAATCCGACCCACAGACGGTCCAGGAATCAGCGTGTTTTTATATAAGTAGAATGTGTCCTTTTATTTAAAATGCATCTCTGGGTTATTTGTGGGGCATAGGAATTCATTTATTTATTTATTTTTCAAAATACAGTCCAGCCCCCCACAAGGTCTGAGGGACAGTGGACCGGCCCCACTGCTGAAAAAGTTTGCTGACCCCTGATCTAAGTCAAGCAAAGCTTTATGTCAGCATCCTCATACCCTAACCATTCTAAACCTGGGAACCACAAGGAAAGGGAAAAACACAAGTTCAGATGCCAGAATAGAGGAAGATTTATCGGCCCTTTCACTTGAAATCGCATGCCAAGCAATGAATTTCAAGAACATTTCCCCTGAAAAGGATGATTTTGCAGAGAAAGAGATGACTGCATCATGAACAAAAAATGATCATGTCCTATAAAGTAAAAATAACGCCCTACTACTTGAAATACTATCAAATTTGCAATTAACCTGACAGTTGTTGATCCTGGTTCAAGTTCATTAGTTGGCTGGTATATTTTTACCTGTGATGTAGGTAATTTGACAACGTGAGGTGGTATGCCTGAAACTGGAACAGCTCCACTAGGTGGGAGATTCTTACTGGTTACAGATGCCCATGAAGATGTCTAACAGGAAAAAACAAGATTTCATTATTTCTGAGTAACATCAGGTATCTTTGCTCTTCAAAATTACAAAGTTTCTTGCACATGTACAAATTTTGACATCTTTCTTCAAATAATTCTACAGCCACAAATGTTTTTGTCAGAGACAGCATGTGGGCAGACTTCACGTTACTTAGAGGCTTTCGGTAGATTTTGCTGTGACTGCTGAAACTACACCCCCCCCCCAATCAAATTCATGCCACCAACTTGTGCCCCTCACTTGCATGGCAAGCTGAGGGGAGCACTGCTTTCACAGGATGGCTCTCCCTGCATGCCTTTCTACCTTAGGAAACTGCACTTTTCTAAGCCCGAACGGGTGTTTGGTGGCCTGGGGGAGCGTGATTAGGTCCGTGAGGGTTATCCGTGATGTGTTTCTATCCTTGGAAACTGCACTCCCCCAACCATGCTGTTTGGCATGCTAAGGAAAACTCCATATCCATGGGTAGCTGGAGCACAAAGAGCCCCGCAAAGCCCACGGCCTGTGGCTACTAGAAGAAAAAAAGACTGCCCATTCATTTTTATGTCTTTAAAATATTTATAAACTGAACTCACACAAAAATATATTAGAAATGTACAAAAAAAAATCAAGAAAGCAGAAAGGCTATTTATAAAGAGCCTTTATATAAATAGTATTTAATCCTTGGAAATTAAAGTTCCTTTCAATATCTGGAATGCAAAGTTAAGGTGTGTCTTACAAACTGTCCTAAAGGTCTACAAATGGCTAAACCTACACAATTTATGAATGGCTGCTACTGTCAGGCTCTTTTTGCCAGCAAGAAACCCAATAGACTAAGAGTATTTTTCCAGATACTACTTAGAGCAGTTATGGGGAACAAAAATAGAGGTTTTTTGGACTTATACAATTCTTATGCTACAATGTGATATAGGGAATGCTGTAAAGACTGAAGCTCTACAACTTGGCAACTTACAGTACAGTCTGAACTGTACTTGTTATCAAGATACCTGCCACTGACTTTCTGCTAAGAGACAACTGCCTTTTCTTCAACTAAATGTGAGTACACAGGAATTATCTTGAATGTCTTGACAGCTCTTGTAATCTTTCTCACTTCAAACTTAAAAATACACACAAGTAAATGTGAAAGGGGATATCATCATTAAAATCATGCATGTTACCCTTGAGTCCTCTTGCACTACGGGAGCAGGGTCCACAGGGACTGGAGAAGGACTCTTCTCTACAGTCTCTTCGGGTGCTGCTTCCTCCAGCGCTGGCTCAGTTTTTTCTTCCTGAGCCTCTGGTTCAGGCTCCTGTTCAGGTTCAGGTTCAACTTCTTGTTCCGGCTCTGCAACTGGTTCCTCCAAATGTTCCTCCAAGTCATTGCTGTTGGTGGAAAAATATTTTCATTATGGTAACAATGCATTTGCAGAGCTCAAGCACCAGGACCATAAATGGAATCCCAATATTGTGCTATTTCAGTACCAGGGTTACAAACAAACATCCATCCAATCTGAACCCTCATACAACAATGCTTTGTTAAGTCAGCAATGTTCCCTTTTTAATCAGTATGGATTATACTCGTTCATGTCCTCTCTCTCACACACACACACTCCCCTAGAAATCTGAACTTCAATGCTCCCACCTCAGTAAATTTTAAGAAAGGGTTGGTGGACTTTTAGTTATGCAAAAAGACTGCAGCATTGTTGTGTATATTGATGGACACTTGTTAGAACAACAGTTTTGAGATCAGGCCCTAAAAAAAATTTTTGGCAGTAAAGTCAGCACTGATTCTGCAGGAGACCATTATTAAAACAGAAATGAGATTAGGTTTTTAGTCTGAAAAAATAGTACTCTACAGAATACTGGTCTCCTTCCTACATTTCAGCCAGCAGTTATAGGCAAACTGGTTAGAAGCAGTAGCATAGTTATGATTGCAACCGTGTCTGAGTTACCTGACAGACTGCTCATAGTAGGCTGCTGAATCATCAGCAACTGCCTCAGGAGTCTGTTGCCTATCCTCAGGTTCCTCTGCTTCCTCCTCAGATTCTGGTGAGGGGGGGAAAATAGATTTTACACCGATCAAGTACACGACAAATTTCCACATTGCAGTCAGAATGTACACACAGTGGCTGCATTCTCATGTTATAGTAAGCCGTGCTAATGGTTGACCATGAACATGCAGACTGCTTCCATCTCGCTCCTCTCCACTAGCAAACAGGACATCACTAGCACACCACAATGCTTACCTTCATGTTTTGCCAAAACTGGAGACTGTTGCTTGTTTCAATCAAATAAATTATGACTGGTAAGCCAAGAACAAACCTTGGCTTCAGATTGGGTTTGGATTGAAACAAACCTCAGCCCCCAATCTGGACATTAACACTAGGCCAAGAATTTTGATTTGTTGCTCCTGCTCGCTAGCAAGGAGTATAGGAGGGACAAACTCTGCATTCCTGGTCAGCCACTTGCAAATATACTCAATGTTTTACATATTAGGTATGGGGAATTTTGATTTTAGTTTGCTGAAATATCCCCTTACCTTGACATTATTTTAATTAAATATTTAAGATTTATAGCCTGCCCCCCTCCAACAATGCTAATACCAGGCCAGGTACATTATAAAACAGAGTATGCAACCAAATATATACATAACCAACAGTAGAATGCTAATAATCTAGTTGTTCACATCATTGCACAAACAGCTGATCAATGCTCAACACATATTTCAGAGGCACGGTTCTGACTGAAGCTTCTAAACTTCAAGCAAGTACAAAGCACAGGGTTACAAAAGGTATGAATGACAGCTGCTAAAGTTAAGAACTGGTTTTAGCCCCTTAACCAGCAAGTCTGCTTCTATGTCTTGGCATGGCAATTACAGGAGACTGAAATGCTGAAGAGAGTAGTGAATCCCAGTAGTAAACCTAAACCATGACCAGCGAAGGCCATACCTCCAGTGACGTGTTCACTATTTTTTCTTCTGTTTTACCATACAACTTAACAGCTCACACCAGAAGCCATCTTAGATAAGGCGAGTGACAATTTACGGATGGGATTAAAATTACATAAAAATGGCAGTGAAACTTCTCAAGACTGGTCTTCATCAGTTATTGACCAAGATCAAATTCCTACATTTGGTAACTTTAAAAACTCTTATATAGATGTAAATAAAATTTGGCTGGCTCAATTTTTAGCACTGCTGCTATTAAGGTTTTAGCGTGTTCTGATGTTGGCTCCCAGTCTGGGGAAAAGGTGGGATATAAATATATTAATAATACTAAGTTTATTATTTGTAAGCAACTTGAATTTGACTGGGCAAATCGTGTTATCATTTTTTCATCACAGAGAACTAATTTAGGAGGAAAGCACACTGACAGTCTTGGTACTTACCCTCTGGAGGTTCAGCATCTAAATCACCAAAAACTTCATCCTGGTAACGGAATATGTCATTATGGACATAAAACTTGTTCGCAACAGAACCCTGAAGACAGCACAAGGAGAAAAGGAAGTTTAGTCTACTGCATTCAGTACCAGTGTTCATGTTTAATCTGGCAGCACAAACCCACTTTGCTTATGTTTGAAACAATCTAACCCTGCTTTACCTACTTGCACTATGCTACAAATATAGAGGGACACTTCAATTGTTACATAAACATTACTTCCTGAACCATCTCAGAAGTACGCTCTACTCAACTAAAAAGCATTCATTCAAAGTATCAATGATTAGAAGAATGCTAAAAAACAGTTTTTAAAAACAAAAACATAATAGCTTTTAATGCATAATTTATTTATTATGATTTACTAAATTTATATGCATCATGATAAAGGATTATCATGGAAGCAGAGATTTTTAGTAACTAACACAGCCAACTAAACAGTGAGACGTCAGGATTAAGACAATGAGTCTACCAAGGCCAGCATAAATTTAAGGAGCCGTCACACCCAGACATTTAGAAATTTCTTATTTATAAATTACTGGAACCAGGCCTTATGACAAATAGTGCTTCTCAGTTATGAATGCTGATAATTATCCCTTTGTCTATGGTATGCAACAAGAACAGAAAAAGGACTTAACGCATGCACAAATGCTAGGCTTATTCTGGCAGAGCCACATATCCAAACACAAGTGCATCACAGTTGTTAATGACTCTAAAGTAAAGAAGTTCTACAGCCAATGACAGAGGGGAGCCAACTGAACCTTCCTGGCATCCCCAATCCCACTGCACTGATATAAAGTCACACACTGATGTTGGGCATACTGGTTCACAGACTAAGATTCCCACAGGCTACATACCTCAGGAGCAAGGACAAAAGTCTGCATGAATCTCCGCATTGGCTGTGTGTTATTGGAGAGCTCACCCATGACCTGTACAACAACACCATCATTCAGAGTGGCATGAGCGTCCACGTGGTGGATCTTCGTGCGGCAATCCTTAAAATTCAGTGACAAGACCTTCTTGTGGATATCCTACAGAAATCATATTGAAATATGTATGAGCTACTTTAAGGATTCAAGCAGAGATGAACTAGAAGTGTTATGAGTTTAGTACTGTAAAGCAAAGACTTTTAAAAAAACAAAAACCTGAAACCTTAACAAGCCCAGACTACCTGCAGTCTGACTTAACTGAAGTCTTCCCTTTCTTACAACAAATAGTCTTCTATTTTATGAAAGCTTTCTTCATTTAAAAAGGGACTTACCGTATTTTTCACCCTATAGGACGCACTTTTTCCCCTCCAAAAATGAAGGGGAAATGTGTGTGCATCCTATGGGGCGAATGCAGGCTTTCGCTGAAGCCTGGAGAGCCCCAGCGCCAGCCCCACAAGCTCAGGGGACAGCGGGGAGGCGGAACGCCGCCATCCCGCTGTCTCCCGATGTGGTTTGGAGGCTGACGGCGGGGAGACGCGTGCTTCTCCCCGCTGCTGTCCCCCGACCTGGTCTGAAGGCTGGTGGCGAGGAGAAGAGCGCTTCTCCCCGCTGCCGGCCCCACAAGCGCCTGGGGGGGAAATAAAAATTTTTTTCTTTATTTCCCCCACAAAAAAACTAGGTGCGTCCTATGGGCCGGTGCGTCCTATGGGGTGAAAAATACGGTAATTATTAAGAACATAAGAAGAGCCTGCTAGATCAGGCCAATGGCCCGTGTACACTAGCATCCTGTTCTCACAGTGGCCAACCAGGAAAAAACCTGGACCCGAGCACAAAAACATTCTCCCGGTCTGTGGCTTCCAGCAACCACTATTCTAAAGCATACTGCCTGTGGGAAGCGGAGCATAGCCATCATGGCTAAAAGCCATTGACAGACCTCTTTTTTATGTCTAACCCTCTTTTAAAGCCATCCAAGTAGGTGGCTATCATCAGCTTCTGTAGGAGCTAGTCCCATAGTTTAACTATGGACTGCTTGAAGCAGTACTTTCTTTTATCTGCCCTGACTCTTTCAACATTCAGCTTCATTAAATGTCCTCAAGTTCTAGTATTATGAAGAAGAAAAAACTTTTCTCTATCCACTTTCTCCATGCCGCATCACTCCTTACTCGCATTTTCTCTAAACTAAGAAGTCCCAAAAGCTTCAACCTTTCTTCACAGGGAAGTTGCTCCATCCCCTTGATAATTTTGGTTGCCCTCGTCTGAATCTTTTCCAACCCTACAATATTCTTTTTGAGGTGAGGCGACACAGTATTCCAAATGTGGTTGCACCATAGATTTGTATAATGGCATTATGCTACTGGCAGTTTTACTTTCAATTCCTTTTCTGATTATACCTAGAATGGAATTTGCCTTTTTCACAGCCACTGCACACTGGGTCGACATCTTCATCGAACTATCTACAATGACCTCCCATTCTATGACTGCTAAGCTTACTCATGAGTCTTTGGTAAGGTACCCTGTCCAAAGCTTTTTGAAAGTCAAAGTACACAATAACAACTGGATCACCTCTATAAGTTGACACTCTGAGAACTCTAATAGGTTCATGAGACAGGACTTGCTGTTGCAGAACACATGGTGTCTCCCACTTCAGCAAGGTTTGTACTTCTATATGCTTGATTATCCTATCTGCAACAAAACTTTCCACCAGTTTTCCTGGGGCACATATTAAGCTAACCAACATATACATTCCAGCATCCGTTCTTAAAGACTTTTGACACCTTACCTGAAAATACATGACCTATAGAAATCTAGCAAATATCTACTTCAATCGAAGTCCATTCACTGAATACCTAAGGACTAAGAATTCAGATAGCTGGCACAGAAATCTGATGCAAGTTTCCCACCTCCTCAAATTCTACTTTCTAATTTTAAGTATTTTTCCTCAGACTTTACACTGTATCTTGACTGTGCCTCAGTCAATCATAAAACAATTTTGCAAATGCTTACAGACTGCCCGTGGACTGCATCAGCTGGTTTTCCATTCGAATCCAAGCCACCGTGGACATAAGAAGAATTCTTTCCATAGAACCTGTGAAAGAGCAATTTACATCCATTTCATCAATGTACAATTCCATCACATGGTCCTTTGCAGCACTAAAATGTTAGCCATATTGTTGACTTTAGGCGTAAGCAATCTTTTGTTTTGATGTGGGCTGATGGAAAGCCAGCAAGTTATCAAACCAGTTTCTGCAGCTGTTCGTTGTCAAAAACAAGTCTTTTAACAGTCTGTCTCCAAGGAACACAATCCCAACTTTATCACAATTACCTGGCCACCACTGGTAACTAGAAGTTCCCTGCAGGTAACAATCTACATACTGGTGGCACTCAGCTCCCAATCACTACTGGTGACCTTATTCCCCAGTGCCATAATACTGATGTTAAAAAGCATGCAGGACAAGATGAAACCCTGCAGTATACTACAGTCAACTGCTAAGGAGTTGAGTAGCAGTCCTCTGATGCCTCTTCTCTGGTAAAGGTCCTAAAGGTCATCAGCCTGTACCTCAAGGCTCTTTCGGTTCTGATTTTGGGCCCAAAGCCAGATTGAAATGAGGCCAGATAATCCTTTTCCTCCAAGCACATCTGAAGCTGACCACCACTCAACAACCTTGCCCCCCGCCCCACATGGTTTTCTCAATATATAGTTCCGTGCAAGTGTCTATAGTTCACATAGTCACTTACGCTTCCATCCACTGCAGTATTGCAAAACAATGCGTTTGATAACAAGTGGATTTGCTGTGTCCTGTTGGTGGTTGTTCTGGAGTAAGGTTCCATATGACTGTGAAGCACCATGGCAACAATGAGCTACTATGACTTGCTAACTGAATTGTATTGTTTTGATTAATTTGTTGCTGTTGCTTGCTTTATTTATATGCTATTGTGTTTGATATTATAATGAATGCAATGTTTGGAGTTTTAAAAAATGTTATTGTGATTAATGTGAGCCACTTTGAGCTCAACATTTGTTGTTGGAAAAGTGGAATACAAATATTAAATCAAATAAAAAACCAGGTTTTCACAGATTGCTAAATTTGCCACCTGAGTCCCTTATTTTGTTAAGCAGTCCTTTCATATTAGAAGCCTCTTGATGTTTGGATAAGAGCTCTGCTGTATGTAGAAAAGAGCTCTGCTTTTTGTGTAGTTCACTGTTCAATAAATTAAGATGGTGCAGTCCACATATTGCCTGTAGCCTGATGTGGTCATCGCAAGGAACTCTCATCTCAGGCATAGGCAAACTCGGCCCTCCAGATGTTTTGGGACTACAACTCCCATCATCCCTGACCACTGGTCCTGTTAGCTAGGGGTGATGGGAGTTGTAGTCCCAAAACATCTGGAGGGCCGAGTTTGCCTATGCCTGTCTTGTCTCCTTATATTTGCATTTTATTTGCCCGGAGACTGGATTATAGGGGTAAGATGAGACTGAGGTTTTGCTGATCCTCCAGGAGCTACAACTTCCATGGAAGAAACCAACCTGGAAACAACTTTTGTATGGAGTTTTATTATTACTATTTTAGGGCAATGCAAGAATAGTGAGTGACAAGAAGAATGTTAAAACTCAAGATTATAGGCAATATCCAACTAAATCATATTCAGAGAAGACTCAATGAGATCAATAGGCTCAAGACCACTGATTTCAATGAGTCTTTTCTGATATTACTAATACTGAATATCAACTTATTACTTCACAGTGATGATAGAAGAGGGAATCTGGTCCTGGAGCATATACAACTCGGCTCAAATTTAAACTGTGGGGAGGACAGAGAACGGAAGAGATGTAGACGTTTATCTGCAAAGTCTTCATTGTGCCCATAATTTTTGTTTTGCTTTTGGCAAATTAAACTTGTGAAGAGGAGCCAGTATTTCTGTACTACAGGGCCCCCGATTCTGAAATATTATTTTAATTAATTCAAATAGGAGACTTTACCTGTGCAAGAAGTCTGGTGCTTGGTTCAGCAGAATATAATACTGTCTTACGAACTCCCGCCCAACCAGCAGGGGACTTGGCTTCTCCATCACCATTTCTTTGGTCAACTGAAAACTGAAGACCAAAACATTTGTGAAAATATATCCAATACTCATCCTTGCCAAGGAAAGCTTATATGAACTATAACCAGTTTCTCACACAGTTGCCAATTTACTGCACACACGGCTAAATTTCTTGAAATATTTCAATGGTAAGGAAAAGAAACAAGACTATAATTCAAACATAGCTTTTTGAAGTGATTATATAAAAAAATACAAGTGCCCAAAATTTCAAGTATAGCAGCAGAAAATTGGTGGCAAGCAAGTATATCTTGTAGAATTTAACAGGCTATATATGGCTGCACTAATTCCCATTAACCTTGTCTGACTTCAGTAGCTGAACTGAAAGGCTTCAAGAAAAGGTGCAATGACGTTTAAGTTCACATACAGTAAGTCATCTAAGCAATAAGTTGGGACATGATACCTCTTATCCAGGAACCCAAATTTTTACTTGATTGGCTCTCCACCCACCCATTTTGCCAAACTCTTTGTGCGCGCACACACCTCACAAACACCCCCCCACAAGAAAACATTGGAGTCCAGAGCAGAGTAGGGTAAGGTGCACAAAAAGGTTTTTGCAGTAGCAAAATTTGGGCACCATCATTCCTTCACCCACCTTTCAGTAAGCTAGAATGTTATTTTTTGTACACAAACAATGTTCTTCACTTGAAAACACATTATTTTATAGGAATGATCATTCCCCTCCATAACAATACATCTGTTAAAGTCAACTATTTAACTGTTTTCCATTGAAAAACAGCCACTTCACAATACAGTACACATATCCTAATGCATAAATTTGAATCTTATGCTCTTGTGTAGTATGAAACCATGTGTAGTATGAACGCAGAGGGAAACTTGATCACTCACTAGCCCACCCCACTGCACATCCATAAGAAGCCTAGCAAGGGCAAATGTATTCCTGCAGACCATGTTCTTATCTTCATCCAGCACAGAGGGAACCTGACCAGCCAAAAGTGAGAAACAGGGCTTTCTTTTCTCAGGAGCGGGGTGGGTCTTTAAAAGCTGAACTGCCATTGGAGCTTTGTCCGTAAGAAGTTACTCTTGTTGACTGAACTGGAAAGACAATAATACATTCACCTTCATGATCATGGTTATTTGGCTGCAGGAGTTGCTGGAAGGATGTATACAAGGTGCCATACAACAGTCTTAAGGACCCCACTCCGTATTTGCGTAGGGTTTGCTCCTTAGCCTTTTCTTCTCCCAAAGACAAGGCAGGTGATGTTTGGGATCAGTGTTTCCCTTCTCCTAGATGGGCTACCTTTCCAGGTTGACAAGCCCCATCTGTCCCTCACTTCCCTGTACAGCAATTGCAGAAACCGCCTTCTTGACAGAGGGACACACTATTTGTCTCATCCACACAGTCTGCCACAACCTGTATTTACATGCATAGCTGAGTGCATTGTGGGGACCAAAAGTTGACGAACTACTCCAAAGGAGCAGTGTCCCCCACCAGAGGTACTACCCCCTCCCCTAACATCCCATACACCAGTAAAACAATTAAATACCAGTAAAACAATTAAAGTTGATGTTTTATTGTCTTATGGCTGTATTAGGAAAAACCCTGTGATCCTATTTGGATACAAATCTAAAAGTGATACAGTCTAAAAGTGGGGGGGGGGGACTGTCTAAAATAAAATGAAGATTGAACCGTTATCTCAGCTACCAGCTAAGCAATATATCATAAACTTGGGGGAAAGAGTGGATATAAATACATCAAATAAATAGATAATATCACACACAGATGTTGTGGGAAGAGTCAGAGTGGCCTAGTAGACAAGGCCTTAAATTTGGGGCCCCCTTCCATGTTCCAAGAAATATAAACATATTGGTGGTCTTAGAAAACTACAAGTCTGAGTTTTTAAAATGGAAACAATCATCTACCACACTGAGTTATCACAAGGAGTATAAGTGCTCTACAAAGGTCTGGCTACATCAAGCATCAGCACATTTGAGAAAAGCCAGCAGTTAGTTTTATGTTTACACTATGAAAGAGTTTTGATGTATAGTGAAGTTAACCATAATAAAGAAAGAAAGAAAGAAAGAAAGATCTTTGGAGGGCAATAAAGAACTAGGTTTTGTAAAAAAAAAAATTAAGACACACCAGGTGGTATCCAACTAAACAGTTCTGCTAGTGCAACCAACAAAACAGAACTTCTCTCCATCTCCTTTCTCCATGCACTCCCTAGATCTGCTCCTGAGGGTTGGGGAACCCCAGAACAAATTTAGTGGCAGCAGGGGGGGTGGAGTCTTGTGGCACAGCCAAAATTGCCTACACTACCATAACTGTTTAGTTGGCTACCACCCAGTCATTTAATGCATAGTCACTAAGAAAGATCACCAGGTGGCTTAGGTAAGTTGGTCTGTGTACAGTACTTGCAATTTGTAAAAATGTTTATGCAAATTGCTCCAGCAAATTATGCCTTCTGAATAAATCAATTCAAGATAACTAAGGGTTACTTTTTAAACCTTAACTGCTTGTTCTACCCCCTTAGTTTAAATCTGCAATAGGCTAACATGGCATTGAGAAAAATGTATGTTTAAGATGGTTAATACCTGCTTTCAAATTTACATCAAACTTTAGTGCATGAACAGTTATGTATCATTCAACCACTATTTTTAATGACTTATCTGAAAACAGGCCATAACCCCCAGTGCTTAAATTACTAATATGCCAACATTTACATTCCCAAGCACACTGAAGTTTGACATCTGTCAGACTTGAAACACATTTGTTTAGAGCTGCTTCCAGAGAGGTGGCTCCTAAAATTAATAATCACCTTTCTTTCAATGTAAGATGCAAGCGGAATTGCAATTGGTTTTCCACGCTATTAGGGATATTGCACTTCTATATGTTCTGTTCACACTAGTGGGCGTGACATAACTGCTATAGATGGGAAGAATGTCCAGTTCACCTGAGCAGCCATCTGAAGCTCAGCACATCTTCACTATGTGTACAATTTTATCACCCAGCCTTTTAAATTGACCTTTAATCAGCATCAAGACTTTTCTGCTATATTCCCCCCCAAAAAAGTAACATATTGTTGAAATGTAACTTAAAAATGAACATGTCAGAGCACTATAAAACCACAAGAAGGAATTAGCTTTGCAGCACATTATTAGTCTGTGCACATATTAGCAGCAGAACAAAGGTCTGTGACCGATAGAGCAGAGCATGTCATTTACTTCCAATACATTACTCAACACTTTCACACAGCAGTCCAAGGCATGCCGGTTGTGGTGGTGATGGGGGGGGGGGGATTTTTCAAGATAAAATATTGCAGTCTGACTACTGCAGTGCAATCAAATTATTAAGTCTTTCGGATTTCTGGATTTTTCAATGGCCTGGTCTCGTCTTTATCAAACAGTCAATATGTATGTTAAGTTTCCCTTGTGTTGAAGAAGAGTTATCCAGGTTTGGTGACTGTTTAATGTTTTTATGTCGAATTATTAACACAAGCAACTCAGAATTGTGGAAAACTAGTATAATCTCTTGCAGCAAGGAAACTACACCTATACAAAAACACATTTAAAGGGAAGGGCATGCTTTTAAAGAAAAGCACATGCTTTCATGAAATACGGTAGGTTCTTGGTTCAATACCTGAATCTCCAGCTTGGGAAGGAATCCTATGAGTGGGCCAATGGGATGGACCAATCATCTGACTCAATTAAGTTAATTTCCTATGTACCTACTATGATTCCCAACTATAAAGAGCCACAAATAAAAGCAGAGTAAGAAAAATGTATATTACTGTACGTTGCTTCACAAAACAGTGGCAAATATCAAGCTCAGTGAATCCACTGACACCCTAATGCAAATTATTCTTGTATCCCCAGTCCCCATTGCACGTCTGCCAAAGTCACCTTACAAAGACCCTTTTTCCAGGCTAAAAGAGGTCCAGCCATTTAAGCCCTTCCTATTATAGACTGAGGAAGGGGAATCAAGTGATCAAAGCTGCTATATTTGAGCTCATCTCCTTAAAGGGAGATGAGCAAAGTCTACAACTCTTCTTGTACAGTATAGCCATTTTATACCCAAATTACACTACAAACTCAACAAAAAACCCTGGAAGCATTCACTTGTTTCACAGCTACATTTCATTTCAGTCATGTTGCAAACTGAGAAATATCCAAGAATCCTTTATTTCTGTCACCTGTTAATGAATGAATCAGCTGGAAGCTATAGAGGGTTCTTATGACCATAAACACTTCGTACGATTAAATTTCACCCTACATATTAAGTTCCAGAATAGGGCTGGGCGATACCTGGTTTTCCACATTGTGATATATCACCAGCTAAACATCACGATATACTGAAATATCATGATGCCTGAAATAAGGGTGGAGCTGTGTAATCATTGGCTGGCTTCATGGATTTTGCATTTGATTTTTGCATAGTGCACACACACACACACGCGCGCGCACGCGCACACACACACACACACACACACACAGACATTAATGCTAGGCAATGTATCGATACATAGTAAAAAATCGGTTTAAAGTCTACATTATGGTAACAGTTTCATAATATTCAACATAGTGATATATCGTGAATCACGATGTGTGCGCTTTGTAAAAAAAAAAATGATGTGGGGAAAAACCGTGAAGCCAATCACCGCTTCTCTCATGATTCCTGTCGCTTTGTACTGTACTATAAAATAAGTTGTAACAATGTTACAGGTAAGTAAAAATGTATCAATTTTAGAATCCTAAATAGTAGCAGTTGTCAGGACATTACCTCGTGCACCTCTACATAGAGCCTTATTTCAGACATTGTGATATATCGGGTATATTACAATAAGGCTGGTGATATTTCACAATGCTGAAAGCCATACATTGTTCAGCCCTAACACACATCATGATTCGCGATATGCCAGGTCAAAAATTATGAAACTGGTATCAAACAGACTTCAAACTGGTTTTGGATATATCAACATACTGCCCAACGCTACCACCTGTCCTACTGCAGCTACCTTTCCTAACCACACAATTATCTCAGGCACACACAGAGGTTAAGTGCCCATGCTGTTTTTGGCAGCACAAGTACCACTTTACACTAAGGTGCTTACATGGCACAACTGGTCATCATCTCTTGCATTAAACCAACTACAATTTGTCTACCATCTGTGTAACATATACTTATCTACAAAGCAAGAGAGATATGACTTCCCATATTCAGCTATTCTCATTGATTCTGCTTTTCCAATCTCCCAATATTAAGACAGACACTATGAGCAACCCCAGCCAATATGAATAATTCTGGAGATCTCTTGATTTGGACCTACTTTTGGAAGTTGGAACAAACTGTTTCAGTTCTGCCTCCCTTTTAGCACTGTTGCACCTTGGGCTAAATGAAGGACACTGGCTGATGTACAGAAATTCAATATTTACGTGCTCTGTAACTCACTAACCTGGCTCCAACAGATACTCAGAACTGAAGGTCACCCTTTTTTATGACGAGCCTGATTGAGAGAACATTTCACAGTCTAGCAATTACTGCATACTTAAGACCTATTATATTTCAAAGACTTACAAACTAATTTGCTTAATATCAAATAATGATGCTATAACCACATTAAACATTTCTTACTGCCTGATTCTCTGCATGTTTACTCAAAATGAAGGCCCACTGTGCTGGATGAGGCTTACTCCCTTGTAAGTATATGTAGGACTATCAGGCTGCAGTTGAATACTCACCCAAGAATTAGCCCCCTTTAAGTCAATGTAGCTGAGCACAGGGATGGCACTCCTAATCTCTGTGTTTGTGCCGGAGGCTTACACCATCTCAAACACCAGAATTGATTTTAACTCATTGGAAATATTGCCTATTTTCTCCAGAGTAAAAATATTGTGCTTTGCACAAACAGAATTGGGGGATCCTATGCTCCCAGAGGACTGGAGGGGGGGGGACTCTTAAGTCCAATAGCTTAACCTCCTACATATCCTTGGTAGGAGGTATTAATAAATAAGAGGGCAATCTAACACACAAAAATGGTATTTGACTTGGGGGGGATCTAAAAAATAATAATTACCTCACATTAAGTATAGTTTTCTTTGTTCATTTGATAATGTATCTTTATTTTTCCAACTCGAATAAGTCCACAAGAAGCCTTCAAGGAATAAAGTGTTATAAACCACAAACTTTAACGAAAAACAGGTAAGTCCAGTAGTAGGACCAACACCCTTCATCTGAGTAACCTTAAGTAAGATGCATGTGGCTTAGATTCAATGTGTGATCTTAGTTGCTAAGAAACTAATCTCAATGACTTAGAAATCCAAAGTTGTATTTAATATTGATGGTTGGGTAGCAGAACTGTTAGAATTGCCATCCCTAGAGTGTGTGATGTCATACAATTACCTTACACAAATTTAATGCCATGAGAAACACCATTCCAGAGTGCATTGATGGCTATTGTATATTGCTCCAAGCAAGAAACATAGCGACCCAATACTTTTATCTGGCTCCTAGCTAAACTGACAACAAAAATTCCCTCCCAACATTTATACTGAGTCGCACCTTCCTACTGACAGAAAACATTTGAACTGTGCATTCACAGAAGTGAGGCAGCATACAAGAACATAAATTATTAGGAGCTTGTTTTCTTTTGAATAATTTTATATCATGTGAGAAAGGCCTGGTTCGTGTCACTTTAAACTAAGCATAGGCAAACTCGGCCCTCCAGATGTTTTGGAACTGCAACTTCCATCATCCCTAGCTAACAGGACCAGTGGTCAGGAATGATGGGAGTTGTAGTCCCAAAACATCTGGAGGGCCGAGTTTGCCTATGCCTGCTTTAAACAATAAATGAAACACTGGGATAAAAGCAAGCAGCAATCTGGTTCACAGCACTGTGGCGCTCCTCTTCCAATTCTACCCACAGGACCCTGGAGAGAAAGCGAGAAGCTGACTTGGCATTATATGTCAACCAGTGCTCATGCCTTGTAACTAGTATTCTGCACATTCTTGCTATATCACATTTAACTTTTAACAATGATTTACTGTAATGTGCCAACTGGGCCACTGAATTTGCTTTCTTGGGTTCTAAGATTAATGTTGTTGGGTTTTTTTAAGAAAACTATATTGTTATTTGTAAAGAAAATAAATTTTAAGACATCAATTGACTGTGATTCCTGCTATTTTTAAGCTTTAGCATGAGGGTCCCAACATTAAATAATTCAAAAGCAAAGAAAATATTTGTGGTGTCAATTACAGGTACCACAAAGTTCACACATCTACTCAGAAGTTCCATTTTTGCTCAATTTGTTGGAGCTACAGATGTGACAATGCCAGGCTAGTCTATAAAGAAGTATGAGTTGCTTGGATCAATTTTGAATATATCCCCCGTGAATGCTGACAGTTTGCCATTATGAAAACCACCACATGTACTTTGGCTCTTGAACAGCAGAGTTGGTGAAGGTCAGTGTCAGCAAACAATGGTCTTCTAGCCAAGACAGTGAATGTCTTCCTGGAGAAATGGAAGGTTTCTCCTTCTTTAAAGAAAGTCCTGACCATTAGTTAAGTAATTTATATATATAGCTTTTCATTTCAGAAACCTAAGAAGCTGCCTTATTCTGAGTCGGATCTTTGGTCCATCTTCAGCTTTGTACATACTATACCTTTAAAGCACACTCAAAGCATATCCTTTCCCTCTAAGAATTCTACTCATGCCTCTGTAGCTTTGCATTTGCTGTGGCTAACCAAACCACAATTTAAAACCATGGTTAAACCAAAGGAGTTGGATTAGCTCATAAGGCCAAATCATACTTCAAACAAGTCATTGTTTATAAACCAACAAACCACGGTATCACATGATGGTTTGTTATCTGAGAACAAACCATGATGAGCTGGCATACTTCAGACATTTAAATCAGACCTCACTTTGACTACCCCAACCATGAGAGTCAGATCTATCTGAGCAAACCTTGCAAACCTTTCGGCAAAATGCTACTGTGTGCCTTCTACTGAATACTGGCTAATACACATTCAACCTGTGTTACAGCAATTTCATCAGATACTACTGTTTCTGAGCCCAATTAAAAGTATTAGTTTCTTTCTTAAAAAAACATTAGTTTCTGTGTTAAGAACCCTTCAAATCACTGTACACCAACTTGGACTAGTTGCATTCAGAAAATAAAGCCCTGTTTTATGTCCCCTTCATTACCTGAGGTATGATTTCCTGCAGCTAGAAGCAGAGCACTTGCAGCAGTGGCTCTGCATGTATGGAGCCAAGTTCACATTCAGACCTGCTAAGACTAAGTAGTGTATCTGTTCTGATCTTTGTATGACTAATCTTCTGGCAGGCTTTTGAATGAGTTTAGCTCCCATTATATAATGGTTGAACAGTGGATTTCTGGATTTTCAGTGGCTGTAAGCATCTTCAGCTGCACATATCAGTATTGCACTCAAAGTAAAAACCTCTCTTAAGCCAGGGTTAGCTTAAACAATTGCTACCTAATAAAAACAAGAAAGGAAGCAATACAACTGGATTCTTTTGCTAGCTCAGACCTTGATGACCAGAAATATGTAGTCATAAAGCAGCACATATTTACGTAATAAAGAAAATGTTTGCACATAGAATTCTAGGTGCTGTCTTTTTGGGGGAGGGGGACAAGCCAAACAAGTCCCAAGGATTGAACAAAGGGAAATTCATCGTCCCAAAGCTGCTGCTTTTGTAGCCAATTTTGAACTAAGCAGCCACCTTATTTCAAGGATAACTTGCACAAGTTAAACCAAAATTTTCCCTCCAGAAAACTTTACATGTACCGCTGAAAAGAAAACATATATGGGAAGAGGAGGCTTATGTCCATATGCTCAGCTGGTATGATTTCATGTACAGTACTTTGGCTCAACTATTATTTCTGTAGCACTGACCCAAACCCTCCCACAAGTGTATATGTGCTTAGTACACACAATAAAACTAAAAGTACTGTATCAGGACCAATTTAAACAAAATCCTATCAAACTATTTTATTATATTTGAGAAGCAATTCTACACCACAAACTTTATCCTCTCTTCTCCTACATGTTGAAATAGCAGCATCCTATTGAATGCAAAAGGGACGCGGGTGGCACTGTGGGTTAAACCACAGAGCCTAGGACTTGCCAATCAGAAGGTCGGCGGTTCGAATCCCTGCGATGGGGTGAGCTCCCATTGCTCAGTCCCAGCTCCTGCCAACCTAGCAGTTTGAAAGCACCTCAAAGTGCAAGTAGATAAATAGGTACCGCTCCGGCGGGAAGGTAAATGGCGTTTCCGTGTGCTGCTCTGGTTCACCAGAAGCGGCTTAGTCATGCTGGCCACATGACCCGGAAGCTGTACGCCGGCTCCCTTGGCCAGTAAAGCGAGATGAGCGCCGCAACCCCAGAGTCGGTCGCAACACAGAGCTGTTCCACCAGGCCTTTGGCCAGGACCTGCAAGACAGAGCTGTTCCACCAGGCCTTTGGCCAGGGTACAGCCTGACTCCCTCCCTCGGCAATCTTCGCGGAGCTCTGGCCCAATGGTTGCCAGTGGCTTGAATTAATTAATTTTATAACAAATGATTTTAGACTGTTGTTTATGCTGTACTTTTGTACTGTTTTATTGTTGTTAGCCGCCCTGAGCCCGGCTTCGGCTGGGGAGGGCGGGATATAAATAAAATTTATTATTATTATTATTTATTATTATTATTATTTATTATTATTATTATTATTATTATTATTATTATTATTATTATTACTGGACCTAATGGTCAGGGGTCCCTTTACCTTTTATTGAATGCAAAGGGATGCAGGTGGCGCTGTGGTGTAAACCATTGAGCCTCTGGGCTTGCCAATCATAAGGTCAGCAGTTCAAATCCCCGCAACGGGGTGAGCTCCTGTTACTTGGTCTCAGCTCCTGCCAACCTAGCAGTTCAAAAGCACATCAAAGTGCAAGTAGATAAATAGGTACCACTCCAGCAGGAAGATAAACAGTGTTTCTGTGTGCTGCTCTGCTTTCACCAGAAGCAGCTTAGTCATGCTGGCCACATGACCCAGAAAAACTGGAGGCAGACAAATGTTGGCTCCCTCGGCCAGTAAAGCGAGATGAGCATTGCAACCCCAGAGTTGTCCGCGACTGGACTTAATTGTCAGGGGTCCTTTACCTTTGTACTGAATGCAAACTAGGAAACTGTAGGTTAATCTCAGACTACAAACTCAGATATCAAACCAGGATCACATTATGGTTTGAAAACAGTACATGTGGCACTAGCTTGGCTGCAGGAATTGCCAGAATGAGGCGAGCAAAGTGCCATCCTACTGCCTTGGGTACTCTGGATTTGTGTAGGGTTTAGTCCTTAGCCTTTCCTTCTCCTGGAGATGTCCCACAAGGTAGCGTATAAGAATTTTTCCCAGTTCAGATATAATGGAAGACTATGGTTTAACAAACCCCAGACATTGTCAGCTGCCGACACACAAGAGAAAGGAGGACAGAACAGAAGCACAAGGCTCAGTCAAATAAACAATGGTTTACTGGGCAGAGATCATTAGAAAGCTAACTGGGCATCAGTTGTTCATGTCTGAAGAAAATCAGAAGACAGATGGGCCTTATTAACCTGGAAAGGTAGCCCATCTAGACCTTAAACTCTGAACCCCAAACCTCTGCTGCCTTGTGGCTATACTCATTCGTGAGAAAGGCTTCAGGAGTAAACTCCCAAGGAAAAATTCTTATACGCTACCTTGTGGGACATCTCCAGGAGAAGGAAAGGCTAAGGACTAAACCCTACACAAATCCAGAGTACCCAAGGCAGTAGGATGGCACTTTGCTCGCCTCATTCTGGCAATTCCTGCAGCCAAGCTAGTGCCACATGTACTGTTTTGCTTTCCTTTGAACTACATCAGCAAGGCTGGGAGTGGCAGAGGTGGCGTTGTCATCTGGACAGCTGAGAACTTCCATATATGCTGCCAAGACTTCTACACTGGAGTTTTTCAAATGGTGCATTCTATTCTCTCTCAAGACAGATGGATGCCAACAACAATGTGTCTTACTGCTTCCCATCTTTCACACAGATTAGCAGAATAAAAAAATACATACATACCCTATTTATTCACAAGTACTAGAAAACTAACAGAGGAATTTGTCCTACATCTTCTATCCCAGGCACAGTAATTCTCAACAATGGGCAGCACTGATGTAAGGTAGAACACTTTCCAGTTCTTTATTTTTCTATGGGAAGTGTTCTAGCCCTAGGCCGGTGGTTTTCAACCAGTGTGATGTGGCACCCTGGGGTGCCTTGAATGATGGTCAGAGGTGCCATGGACAACACTGGCCTCTGTCCCTCTTTCCTTCCCTCGTTCCTATGATGCCCTCGCGTGTCTGCCTCACAAAGGCTTGCACAGCTGTTTACTGCAACAGCCCTAGCTATAAGCTCTGCAGGCGAATGGTGCCTCTGGGAAGCACCTGGGGGGGCAGTTCAGAAACCAGGGACAGCAGCAGCTGTCTGGAGGACTCCCAAGGAGAAGGGAGAGGAGAGGACTGAGGGAACACTCTACCAAGGGAGTGAGGCTGCCAGCTCTGCAGGCAAGAGGTGACATAACTGGACTTCTGAGCCCCACAGGGGTGTCGCAGAAAGAATGTAGTTGGTTAAGGGAACCGTGGACTCAAAAAGTTTGAAAACCTCTGCCCTAGGCATCAGAAAACTTTCCAGCAAACCCACATCACTGTCGTGCAGAGAATCTTGAACTTCCTGTTGGGTATCAAGACCGAGCTACTACCAGCATGCTTTCATCCCATACTCACCTTTAAGTCTAGAAATGGGCTCATGTCAAAGAAAGCCATTTGTCAAAGTCCATGTGCAAATATGAGTGTTTTATTATTCTGGCATACCAATATTGATGCCACAGCAGGTGCAGTGTTCGAAACTCCCATTGTTCTAGGCACATTTTGAGACAGGGAATTTCATTAGCACGAGCAGTTTCTGAGCGCAGTATTGTGCCTAAGATTTCAGATTAAAACTGCATAGTGGAAGGAAAGGTGGAGCTTTTTCTGCCTCCCCACTTCCAGCTACTCTCTGAAGACTGGAGGAGACCCTCTTAAGAATATTAGGGGGGTGGGCAGGGGGAGGACTAAACCATGTGAAAAATGAACATATTTTAGCTGAAGTTCATTTTTAGCTTGATATTTTAAAAAAACACACCTACACGCGCCTATTACCTAGGTTTAAGGCGCCATTTAGCTCCTAGCTTTCATCTCTGTTTCTAACACTGAGCAGATGTGATAGATATGCGGCTCTACTCTGTTAAGAGACTGCAACTCTCACCATCCCCAATAACTTTCTGGCTGGGGATGATGGAAGTCATAGTTCACAAACACCTGGAGGACCACAGGTTCACACCCCCCCCCCCCAGGGCTTGCAAGGTTGTAAAGATGTTGATGTAACAGGTAAGATATACTTTAAACATTAAACGTAACTTTTCTTAGGCAATGTTAACATTTAAGGTGCTGAAAACATTCAATCCTTAAAATTCCTTATTTTACCTAAATGTAAATCATAGTGGTTTTCAAATAGTCAGAAGTGAAATGCAACTGCTAAGCAGATTTGCACCTTCTGGATTTAACTCAAGACTTATTTTACATAAGATGCAGTAAAGTGTTTAAACTGCCCAGTCTGTACTTAAGTGTGGTTTTGACTTAAACATCACTGAAGGTAGGTGATATCACGTTTAAAACACAGAATAACATTTCAGAAATGAAACTGAATTCAGAACTATGAATTTGAGTAACTGTCACATGCAAACTGTTTGGAGTGTGGGGAGAGGTAAAAATGTTGTTAATCCTAAACAGTTTTATGTAAAAGCTTTTTCAAACTCATATTTCACAATTATTTCTTCAACAGCAGGTTCGCCGTTTGCGTGCTTCTGGATCCAGCTCTATCTCTGGAGGCTTAGGTAGCCTCAGTGGCTAGAAATGCCTTTTACCAACTGCAGCTGGTTTGACAGGTACAGCCATTCCTGGACCAGGAAAGTCTTGCCACAGTAGTTCATGTGTTGGTTACTTCAAGACTGGATTACTGCAATGAACTCTATATGTTGGGTTTCCCTTGTGCTTGATCTAGAAGCTGCTGTTAGTGCAGAATGCTGCACCATGACTACTGAGTGACGCCTTGTCAGCATATAACACCTATGCTCAGAAATCTGCACTGGTTGACAATTTGCTACTGGGCAAAGTTCAAGGTGCTACTATTGGTACATAAAGCCCTCAACAACTTGGGACCAGTTTACCTACAAGATCACCTTATCCCCATGTGCCACCCAACCTCTTCAGTCTGCAGAATTGACACTACTACAGGTGTCACATAATGCCCATTCCACATTTGTAAGAACTTGGTCACTTAATGTGACACTCCCTGCACTTTGGAATTCACTGCATATTGAGATCAAGCACTAATAAATTTATGTATGTATAATCAAGAACATGTATGTATAAATAAATGTATGTGTTGTTTTCTAGTTTGAACAGGAGTATAATTTTCAAACCTACTGTAATTTTGTAGCTGCTTTTCCTGGCTATCTATGGATTAGCTATTGATTACTACAACCCTACATTTTTTCCAATCTTAAAAAGCCAATGTCAGTTTAGTGAAGGGATAGGAAACCTTATGCCCTTCAAATGCTGATGGAACTCCAATCCCCATCAGTTCCAGTTAAGTATTACCAACGCTCAAGAGTTCTGCAGTGTAGAGGGTAGGGTCACAATTTTATTTACTTTATACAGAAGATCTCAGGGCAAGTTACAATTTAAAAACAATAGGCCAATAACACACAGTTAAAATTTTCCAGTACAATTCAACAATGCAAGGATTTGAGATGGGATAGTTGAATGTAGTTATACGTAACTTGGATGGCCTGGAAGCAGATAAAAGTTCATTCCAGTGGTTCCTATCCAAACCTCAAGGGAAAGGATGCTCTATAATGGAGCTGCATTGCCAAAAAAGGCCTTCCTGGCCACCTTATGGATCCTCTGACCTCAACTCAGTGATGGCACTGCCAGAAGGGCCTCCTCTGATCTGAAAGCCCATACAGTTTGGGGAAAGTAGCTTCTTCAGGTAACCTGAGCCTAAACTATTCAGATCTTTATTTGTCAAAACCAGTATCTTGGTCTGGAATGGTTTGAGTTCTGGTTTAGCAATATCTGGAGTACGACAGATTTCTCACCCCTAAGTTTCCGCATCACAACCCTAAAATTCTACTGCAACTTTCAAGCAGCGGACTATGAGTGGGTAAATTTAGAGAGCATTAATCCACCACATAATGACCCATCAAGGCATTTCTCTTGTCTTCATGCTTGTTTTATTCCTAGACTTTTAAGTCTAGGTGAGTGAGCAGAAGTACATCGTAAGGAAATTTATCCGACTACCTTATTTTCTTAGTTTGTCTTTGTTAAGGTATCCTTAGCTTAAATGTCAATAAGCCAGTAGAATATCTGAAATATGTAAGGCTTCTCCATGTAAAAGAAAGCAGAAGTTTGTTTCATGTAGTTTGTCTTTAAAAATGACCTGTAGGGAATACCTATTATTAACTCCTTTAAATTATTAGCATATGAACAACCAAAAAAGGAATCTGTTAAATCCAACATTTCATTACCCAAGACCCTATTGATTATACATATACAATCTAAAACTCCTGAGATTGTTTTATTCAAATACAAAAAGTTCAGTACACCTGGTGAAAATTTTAGTCTAAAATGGATTCTACCACCAGGGTCTGCTATTTTTAGATATAATAGTTCAAGCAGCACTTCCAGTTAAGTACACAGAAGAGCATGTCTGGACAGCACAATGCAAACTTTACCATTGCTGTTTTGGCTGCTACAAACAGAAGTGCAAAAAAGATTTGATGCCAAGCAATTGATAAATTCATTTAAGTATCATTTATGGATTTAGCAAATTTGAAATGGTTGGCATCTTTGTGAAACCTTATGGGAACACATGATGGTATTTTTCCACTTAACCATACAGAACACCTTAGCAGCGGAATTATCTTTTACTTAATGACTGACCAGAGCCCTGCAAGTGCCCCCAAAACAGTAGTTCTTAATAAATGGGCATTTTTCTATAGCTTAGTAGTCTGCCTGCATTTCCTAAACCTAGCACTGTGTCCATGGGAGAGGCAGACAAAAATAGCACAAACTGGAAACATGGCTACAAATACTCCGCAATAGATTATGATGCAGCCACCTGACACCACCAGATTTCAATTATCAGAAAAACATGCCCGTGAACGATTCCCATTAAAGCTATTTCAATAGAAAAACTAATAGATTTTAGTAAGATCCTGGAAATTACTAGAAGCTCCAGGCATACTCAATCTAGTTTCTATGAACACGTCAAGACTGACCTTGAGCAAGTGTCCTTACTTTTCTGCCTTTATTACTTTATTTTTTACAGGCAAAAACTTGTTGGGAGAGCTTTGTTTTTTGGCTTTTAGGCGTCCACAGCACAGGGTTGTTTAAAACACTGCCGATCTCATCTCTCAAGTGAAAGGCTACGCCACTTTAAAACAAAGCTACTTAGATCTCTATATTCCAGCCTAGCTTTTTTGCCTGCGCGCTAGGGAAAAGCAGGCTGCGTGCGGCAAGGGACAAAAGCTTGCAGCTCCGTCTGCCTAGGCTTGCACAATGAAGCACAGCTCACTTCCGCGGCCCCTTTTCACAAGCGTCTGCCCCACTGAAAAGGAGCACCATTATGCCCCGGTTCCTACGCAGCTACTCCCGCGGACAAGTGAACGGAGCGGCGTCTCGCACCTCCCGTCGCTTTCCTCCTCCTCCGCCCCCCTACACCGGTGGAACGAGCACCGTTCATGCATTTCCGCTCTTTCACAAAGCTCGCGGGTTTTTGTTTGGTGTGGTGGGTGGGAGGTTCTGGAGGCGCGAGAGAAGCGCGGGGAGGGCGGCAACGGCGCTTCAAGAGGGTCCTGTTCCCGCTGCCCACCCCCTCCCTTTTGTAGGCCGCTTTACATGCACGATCAGGAACCTTCCTAGTTAGGTATTCATAGCGCGGGGCGAGTAATCGAGTAGGGAGGGAGAGGACCGCGCCGGGGCCAGGCTGGGCGCCGCCTCCTCCGCATGTCAGAAAGGAGACCCTCGTCATTAAGCCAGCACCGAGTTCCCTTCGCAGGCCAGCGCAGCGACTCATTAACAGCCGCCCAGCCGCTCCTCTCTCTGCCCCCTTCTTCTAGATCACGCACTTCCCCGCACGGGCGGATCCTTCTCGCCTCGCTTTTGCTACCCAGCGGGCTTGTTAACGGCTCAGGCCCGGCCACGCCGAGGGAGCCCCGCTCGCCGATCCCCGTTATGCCCCAACCTCCCCTTTCTCCCCCCCTCCTCAATATAGCGCCAGGCCGGCCAGGCAAACGTCCGCCAGCCCCGAGCGCCCCCTCGGCTCAGCGGACACCCCCACCGCCTGCCCACCCGCCACCGGCGTCCCGCCCCCGCCCCGAGGCTGAAGGCCGCGGGGCGAAAAGCGGCGCGGGACAAGGAGGGGGAGGAGCGCCGCCGGGACCCCGCGTGTCTATGGCGACGGTGGCGGCGGCGGAGACGCCACAGGGGTACGAAGCCCCCTCGACCCCCGTGAAGGACGTGACCCCTCTGCGCCCCTCCCGCACCAACCTGCGGGCGAGGCGGAGCTGGACGCGGAGGAGGAGGAGGCGGTTTCACTCCGTACAAGGCGGGCAGGCAGGCCGAAGGGGACGAGAAGCACCTCACGCAACAGCGTGCTCAGCCACCGGCTAAATATACCCGGCGCGCAACCTAACCCTATGGCATGCCCGCAGCCAGTTAGGAGCCGGCTCGATGCCCAGCTCGGAGAACGATAGGCCGTAAGGGAGGGAGGGGAGGCGGTTGACATCCAGAGAGACCAATCGCGTTACAGCAAGCGCAAAGCCGGTTAATAGGACTGACGTCCGTATTAATCAATAGCTGTTGCGGAAAGACTTCTGAAGGCGGAGATGGTCATCGCCGATTCGGACGAAGACCAATGAGGCGACGCTCCTTTCGTTATTAGGAGAAAGGTTCTGTGGAGGTGTGGCTACTTTGCCCGCCAAGGATAGGTGCGCTGCACAGTAGAAACCCTGGAAACTGAGGCCTAGAAACCCCGTGTGAGGAAAGGCGTGGCTCCAGAGCGGCACCGGGCATACAGTCCAATTACGAAGGACGTTACCCTATGACGGGCAGGCGAGGAGCTCTGGCTTATTAAAGAAACACACCTTGCCTTAAAAGAAACAAAAACCCTTTTCTTCAAGATTCCTCTTAAACCTCTCAAAGTCGCATTGCCCACTATAATCCCCCTCACCAAACACCACTAGTTACCCAAAACACACCCACTCTAAAAATAAGTGCTTGAAATCAGCTGCCTTCCTTAATAATCCCATAATTAGCTTCCATAAAGGAGATGAGCCCGCAACCTCAGAGTCGTCTGAGACTGGACTTAACTGTCAGGGGTCTTTTACCTTTACCTTTTAATTGTCATAACATGAGTATCTTCAGTCACATTGGATTAGATCAGTACAATGCACTGTGCGGGGGCTACGCCTGAATACATTTTGGAAACTGCAACCACTATTGGTACATTTACATTGGCTGCCTTTATCAATCAATCAATAATTTCATTTGTGTGCCTCCTTTCAAAAATCAATACCTTGCTCAAGACAGCGTACAACATATGTTTGTAGTTATGTAACTTTAAAAAACAACAACACAAAAGTAGTCATAATAAACAAAAGACCAAAAAGAACACAAGTGAACAATTTCCACATAAATCATAAGATACAAAATAAGACACAAAAAATTGACCGCAACAACAACCGTTTCCCAGCAAAAACCTCTAAATAATACCCCAGCCCAGGATTCTGGTCAAGAGCCTCAGCTTTTGTAGCTGGAGTCAGTCAGGGCCTCACCTTCCCAGACCAGGTGGAAAAGGTGCTACTTTACTGAAATTTGGCAGGATTCATCCCCTCAGAAGGAGATACTCTGCTTGAAAATTAGATCTAATTCTGCTAAAAACAAGAAAGTGAGATTATTCTTTTGTTAGAGGAGGTGTAAATTTTGGAAAGTGTCCAGTACAAAAAAAAACAACCCTCTGGACCTATTTGTCTATAATTTGGCAGGTCTTACCTACTAAGGAGATGTCTGTATGTCTGCTAACTTCATCCACTTGTGTCAAAAGGAAAACAAGGGATGGAGATATTTTTTTCAGGATAAGAGTTAGAGGTTGTTCCTATGAAACCTCAATAATATACATTTAAAACAGCGAGCACTGAATCCTAGATAAAGGCAGCCTTCATTTAAATAGGATGGAAATATTAAAGCCCTTTTACAGTACTTTCTCTTTTCCTAGAGTAGCTCTCTAAAGACGCCTTCTCCCTGTGTCAAGAGAACTGCAGTCGCTAAACTGGCATTTTGGCATCCTCACATTTTAGTCCTCCCCTCTGCCTAGCTATTTAGGAAAGTGGAACCACTGTGCAAGCTGCCAACTCATAAATCAGCGGCTTAGGCGAAGCTTTTGTAGAACTGATATGAAATAAATGACCAAACAAGAGAGATTCTTTTTCAATAAGCCAACTCCCACACCCAGCTAGTCTTCCAGGAAGAAACTTATTGCACCCAGCCTGAAACAACAGCCATGGTGACGCACACAACACATTCCCTGCTCTTGCACTAGTCATCTATAATTCCAGGGAAACAGTATCTTCCTACACTTCTGTTTAGCGGTAGTGCAGCTAAACTGGGAGAGGGAGGAAGGGATCTGGATGGCTTTATGAATTAGCTGAGCTAGCAAAGGCTAGCAGAGAAAGAAACTACTGATCCCTGCCTGTTCATTATGCTTCTCCCTACCCTGCAGATGAAAATGATTTTCCTTCTAAGGGAAAGTTGTTACAGCAGGAAAACTGTGGGGCTCACTAATGTAACAATGCATTTCAGGCCAGGTCAGAATCCGATCTCAAGGCCCTCTGAAAAGATCTGCTAACACAGTGGTTCCAGGTTAAATAGAAGAGGTGCCTCCCTTTCTTGGAGAGCTGTTTTACTGGGGTGGGGGGAAGCACACACGAAACTGTCCCTGGCACTTTTGCCGGGGGAAAGCACGACATAGATTTCTGCCTGTCACGCAGAAGTCACAGTTTCTCTGAGCGAAGATGGTGGCAAGCCTAGACACTAGAGTCAGCAATGTCTCTCATGCAAAATGAGAGACTCATAGGGAGTCTGGAACGACCATTTAGAAGACAGAGAAGCAAGGAACAAAATTGATATTTTTGTTGTATGTGTCTGCCTGTGCGGTGTTCTGTTCTGGTTGCCTCATCTCAAAAAAGGATGTTGGGGAGCTGGAAAGGATAAAGAAAATGAGAACTAAAAGTATCAGGGGGCTCAGCCATCTCCTGTAAGAGGTTACAGGTTACAATGTTGAGGTTCTTAGCGCGCGGGGTGGGGGGGGGAGAATTTAGGTGGGGGGGGGGCATAACAGAAGTTTATATAACTGTCCATGGCAGAAAGAATGTGGATAGGGAGAACTTTTCTCTTTCAAAAATTTTTTACCACCTGGAGCCATCTTGTGAAGGGTGAGAGATTCAGGACAAACAAAGGGAAAAACTTACAACAGTACATACATAGGACTTGTCCACATCTGAGCATTATTTAGCTATAAATCCCCTCCTCCCCCCACTTCAACTGCTACTTCGACTGGAGTAGCACACACCAACAGGTTATTTTGTATATGAGGAACAACTTTGGTGTTTCCTATTCATACTAGTAGCTTTCCCTTTTGTGTTTGTCCATGCCTTCTAATTTGTTAAATCTATTATACCAACTGAATACCAACTGTGTATGGGACCAGATAGGTCCATGTGCACTTTGTTTTTTAAAAGTTTCGATTCTACCAAAAATAAATAAAATTGAGAACAGTAGAGCAGCTCAAACATGCAAACTAATGTATATGAATGTTGGCATCTGTCTCGAGAGACAATGGAATGAGCCTTTGGGGATGAGGTCAAACATCTGTGCTAGCACACTGAAGTGACCTTCCTAGGGCACAAGCTTGGGTGGTGTGTATGGAGGGGCTGGGCTCCCAGACAACAAGAACCCCCTCTTGGCCTCACTGATGTGGACCAAAGGAAAGCAGAGCAATATATTTGGCACCAGCCTGGCTGCAGGAGTTGCCAGAAGGAGGCATGTAAGATGCCATCCAACCATCTTAGGGACTGCACTCTGGATTTGTGTAGGGTTTACTCCTTAGCCTTTACTTTTCCCGACGATGTTCTGCAAGGCAATGGAGGTTTAAGATCAGAAATTTCCTTCCTGTAGATGGGCTACCTTCCCAGGTTGATGAGCCCCACCTGCCCCTCGGAATGAATGAAGAAGAAAACTTACACACCCAACATGTTAATTCCCCAAGTTTCTACCATCACTCTCTTACGATCTAGAGTTAGTGAATGTTAAAAATTAGTAAAATGGTAGAATTTAGATAATACTGTATTTAGGACATTGAAGAGAAAATACAGGCTGCAGCAGCTCTCCTGAACTGTGCCAAACATGGGAATTCCTGGGGTTAACCTATGCAAACTAACCTGGCAGGGCTAGCTGAGTGCAAGCCCGTTATGAAACAATGGTCAGTCATTAACACATTAAAGAAGCACCTTTGGGACTGGGCAAAACAGAGTTGCCTTGGTTACTGTGGAGGGAGAAAGGTTGGGAGGAGGCAGGCAGTGCCCACAAGGAGAAAAAGTGTCCTTTTACACAGAGGCGCATGGCCAGTCGTCCACAAGAGCAATGCAACTGACTTCAATGATATCACTCCTAGTACACCATTAATTATGGTAACTATGAAGTCTGTTTTTCCTTAGCATAATTTTGAAATGTAACACCCCCAAAAAAATATATTATGCAGGAAACATAACCAAACAATATAAGAATAGTAAAAAAATAAGGAAGGACAAAAATTTCAGAGTTCACTTTCAAACCATTGGCATATCAGGCAAAAGAAAATAAGGATACATTACAAAATGCAATGTTACATTATAAAGCATAATAACCAATATTTCAATCTTTAATGAAACCATTCACCTGTCTCCTTGATCCTTGCCCATCCTGGCTTATAAAAGCTAGCCGGGAAGGGCTGGGCAATGGGCTTCGCGGGGTGGTGAATGCTTCTCTCTGTGAGGGAGCCTTCCCAGACCCGCTGTAAGAGGCGGTTATCAAACCGCTTCTTAAAAACCCATCTTTAGATGCTGCCAATATGGCCAACTATCGCCCAGTCTCAAATCTTCCATTCTTGGGCAAGGTGATTGAGTGAGTGGTTGCTGAACAACTCCAGGCACGCCTGGAAGAAGCGGACCATTTGGATCCCTTCCAGTCGGGATTCAAGCCTTATCATGGGACTGAAACTGCCTTGGTCGCACTGGTCGATGATCTCTGGCGGGCTAGGGACAAAGGTGAGAGCTGTTTCCTAGTTCTGCTGGATCTCTCAGCGGCTTTTGACACCATCAACCATAACATGCTTCTGGACCGTCTTGAGGGGCTGGGAGCTGGGGGCACTGTTAGACAGTGGTTCCGCTCCTTCCTCCTGGGCCGTGTTCAGAAAGTGGTGGGGGGGGGATGAGTGTTCAGACCCCTGGGCTCTCACTTGTGGGGTGCCTCAGGGTTCTGTCCTCTCCCCCGTGCTTTTCAACATCTACATGCAGCCGCTGGGGGAGATCATCAGGGGGTTTGGGCATCAGTATGCGGACGATACCCAGCTCTACTTCTCTTTTAAATCAGAACCAGTGAAGGTGGTGAAGGTCCTGTGTGAGTGTCTGGAGGCGGTTGGAGGGTGGATGACGGCTAACAGATTGAGGTTGAATCCTAACAAGACAGAAGTACTGTTTTGGGGGGACAGGAGGCATGTGGGTGTGGAGGATTCCCTGGTCCTCAATGGGGTAACTGTGCCCCTGAAGGACCAGGTGCGCAGCCTGGGAGTCATTCTGGACTCACAGCTGTCCATGAAGGCACAGGTCAATTCTGTGTCCAGGACAGCTTTTTATCAGCTCCATCTGGTACGCAGGCTGAGACCCTACCTACCCGCAGACTGTCTTGCCAGAGTGATGCACGCTCTAGTTATCTCTCGCTTGGACTACTGCAATGTGCTCTATGTGGGGCTACCTTTGAAGGTGACCCAGAAACTACAACTAATCCAGAATGTGGCAGCTAGACTGATGACTGGGAGCGGCCACCGAGACCATATAACACCGGTCTTGAAAGACCTACACTGGCTCCCAGTACGTTTCTGAGCACAATTCAAAGTGTTGGTGCTGACCTTTAAAGCCCTAAACGGCCTCGGTCCAGTATACCTGAAGGAGCATCTCCACCTCCATCGTTCTGCCCAGAAACTGAGGTCTAGCGCCGAGGGCCTTCTGGCAGTTCCCCCACTGCAAGAAGCCAAGTTACAAGGAACCAGGCAGAGGGCCTTCTTGGTAGTGGCGCCTGCCCTGTGGAATACCCTCCCACCAGATGTCAAAAAGAAAAATAACTACCAAACTTTTAGAAGACATCTGAAGGCAGCCCTGTTTAGGGAAGCTTGTAGTGTTTAATAGGTTATTGTATTTTAGTGTTTTGTTGGAAGCCGCCCACAGTGGCTGGGGAAACCCAGCCAGATGGGCGGGGTATAAATATTAAATTGTTGTTGTTGTTGTTGTTGTTGTTGTTGGCATGTGCCTTTGACAGCTGTGTGAATGGCAGAATTCAACAATTGCAATTTCCCCTGGCATACAAATACAATGATGGAGCAAACCACTTCTTGAGGATCTGCTTGTCACACAGCTATTAAGGACATAGGCGTTGGGCCAGAAAAAAATGTAGTAACCTTAACAGAGTCTTCTGTCAGTAAAGTTGATACTTTTTCATTTGTCCTGCTCCTATATGCCTCAAATAAGAGCCTGCAACTTACAAAATCAGGAGGTAAAGCTTTTCCTGGGAAGGATATTACAGTCATACCTCAGGATAAATGTGCTTCAGGCTGAGCGTTTTCAGGTTACGCTCCGCGGTGACCCGGAAGTAACGGAGTGCGTTACTTCCGGGTTTTGCCGCTTGTGCATGCGCAGACACTCAAAATGACGTCACATGCATTTGTGGAAGTGGCGAATCGTGATCCGTGCACACGCAGACAAGGGTTGCATTCACTTCAGGATGTGAACGGGGCTCCGGAAAGGATCCCGTTTGCATCCAGAGGTACCACTGAAATGGCTGAAAAAGTTTCGCTTTTGTAGAGCATCATCCTGGACATGTTTGTTCCAAAATCAATCCCATGGAGTCTAAACAAACTTGCTCACAGAGTCATAGAGTTGGGGGGGGGGCTTGTTTGCTATCATCTAGTTCAAGGTTTCCCAAGCTTTGAGTTCATTGAGTTCATCAACCCCAAACTAAAAAAAATTCAGAATGTCAAGAAATATCAATATATAATCAACATTCATCAATCACCATTACTCACCATGACCAGATATCATTTTTAAAAATAAAAAAATAGGAATTTGTGAGATGCATACTTTTTCCAGAATGATCACAGGAGAAGATGTGGCAAGTATTAAATCTCCAGCAGATGGCACCAGGTACCTGTCCTTAAACACTGTGGCATTGGTAGTAGCATCTCTCCCTCTAAAGAATAAAGCCTTGCGGTACCAAAAAAAAAACATTTATTTAATCAGTTTTGCAAACTGTGCGTGGGCGTGACTATCCAGGTATCACAACCCAGCAAAGTGGAAAAAAATTAAATCAGCAAGGCAGGCCAGACTGGGGTAACTGTGCCCCTGAAGTCATTTTGGACTCACAGCTATCCATGCAGGTGTAGGTCGGTCAATTCTGTATACCTGAAGGAGCCTCTCCACCCCCATCATTCAGCCCGGAAACTGAGGTCCAGCTCCAAGGGCCTTCTGGCGGTTCCCTCACTGCGAGAAGGGAGGTTACAGGGAACCAGGCAGAGGGCCTTCTTGGTAGTGGCGCCTGCCCTGTGGAACGCCCTCCCATCAGATGTCAAGGAATAAACAACTATCTGACTTTTAGAAGACATCTGAAGGCAGACCTGTTTAGGGAGTTTTTAAATGCTTGATGTTTTATTGTGTTTTTAATATTCTGTTGGGAGCCACCCAGAGTGGCTGGGGAAACCCAGCCAAATGGGTGGGGTATAAATAAATTATTATTATTATTATTATTATTACTACTACTACTACTACTACTTTTTTCTGGGGAGACACAAGGGTACACATACCCTTAAACATTTTGTGAATCTAAGTTTGGCCTCTTTGAGGGGCAGTATTTCAATATGAGTAGGAAAATTGTTGTTGTTGTTGTTTAGTCATTTAGTCGTGTCCAACTCTTCGTGACCCCATGGACCAGAGCACACCAGGCACTCCTGTCTTCCACTGTCTCCCGCAGTTTGGTCAGACTCATGTTGGTAGCTTCGAGAACACTATCCAACCATCTCAGCCTCTGTCGTCCCCTTCTCCTTGCGCCCTCAATCTTTCCCAACATCAGTCTTTTCCAGGGAGTCTTCTCTTCTCATGAGGTGGCCAAAGTATTGGAGCCTCAGCTTCACGATCTGTCCTTCCAGTGAGCACTCAGGGCTGATTTCCTTAAGAATGGATAGGTTTGAAAATTAGAAAATTAGAGTGTCCCTAAAACACTCTAGAAAAATTAGAGTGTCCCTAAACATTTTCTTAGAAAAAAGCAATGATTACTATACCCAGGGAGAATCTGCTTTAGGAGGCTTTTAATCTCAGAGTCGTGGGTTCCTGCCCCACGCTGAGGCTTGGACTAGATGACCCTTGGTGGTCCCTTTCTCTCTCTTACAATTCTGAGATGCTACAGACTCGTGGAATTTCTCCTCCTAGCGGCGCAAAGTGTGAAGAGCGCGCGCGTCCCCGGCTTCCCCCCCGCCTTCCCGACGCCGACTCTGCCGGAGAAGGCTTAGCGCAGGAGGGGGGGCCGGCCAGTGGGAGGGGCGCGAGCTGGTTTGGTGGCCTTTCATTTCGCGGAGGCTGCGGAGGGAGCCGCGTCGTTCAGCTGAGCAGCAGCCAGGAAGGCTTCGGAGGAAGAAGAGGAGGAGCAGCCGCAGCCGCAGCAGCAGCCATGCCGGTGGGTGGTGATTCCTTCGCTGGGCAGTCGCGCCGTTGCCCTTTCCGGACGCAGCATCAGCCTTTCCCCACATCCATCTGCCGTTGTCGTTTCTACTGCCGGGAAAAGAAGGAGATGGACTCGCCTTCCGGGGATTCCTAACGATCGGGCCCAGTTTGAAAGACGCCCGCCCTCGGCCCCGTTGCGACTCGGGAGGCGCCCCTCCCGCAAAACGGGGTGACGATGTGGAAGGGTGCTGCTCAAGGCGCGGGGTGCTCTGCGCTGGGATTGGGGCGTTACCGGATCTGTGGCTTGGCACAGGCTTCTCTTGGCGGCCTTGGTCATGTCACTTAAGAAATGCTGGTTTTAAAGGGATTATCATTATTATTACTATTATTATTATTATTAGTTTGCTAGTATTTATAAAGCGCTTGATCGCAGGAAAAAACAACCTCCAAGCAATTTTTAGGGTACTGTGAGGTATGGGCATAGTCAGGATGGTGCAGGGGGGCAGCTCCCGCCCCTCCCATCAAGTAAATACTGTAAATAAAAATACTTAACTAACTGATCAGTTGTGTTGCAGATACTGTAACTTGGTTCTGCACCCAACCCCTTAACATAAGGCCTGCTCCCCACCCCCCCAAAAATAACACCCATACTGTGAAGTGGTGTTGGCACCAGATTTGCAACGTGGTTTTGCCACACACATTATAGTGGTTCTTAAACTGCTTCTGCTCGCTGCTGCTATGTGGCCCGCCTCTCTTGATCCAGTTTTAAGTCTTCCATAAGGAGGGCGTGCTGCCACGGTTTGCCAAGCCAGGGAGATCACACTAACGATGAGCTGTTCGTTTTAAATCAAGTCGGGGGAAGCAAATTAAGAGGTTCCCAATATTGAATAAATGGGAGCCAAAGCTGTATGTTTTGCTTCACCTGAGAGTGTCTGTGAAGGTTTAAAGTGTTTTTATCCCTCTCTTAAGCGCAAAAAAGTCTCAAAGCCTCTTACACATATCAGTGATAAGACCAGCTTTTGCCAACCTGGCAACGTCCAGATGTTTTGGACCACAATTCCCACCAGCAGTCTGGTTGTCTCTGAGTAATATCTGTGCTTTAGAGGAAGGGCGGTATAGAAATTTAAATTATTATAATATAATATAAACCCTAAGCCTGAAGCCTTGACCACCATCCCCTGTTGTTTTTCTTCATCGCAACCCCAATGGGTAACCTGATGGCAGCAACCCATTGCCTCTCAGACTGCAGTTATGAAAAACCAAAATCGAATCCTAGTGTTGTATTCCACCCTCACAGGATCACTTTGGGAATTGATCCCTAGGAGCTGATGTTACAACAGGACTGCTAATCTGTGTATTGCTTGGTTGTGAATGCCTCCTTCCTTGAGCAAGGCCTGATAGTGTATAGGATCCTGCACACAGTGCCCCTCACATGCAAGTACAAGAATACATTTTAAACGGAGTGTGAGGATCCCTTCAAGAACATTTTGTGATCTTCAAGTGACGCATTAAAGAACAAGTTGTATTAAGGTCTCCCACAGAGCCTAGGACTTGCTGATCAAAAGGTCGGCGGTTCGAATCCCTGCGACGGGGTGAACTCCCGTTGCTCGGTCCCAGCTCCTGCCAACCTAGCAGTTTGAAAGCACGTCAAAGTGCAAGTAGATAAATAGGTACCGCTCCAGCGGGAAGGTAAACGGCGTTTCCGTGCACTGCTCTGGTTCACCAGAAGCGGCTTAGTCATGCTGGCCACATGACCCGGAAGCTGTATGCCAGCTCCCTCGGCCAATAAAGCGAGATGAGCGCCGCAACCCCAGAGTCAGTCACGACTGGATCTAATGGTCAGGGGTCCCTTTACCTTACTTTAGTGAAAGTGTCTCGTTTGAATAAACCTTTCAGCTTCTAGCAAAGATGGAAGTGACTTGAATCCATGGAAAGATTCTAGGGGTTTGGTCCATCTTATGTCATCCAGTTCTGTTTGGCCCATCCCTGATATAGAACAGATTATGTGTCTTGGATTTCAGGCCTCTCTCCAGTTTCATCTTTATGAATTGTGTTTTTAGAGGTGCTAAGAAAAACTGGTTAGTAATGCAAGATCTGGCTCTTTTTGCTCCTCCCTCTTCTCCCTGCCCTCCCCCAGTAGACTCCAGTAATATTACACAGTAAGCCACAGGGACATACAATTCTCTCAGGGCTGGGCTGTTTACGAAGGTTTCAAGTTCTGCCACAACTTTTAAACATCCTGGGTTGGGTACATACTTCATACTATGAAGAGAAAGAGTACTGTTAACCTGTCTACTGAGGGGTGTTGTTGTTTACTATAAAATGGCTATTTTATAACTCAGTGTTGTAAATGTCTCTTTAAAAAAGATAGTCTAGTTAAAATTGAAATACAAATTAAACACACAAGTGTTTTTAGACTGAAGGAACGGCCCTCTATAAAGCAAATAGTTAAAAACTGTTCTTCTGCATAAGCAGAAAAGCAGGAAAAATAAATATTTTGAGGCCAAACATTAATATGGCACAATAAACATTATTATGGCCTTCATTCTAGGACCAATGAAGTATCTAGTCATCTCTGAACTTCATTCCAGACCCAGAAAATGCCATCCTGGCTGATCATCGACTTCATCAACCCAAATTATCTCTTTAACTGTGTTAGCTCTGCGATTTGCTCTGTAGTATCTGTTTTCTATCAATAAGGACATTTCCTTTTCGTCTTATGAAAAGAAGCTGTTTGCTTTTTTTGCAGGGTGGAGAGAATGGGTCCTTTGTTGTCTTTAAATAGACATTACAGGTCAAGTGTGTTTTTGATTGTAACGGATTTTAGCTACTTTCTGTTCTTGTGTAGAAATACTTTCTGTTTCTGGTGTGGGGCAAGGCAGGAAAGAAAGCAAAAGTGAAAAAAGACACCCCCACCCCAAAAAAGAGTCCTGTTGGATCAGACAAATGCCTATTTAATCTAGTGCCTTGTTGCTTGCATTGGCTATTCAGATATCTACCGCATGAGTAGGACTCAAAGGCAATAACTATCTCCTTCTGTTCCAGTAAATAATATTCAGAAAGCAGCAATACTATAAAATAGTAGTGTAAATGTTCCATGTAGATGTAGTGTTAATTACCTAATTGTTTAGGAAATGCATGAAGTACCAATAGAATTTCCTAAATCAGCCTTCCCCCACCCACCTTGGTGATTTAAATTGCCTTGATTTAAATTAATTCGCCCCGACTGAAGAAAAGGAGAACATCATTTTGGCTGACAATGTATTCTTAAAGAAAATGCATCTACAACTTGATCCCAACATTTAAACAAAGTCTCAGCAAGTTATGTTCATGTGCATACGCTCAAAGTCTATGGAGCACAGGTTTATGGGTGCTGCAGTTGACATCAACCTGAAATTTATTTATTTGTTGCATAAATTTCAACATTTTAACAAGGTATCCAAACCCAAGCAGTTAAGGTCAAGCTTTGATACTAACTTTTATTATTGTTTAATAAACTAGTTTTTATAACATCAATGTGCAGTTGCTCAGTGAGAGATATTTCAATGGCCTCTCCATTCTTTCTCCTTGCTATTTCAGAAACATGAATTCTTTGTAGACATGACCTGTGAAGGGTGCTCTAATGCCGTCACCCGTGTTCTCAACAAGCTGGGAGGTGAGTGGTACCTGGCAGACCACAAGACTTGAACACTCAAGACTTCTTCTTGCACTTAGCGTTATGCTTAAAGTATTCCTGCTTGCATTGTTTGAGGCTCCTCACAGGGTCTCTGCCATGGGAGCATATTCACCCAGTGCTTTTCCAGCTGCACTGGCTCCCAGTGGAGTACAGGGTCAGATTTAAGGTGCTGGTTTTGACCTTTAAATCCTTCACGGCCTAGGACCCTCGTACCTACAGGACCACCTCTCCTGGTATGCCCTGCGGAGGACCTTAAGGTCCATAAATAGCAACACCCAAGAGGTCCCAGGCCCTAAGGAAGTTAGATTAGCCTCAACCAGAGCCAGAGCCTTCTAACTTGGTTTGCAGTTGTCAGTGCAGCATGCTAGAAAATGTTCCAACTCATAGTGCATTCATCTTTGCATATCGTATTTTCATTGCAGGGTTTTAAAAAGATTAAATGAGCCACTTAAATGATGTGCAGCTTTTGCTTCATTCTTTGCCCCAGCTGAAGTAGCAAGCAACTTCTAGAGGGCTTGCTGCTTTGCTCCTAATACAGTGGTACCTCCAGTTACGAACTTAATTCATTCCGGAGGTCCTTTCTTAACCCGAAACCGTGCTTAACCTGAGGCGCACTTTCGCTAATGGGGCCTCCCGCTGCTGCCATAACGCTGGCGCGCGACTTCCGCTCGCATCCCAGGGCAAAGTTCGCTACCAGGAGACCTACTTCTGGGTTAGCGGAGCTCATTACCCAAAGCGTTCGTAAGGAGGACAGTACGTAACCTGAGGTTCCACTGTAGAGGTAGTTAGTCAGTAACTAAATATTGATTGTTGCTGGAATGTTTGTCTTTCATCCCGTGTCCCTTAGGACTGCGTAATTTCCTCTTCTAGACAGTTGTCCAGTCAACTTTATTCTCTTTACAAGATCAAAGGCTTACTCCAAAACTCATTTAAATCATTGACGCATAACTCTGGTTGCTTCTGCTCTGCAGTAGGAGAGCTGAATCTGCTGCTGTCTTTATCACCTTAGCAAGCGTCTAATCTCCTGTCCTCCATTGGTGTCAGCATAACTGTTGCAAGACATGGAAGGTTGCCCCCACGCAAAGGATTTGCTACACATAAATTTCTTCCACGTTGGGACAGAAATGAACCTCATTTGCCTCACAGTTATCTGCATTTCATTCTGGCGGCATATACTGAGAAGCTGCATGGTGCCTTTTTGTGTATATGTGACATGTGGGGTGTGCCTGAAGTCCCCATGTGTGATTCCTTGCAGTTTCCTACCCCGATGTTACTTCCCCGTAGGAAACCACCAGCCTTGATAATGTTCCTCCTTATAAAAAGTTTCCTTGGTATAGAAAGCTAGCATGTGCAAGGTGTTCTTCTTTCACAAGAACGCCTTTCAGCTGTAGACAACTGATGTTGCAGCCAGGGAGAATCCAGCTCCCAACCATCTTGGATTCAAAGCATATGGCCCTTCCTAAGGGAAAATAGTCTAATGGAAGGAGAAATAAGGGTGAAATTCTAAAGGAAACATCTGTCTCACTACAAAAGCCCAATACAGAGAAGTCCTTGGTCCATCTCGCTCAGTATTGAGAGGCAATGGTTCTTCAGGGTCTTAGGCAGGGCTTTTTCACATCACATCATCTGCTACCTGGAGAGGAATATGGGAAACTCCTTTTACACAGAGTCAGACCATTGGTCAGTCTCTCAGTATTTTCTTAAGCTGACCGGCAGTTGCTCTCCAGGATTTCTGACAGAGGTCTTTCCCAGCCCTACCTGGAGATGCTGGGGATTGAAGCTGAGACCTTTTTGCATGAATGCTCTACGAGTTTCCCAAACTTGATTATCCAGCAGTTGGTGGACTACAATTCCCATCAACCCTAGCTGCCAATACCAATGGTCAGAGATGATGGGAGTTGTAGTCCAACAACAGCTGCAGGCCCAAGTTTGGGAAACCTTGTGCTCTACCATCAAACTAAACCATCTTTTACTCATTTTTCAATGCTTAAGATGTTTTCATGGCTCTTTTGATGATTTTATCCCTGTACTCCGTCTTACTATAGCTTTCTCATAGTGAAGATTACAAATTTGTAAACAAATAAGCATAAGATAAAGTACAGCCCCACCTCAACTGATGGATATATTGCAAGTTATATAGACTATCCATTTGACATTGCCACTCATTCAAGAAGGTGGGAGAATAAATTGCGGGAAGGAGACTTCAAATTTCCAATGCTGCTTCTGTACACTGTGTCCTTTCTTTTCAGGTGTTCAGTTTGAAATCGACCTGCCCAACAAGAAGGTGAATATAGAGTCAGAGCACAGTGTTGACACCTTACTGAACACCCTGAAGAAAACTGGGAAGGATGCCTCCTACCTTGGAGACAAGTAGCCACACAGGAAGGCTTGACCAGTAGGGCTACTGTGCTTCAGGAAAGGTCAGTTGCTAGGAATACTCTTAAGCCACTCAGGGCAGAATGCTCAAGATGAGAAGTATACTGAAAACAGCAACCCCCACATTGTATAAGAAACAAAATGTATGATGTGACAGAAATCTTGCTCAGAGTTTCCCTCCTCCAGTGACTTCATAGACTGGACTGAAGTGAGGGCAAGGAAACTCTTAACTGGATGACTTCTCTTTTATATATAATATCAGAGGAGGAGATAGATCCTGTGCCATATATAAAAACTTTCCCTGCAAGCCCTGATATTTTATGTCCATTGAAGCCGGCCTCTTCTTTTGAAGTAGAGGAGCTGGTGCTGTATACAAGCTAGGACTCAAATCCAGCAAATTGTGCGTAAATCATCTGCGACTGTGTGTGCCAGGCATTTTGAAACCCCGCAAACCAGCTGTTTGGCAAGGACAGGGGCAACTGAATCCTGCGACTCCCAAGGATCTTCTCAGTGGGATTTCAGCCTTGTTTAAAGGAGGGATGTTTCTGGGCTCTGCTCCCATTGGACCCAAACCAGCATGGCCAGCAATAAAAGATGATGGAAACTGTTACTTGACAATATCTGGAATGCCACAGGTTCCTCAACTGGCTTCATAGTCTATACACGTGGATCCATTTGTGGAACTGATTTTACAGTGCCTGTTTATTCTAGCTCATCTGGGTGTGCATATCTTGATTGGGCCATGAAGCTTTGCAGAGCCATGGAGGCCACAAGCTGTGGCCTTCAGTTGCCATCACCTGATGCTCATTTTTCTGTCTTGCTGTGGTGTCTCATAAAACTTGATTTCCCCCCCCCCCAAGTTGTATGGCTTAGTAGGAAAGGGGGACCCAAGATTACCCCAGCAGTGTGCTGCAGGAGATATGCATGCACTGTGGTCTGGTGTGAAACTGATAACCCTGTCGCATAGTTTTTTGTAATGGACGGAGCTCTGTCCTTCCCCAAACCTTCACTCTTTCTCAAGGTTGGGAACCTGTTTTTAAACTCTTTAAAAATACTTGGTTCTTGGTTACACGAAATAAGAAATACATATAAGCATATAAAGAGAGAGGGAAACAAGATAAGAGCTCCCTTCTTTTTGAACACTTCCTTAACTTTTCCAGAGAGTGAAATTGCCTAGTCCAGAAATATCTTCTGAGCCTATCTGGTTACTTTCACACCATTGATTGGCCCTGAATTACCAGAAGTGAATTACATTTAGCACTGGGGTAGGAATTAACGGCCTTCCCCACCATCAGCAGCACCTACAAAGGTGCCCCATTAAGTCTGTACGGATAGCAAACTACCAGTTTGGTTCTGTTGCCACTGTGGCACTAAGGAGAAAATACCTTCAAAAATTATCGTCTGCACGCTGCCAGTGTTTTTGCAGAATTGCTGGCTGTCCTGTGGTTGCATCAATGTGGGAACAATAACAAAGAGGTTTTTTTGTGTTGTTGTTGAGGAATGTTCTGCTCCTTGTGCACTGAAAATTTAAGCCTTCATTGAACGTACCGGTTGTTCACACAAAAACACTTTATAGCAGTAGGATTGAGTGGGGCATGTTTGCATGAGAGCAGCAGAACCTAATAACTTTGAGTCTTTCCAAAGTACACAGGAAACATTGGTCCGACTCACATTAAATGGACAAGATTTTTATTTTGGCTGTATTTAGGCCCAGTTCTGCATGCCTTTTTCTCTTTAAAACAAGTTCTGCACACTAAAAAAATCAAAATCCTGTGGCACAATAATGATTCTGTACACAACAAAACTGAATTATTTGATGCACAGTCTGCTTTGCACAACACAGCTGCTGCTCATCATGAGAACCAGGGGGGAGAGAAATAGATCTGTAAAATATTATTTGCCTATCTGCTTTTACTACTGAAGATTCTATTCTGCCCTCCTACCACCCTGGGTTCTGAGTTTTAGTAGGCATTGGCTGCGCACTAGAATGCAGGCATGCTAATGCCACATCCGCACCATGATGCCACTTCAAACAGTCACTTGGTGTCCACAAAAAGAATTCTGGGAGCTGTAGTTCGTTAAGGGTACCGAGAGTTATTAGCAGACCCCTAGTCCCCTCAGAGCTACTATTGCCAGAGTGGTTTAACAATCAATCCCTCTTCACAGGAAACTCTGAGAATTGTAGTTTTGTGAGGGGAATAGGGGCCTTCTAACAAGGTGTGGGAGGAATTGTAAACACACAAGTCAGGTAGGTAGGTAACCCACCAAACCATATACAGCCAAACTGCTTGTAGATGCCAGCACACCAAGGACTTTCCTTCCTTCCCACCACCTTTTGTCTGCCAGGAACTGCAGCGATGGGTAGCAGGAGCAGAGCATCAAGCACATTATAGGCCGCAAGAAAAGATTTCTGCCTGCTTTCCACACACCAGGGGGAGCAGCAGTTGTAGTAGCCTGCAGTAACCGGCTGAGGGCCCCCCAAAGCAGCCTTTGTTTAAAATGGATGTTCCTTCTAGGTCCCACCAGCAGATGCTGCCCTTGCCTAACTCTCCACCCTTCCTTTATTTTGCAGCAACGCTTAACATGGCTTCAGTCCGAAGGCGGCTGTTTACACTTCTGTCAATCTTCCTTTGACCACAGTTGCCCTGCCAGATGTTGGAGAAGAGGGGAAGGGTGGGAAGAAGAAGAAGAAGGCCTTTGGTGGGGGAAGGACTATGAGAAATTTGACCGCAGATGTCCCACATACCGTCCTACAGCTGTAGTGTTTCTTCTATTTGGCTTTGTAATAAAACTTGGATCTGCTATATTCAAGTAAACGCCGTGGCTCTTAGTATATATCTTTTAAGCCCCGTTTTCTTTTTGGTGGGGCAGGGGCTGACTTTTAAAAATGAGTACCAATCGTGAGCTGATTTATTTCAGTCCACCAATGAGATAATATTCTAACGAGATGAACTGAGCATTGCTAGGATACATCATTGGGTGCCAAGGAGTGTAGCTCAGTGCTAGAGCATCTGCTGTGCATGCACAAGGTCCCAGGTTTATTCCCTGGCATCTCCAGTTAGGGCTGGGAGTATCCCACCTGAAATCTTGGAGACCCACTGCCAATCATTGGGGGCAATCCTGAGCTTGATGGACCAATGGTGTCACTCGGTATTAGGCCACTAGGTTACAAACACATATTCTTATTGGACCAAAATTCTCCAGTGGCAACATAGAACCATGTGGCATAGTGGATCGAGTGTCAGACATGTCAGGGAGGTGAAATCTCTTGTCTTATGTGCAGAGTGACACTTGGATACATTTGACGAGTGACCTTAAACAAGTTACTGCCTCTTCAGCCTAACCTACCTGCCCAAGATAGTGGGCCATTAGAAATGGGAGAACCTCATTTGTATTGCCTTGTGCTCCTTGAAGGAAGGTAGGAAGCAAATGTAGTGTGTCTTTGTCCTTGTACATTGGTACCTCGGGTTAAGTACTTAATTCGTTCCGGAGATCCGTTCTTAACCTGAAACTGTTCTTAACCTGAAGCACCACTTTAGCTAATGGGGCCTCCTGCTGCTGCCGTGCCGCCAGAGCAAGATTTCTGTTCTCATCCTGAAGCAAAGTTCTTAACCCGAGCTACTATTTTTGGGTTAGCGGAGTCTGTAAACTGAAGCGTATGTAACCTGAAGCGTATGTAACCCAGGGTACCACTGTACTTCCAGAAGAGCATCTGCACTTCTTTCTGCTGCTATTGAGAAGAAACGAGCCAGAAATGGCTGTGGTCACTTCAGTTTAATATTAAGACAAGAATAGAGACGGCCTTTTTATTTTTTATTTTTTTGGTTGAGGAGTGGGGAAATGTTCTCACGCTGCCTGCACCATTTTATTGGGGAATCAGTGGCAGAAGATAGAGCATCTGAGGAAAAATCCAAGAGAAGGTGCTGTGAGCAAATAAGCAATAATAGTTGTGTTAATATCCCACAGCTAGCACATCTCTGGAGAGCTAAGCTAATTTCCCTCATAGGTCTCAGGAGTAGGTGGTTGTTTGGAAACTATAACATTTTCCATCACAACAGTATACACTGCCAAACAGAGGTCTTGAGTAAGGAGAGATGTGCTAGCTACAGAGATGGGTCTCTCTTCTCTCCCCCCACCCTTTCCCAGCTATGAGTTCATGAAATTTCCTTCTCTTTATCTGTCCTAAATGTCAATAACAATTGTCGCAATGCCATGAGAGTCTGTAAAATGAATCTGAAATGTGAATCTGAGAAATGCAACCAAAACAAACCTAACAGCTGGGGAGTGGCTTGTTCATTTCATCTCCCCCCTACCCCGCCCCACTTAATCACAATAGAAATGGTGGATGAGGTTTCCTTGTCCTTTAAAACACACATATACACACACTACACCTTCCAAGACAAACTTTGGCACTCTAAACTCTATCTATCATCTATCTATTTGGATGTTGCCCTTCAATGAAGGATCATAGGGCAGTTTACAATATGAAAACAAAAAAAATACATATAGTAAGCAATGAGAACAATACTCTCCTCTGTTTAAAAGGCCATAGATTCTCTAATTAGCCAAAGGCCTAAGAGAAGATGCCTAAAGATACGTAATGAAGGCACTAGGTGAGCCTGATGCCTAAAGATACGTAATGAAGGCACTAGGCGAGCCTCCCTGTGGAGAGCATTCTACAAGCAGGGAGTCACCACAGAAAAGGCCTGTTTTCATGCTGCCACCCTCTAGCAAAGGAGGCACAGGAAGAGCAACCTCGCATGATGATTGCAGGGCCCGGGAGGTACATATGGGGACAGGCAGTCCTTGACGTATTGCAGTCTTCGTTAAGGCTTAGTAGGGCAAAACCACACTTGGAATTGGGCCCAGAAACTAGTTGGCAGTTCAGATAGGATTGGCATTATATACTCAATCCATCTTGCACAGGGCAGAACCTGGCTTCCAAATTCTGCACCAGCTGAAGTTTCCGAACCATCTTCAGAGGCAGCCCCATGTTTCATACATTGCAGTAATCTAACCTAGAGGTCACCAGAGCACAGATGACAGGAGCTAGGTTATCCTTGTCCATATAGGGGCGCAGCTGGACCACCAGCCCAAGCTGATGGAAGGTACTCTATGCCACTGAGGCCATCTGAGCCATGTGAGGCCATCTGAGCCAAGGATCCAGGAGTACCCCCAAGCTACATACATGCCCCTTCAGAGGGAGTGTAACCCCATCAAGAGCAGACCACCTCCCATCCATCCAGTCTAACGGACCACCCACTAACAGCGCCTCAGTCATATCTGGATTGAGTTTCAGTTTGTTGGTTCTCATCTAGTCCATTACCAATGCAAGACAACAGTCCAGCACATTCACTGCCACACCTGCAAGTGTAAATAAGAAGTAGAGCTGTGTGCCATCAGCATATTGCTGGCAACGTACTCTCAAACTCTGGATGATGCCACTCAGCAGTTTCATGTAGATGTTAAACAGCAAGGAGGATAAAATTGAGCCCTGAGGAACTCAACATTGAAGGCTCCACAGGGCTCCTCAAGCATTAACCTCTGGAAACGACCATCCAAGTTGGACCACCCCAAAGCAGGGCCATCCATCCCTAGCTTAGACGGCCACTCCAGAAGGATGTCATGGTTGATGGTATCGAAAGCCGCTGAGAGGTCGAGGAGAATTACCAAGGACACATTTCATCATCATACAGGGTGACCAAAGCAGTTTCTATGCCAAAACTGGGCCTAAACTCCAATTGAAATGGATCTGGAAAATCAGTTTCCTAGATCAGGTCTGTGACTATCTGCTCAAGAACCTTGCCCTAGAAGGGGAGACTGGCAACTGGTCAGTTATTACAGTGGTACCTTGGTTCTCAAACGCCTTGGTTGTCAAACAACTTGGAACCCAAACACTGCAAACCCGGAAGTAAGTGTTCTGGTTTGCGAACTTTTTTCGGAAGCTGAACATGCTCTGTTTTGAGTGTTAACGCTTCCGATTTGAGTGCCACACTTCTGTATTGATTGCCACATTTCCTTTTTGAATGTTACGCTGAGGTCTGTGTTTTTGCTATTTATTTTGCGTTTTCGTGGCTCTTTTGTGTGTGTGTGTGCCTGTGTGGAACCCAGTTCAGCTACTGATTGATTGATTGATTGATTGTGTGACTGTAGTACGTTGTTTATTGCTTTCCTTTTATGGATCAATGGTCTCGTTAGATAGTAAAATTCATGTTGTATTGCTGTTTTAGGGGTTGTTTTTAAAAGTCTGGAATGGATAAATCCATTTTGCATTACTTTCTACGGGAAAGCACGCCTTGGTTTTGGAACACTTGGGTTTGGGAACGGACTTTCGGAACAGATTAAGTTTGAGAACCAAGGTACCACTGTACTTAGATTTTCCAAATCCAAGGAGGACTTCTGAAGGAATGATCTTGCTGCTGCCTCCTTGAACCAGGCAATGGGACTTATCACCATAATTCTGTATATGTGTACTCCTAGTGAATTCAATTAAACTTACTCTCCTGGCTAAGCATGTATAGGACTGCAGTCCAGGTGTCCATAATTCTACCCTGGATTGTGGCCATATCTCTCCCCCTTCGCACACACACACTCCAGCATTAAAGCATTCTTATTATTTGTTTAAGCCTTACTAAGAGCATTTGAGGTGTGTGACAGAATCATGTCCATTAATGCTGGCGAAGAATCAATCTTCTGAAACTTTCTGGGTTTCATGCGCTCAGTTTCTCCACTGGATCATTTGAGTTAACAGCTAGTTGACTCTTGTTTACCTATTTAACAGCTTTTCCTTTTAGTTTCTGGCTAACCGTAAATGTATGGAAACACTGGGTATTTAGTTTAAAGCCCTTCATAGCTAAAATTAGAGTGTGGCTCTTCCAAGGAAGGAGAATGAAATCAAAACACACAAACAAAAGGGCTTAACTTTGCTTGCTGGTGGTGGAGTAGCAACATTTAAAGTAGTTCTTGCAGTCTGCTGCTAAACACTTACTTGGAATATGTTCAGGATCGCAGTTGCAGGGCACAGGAGCTCAGCCGGTTAGAGTGTGATGCTGATAATGCCAAGGTCGCAATTTTGATCTCCGTATGGGGTAGCTACATATTCCTGCCTTGCAGGGGGTTGGACTAGATCAGGCACCCCCAAACTCGGCCCTCCAGATGTTTTGGGACTACAATTCCCATCATCCCTGACCACCGGCCCTATTAGCTAGGGATGATGGGAGTTATAGTCCCAAAACATCTGGAGGACCAAGTTTGGGGATGCCTGGACTAGATGATCCTCAGAGTCCCTTCCAACTCCACAATTCTATGATTCTAAGATGATAATGGTTTTGGCAGCTGGACACCTGGGGACTTCATACAGCCCTTCTCCCTGCATTAAATGGGATATGAGGTGCTGTTTATTGAGCATTCGTCTTGATTTGTTTGCAGGGACAATGTTAGACAATGTTGGCTATTTACCGGGCATTCGTTCCAATTTGTTTGCAGGGAGGTTAGATGAGGTGCCAAAGCAAGTGTTATTTTGTACTTTCCAGTGCATTTTCCAGATTTTATTTGTGATTTTACTGTGTATTTCACGTAAACCACTTAGAGGCTTCGATAAACTATATATAAACATCCTTAAATAAATAGGTAGTCAGCCTGGCAGTCACTCCTCTCCAATTCCAAACATTCTCCCCATCAGCTGAAGAAAAGGTCAGGGTGGTCTAATCCCTCTGCCTCCCCATGACCAAAATAAGAATAATAAAAAAAGTTTCTTCAGATTTCATTGCTTAATGAACTAAACAAGATTCTCGGCATACTCTATAAGCAGGCAGTGAATGCTTAGAGTGGAGAATCTGTCCTCCTTTACAGGGCTTATAGCTACCATGCTGCTCCAAAACTGTCCTCTCAGAACCAATAACATATCATTAGTATAGGACTCACAGTTCTCTTTTCCTCTGCCATTATCTCTTAATGGGTTCGGAAAGCCTGTCTTTACTGCATATGTAATTTTCCCGATTCTTTCTTAGTGTGACAGGTTTTAGTTAGCCTCTTCCTCTTCCAGCTCTCTAATAACCAGAATCTTTCGCCTCAGGCCCTTGGTGTGTGGTGTCACTGTCTTGTGCTGCAATATTATGAGTTCATTTTGTGGCGTTTGTTCCGCCCCCCCCCCCCGCCCCGTCTTTTCCCTTCAGTATTTCAGCTCTAAGGTATGATATCTGCTCTTTAGCCATAAGGAAGCTACAATATGCAAGACTGGCAACATATATTAATTAAAGGCAGGGCTTTTTTCAGCTGGATCTTGCCAGAACTAATTTCCGGCATCTCTCAGGTGGGCGCCATTGCCATTCTAAGAGAATGAGGGAGGTGTTCGTGGCAACTCTTTTTCTAGAAGAAGAGCACTGCTTAAAGGTATATCCTGACAGATACAGATTGGAACAAAAGATGATGGAAGAGAAGATATCAGAAAAGGTGGGGAAGCTAGCTCTTCCTTTGCCCCTGTTACTGTCTGGGCACAATTCATAATGTGGCTTTTTTAAATTTCTGAGGACAGTTGTTGATGGCGGTTTCATGGCAATGGCCACCCCGTGTTTGAGTGTTTCCCTTTCTTTCATCAGAATTACATTTGCCTCTGAATTCCACTAAAAACAGAACTGTGCTCACCATTTGTGCTTTTGTTGAATCACAGAAGCACTTTGATATCGCCGAAACCCAATTCTGCAGTGTCTTCAGGAATTTCAGAGAGTGTTTTAGTACTATGACAACAAGAATTATGTGTTCTCCCCATACCTATATCTTTGTGAGGTGTGTGTGTGTGTGTGCGTGCATGCCACTTATGTACTGAACCATCTAATGTAACCTCATAGAAAAACTTTTTCATTCCAAGTTGCCTTTAAAATTATGAATGTTTATTCCCTGAGTTCAACTGGTTGATATTAAGCAGGCTTCCTCAACCTTGGCCCTCCAGATGTTTTTGGCCTACAACTCCCATGATCCCTAGCTAGCAGGACCAGTGGTCAGGGGTGATGGGAATTGTAGTCTCAAAACATCTGGAGGGCCGAGGTTGAGGAAGCCTGATATTAAGTGATCACAACCTTAAGCATACAGTGCCCATGATGCAGTGCAACTGCCAAAGAAGCACACATGTGACAAACCTATAACCATTAATGCAGCTGTAGGCCTATGCAGCTCATGATGAAAATACAGTTGGTAGAGCATTAGACTCTTAAGCTCAGGGTTGTGGGTTCAAGTCACACTTTGGGCAAAAAAGATTTGTGCATTGCAAGAGGTTGGACTAGATGACCCTTGGAGTCCCTTCCAACTCTACAATTCCATGATTCTACATGTGCATGTAAAAAAAAAAAAAAAGACTCTAACTTATTTTGTTACATCAAAATAAGCATAATTACTTGAATTGTTTGGAGGACTGACAAGCCACTTCAGGAAAGGGAAATTTTGAGCAAAGAAGCAATTCCAATGTAATGCTTAGCTCTTTCCTGAGCCACCTTTTCTCCATTCCATTTTGACTCGAAACCACTGTTCCTCCCATGGGGTTACAAGCATATACAGTGGTACCTCTGGCTACAAACCTAATTCGTTCTGGAGGTCCGTTCTTAACCTGAAACTGTTCTTAACCTGAGGTACCACTTAAGCTAATGGGGCCTCCTGCTGTGACTGCGCCGCCCCCACATGATTTCTGTTCTCATCCTGAGGTAAAGTTCTTAACCCTAGGTACTACTTCTGGGTTAGCAGTCTGTAATCCAAAGTGTTTGTAACCCAAGGTGTTTGTAACCCGAGGTACCACTATATTTGTCAGATGTGGAACTTCTGGGGAAGAGATAGTGGCATGCATAGAAAGAGTTAAACGACACACACAGAGCCTGCCACTATTTTTCACTAAAGTGTCTCCTCTTTTTCTTTTAAAAAACTGGTTTCATTTGTGTGTAATGTTTCATTAGATACCCAAGCCAGCAATTTCAGCTCCCTGAAGAGTCGGACACAACTAAACATCTAAACAACAACAGAAGAAACAGCACCACATGTGGAACAACCCAAAATTGCTGAATGGGCAGAAATATTTCCTACAGAGATTTCTGCTCGGGATTAGGAAAGCAGGACTGAAAGCAGACTTTCACACAACCTTAACAGTGGATAGTGGAGGCCACCATCTGTGGTCCAAGTCAGAAACACAAGAGTTCACAGAGTCCAATTGTTTGTGACTGGGGTGGAATCTACACACGTGTTTAAAATGTGAAAATGCTTTTTAAAAACTGTTTTAGCTCACCGTCATCATCTAGTGTCACAATTGTATACTGCACTTTACAACACATTCAAAACATTTTATTTGCAGCTGTATAGCTGAGTCTCTAGCGATGTATCAAGGTTGTGTAATGGAGGCACAGGGCCAATCTTGTTTGGACTGGTTTCTGATGAAGATGAGAAGATAACTGAGTGATTTTAATTTAATATATCAATCTTTTATTTTTCTTACGGATTTATAGGTTGCCTTCTACATGTGTGTCAAGGCGACTTACAAACATAGAGAAACAGTTTTAGAAACAGTTGAAAAATAACCGAAATTAGATTTAAAAACAATACACAATGAACATCTAAAGCCAGAGTCCTTTTCATCTGACTGGAAAAGCTTGTCAACTGCATTCAGTTGTTTCTGGAAAGTGCAAATTGTGAGCACCTGCCATATCTTGACAGGGGCAGCCACAATGAAAAGTCTGCTCCGAGTTCCTGTGGAAGGGGGTTCTGGTATGTTTGGGACTCTTAGGAAAAACTGGTCTGCAGAATGCATTGACCTGCATGGTATATAAGGAATAAGGTAGTTTGTGGGCATCTATGGGCATTTCATTGTGCTGTGGTTCAAGCTGCCATCACCTGAAGCAGGGCGGGACAATAATATTGAAAAGGGAGAACTTCCAAACTGTTTCTATTGGTGGATGAGATTCAATTCCATATCAGCGAATTCAGGTTGTGCAATTAATGTTGATTTGGGACTCCTCCAGAACAAATGCATTCTGCACACACACATGCCCCACAGTCAGGGCCGGATTTAGGTTTGATGAGGCCCTAAGCTACTGAAGGTAATGGGACCCTTTATATGTCCAGCTGTCCTTTGTCAACAACAAATTGTCGCTGTTTCTTTTGTTGAATATATGCTATATGGTAATTTATGGACCTAATAGGTATCTAAAGCTATTTGCACATAACAAATAGGAGCCTACACAACACAAAACACTGTTGCTGTAGGTAGGTTTTATTTTATTTGTTTTTTGTTTTATATTTTGCAAATGTACATCCAGGTTTTTTTCCTTTACATTTTTTGGGGCCCCCCAAGAGAGTGGGGCTCAAACTATATCTTCTTTAGCTTATACGTAAATCCGGCACTGCCCGCAGTCAGATTTTGTGATGGGGATAATACTTGCTTGACACAATGGCACATAACTTGTGTACAAAGAAATCAAGAGGAACGCTCCTTAAAAAGCAACCAGAGAAACAAAATATGCCTTGTTGCTGCCTTGGCTATTCTTGCCTCATTTCTCCACCCCTTTAATACTCTCGTCTTGCTTTCTTGTGCTCCTTTAAAGTCCTTATTTATTTTTCTAAGGTCTTCTGCGGCAGCAGAGGTGGGTGGGGGGAGCGACCAGCTGTAGCACCGAGGGAATTCGCCAAGCAGCTGTTGAAATACAGAGGCATCCTGGAAATGCTAGTACAAATATGTAACAGATTGTGGAGGATTAGAACTGTGAGCAAGCAAATCTATCAAAGGGAAGCCAATGCACAGCTTATAGTGATATTATTTGAAGGACCCAGGATTGCTTTATCATTCAATTATGTCTGCCACCCAAGAAAAGGTGGGTGCAAGCTGGTCCTGAAATGGGACCTGCTGCCTTCTGTTTTCTGACCACATCTACTACAAAATTAAAACTGGCTTTGAGTCATTCTGTCTTCTCCAAGAACTGTAATTCTGGGAAAGGGCAATAGAGATCTGTAATAGTGGGTTCTTAGCATCTCCGGGAACCACAGCTACACCCTACTTCAGCAGCAGCAGCAACAACATGGAAAGCGAACTGTTTTCCTGGGATTCTCTCCCATGGTGCTGCTGCAATGTTTGAGGGCCCAGCACCTCACGGATGGAGTCCACCGTCACACAGCTTCATCCCAAGCAGTTGCCACATGTCATCATCATGCTCGGCACTCATCGGGAGAAGAGAAACACTGAGAGTGGTGATATCATGCCACATGCCACGAGGGATAAATGTGGGCCTGCGAGGGCCATGCTCCCCCTGTAATTAGGCATTTACTTCTAAGGGAACAAGACTAAGATCGGGCATGCATTACAACTGCTGTTTCCAAACAATGGTCTTTTGTAGGGCTGCTGGTTTCAAGCAATGGGCTATGATTCTATACTATTGCTACTTTCTGGCAATGGTCTATGTGTTGGAAGCATCAGGTCTGTAGTGCTGCTCTTCCCCCAACAATCATGACTCAACTCCACACAATTGGCGTCCTTGGGATCTACAAAGGACATTCGGACTTGGTGCAACTACGTACATAAAAATCTACCACTTGGAAGTGAATAAGACTGGCTGCTTCTAAGCAAACTGCTGATATTTCCACAAATCAGTATCTTTCTGGAAGAATAGGCATGTACTACAAGACTCTTTGTTCTTAATATCCTTTCCTGTCACCTGAGTGGCTTTCCCCCCAGCCGTGAGGATTTATTAGTTAGCACAAAGTTGCTCCCACTATCTAAGGGATAGCTCAGTCAGTAGAGCAGCGGTTCTCAAGCTGTGGGTCCCCAGATGTTGTTGGACTACAACTCCCATCATCCCTGAGCTCTGGCCTTGCTAGCTAGGGGTGATGGGAGTTGTAGTTCAACATCTGGGGACCCACAGCTTGAGAAAGGCTGCAGTAGAGCATGAGACTCTTTAATCCGTGGGTAGGCAAACTAAGGCCCAGGGGCTGGATCTGGCCCTCTCGCCTTCTAAATCCGGCCCGCGAATCAGCATGTTTTACATGAGTAGAATGTGTGTTTTTATTTAAAATGCATCTCTGGGTTATTTGTGGGGAATAGGAATCCATTCCTCCCCCCCCCCCAAAAAAAATATAGTCTGGCCTTCCACAAGGTCTGAGGGACAGTGGACTGGCCCCCTGCTGAAAAAGTTTGCTGACCGCTGCTTTAATCTCAGGGTCATGGGTTTGAGCCCCACATTGGACAAAAGATTCCTGCATTGCAGGGGGTTGGACTAGATGACCCTTCTAGGACCCTCCCAACTCTACATTTCTATTAGGAAATTGCCAGGATTTCAAAGGCAGAATTGGCATCTGGGGGGAATTTCTGAAAGGCCACGCTTTGTCCTGGATCTTAGCGTTTTTGTTTTTAAAAAAGCTCAACAACTTTTGTGTTTTCCCAAGAAAAGCTCAACAATTTCGATGTTTTTTTTTACTTTTGGGGTGTCCTGGTTTTTACTTTTTGAAATATGGCAACCCTATTTCTACGATTCTGTGATTCTGTGTTTACAATCAAAGCCTCGTATGTACTGGGTGGTGTTATTTTGGAAATTCACTTCCCAGGCAGTAGGAGTGCATTTGTACAACTTCTTCTATCCCAGCCCCGTTTACCCATAAACCAAATGAGCCGTTAATTATAAGGAGCTGAAAAGCTCTGGCTATTTAAAAACATCTGTAAAGTAACCAGCAAGGCTGCTTTGGTTGCAGAGTGTGGGGGGTGGAGAAACAAGGCAGTAGTATGGATTTTTAAGGGAGAATGGGAGGATTTCAGGGAAGATATGGTTCTCCTTATGTGCCCACTGTAGGAAGTATTGACTTACCACCTAATGTGCTTTTGAAACCTGCTCTGTACAGTAGATACAGGCCTGCCTTTGAAGAGTGTGCAGAAATTTCAGCTGGTGGAGTACGCAGTTGCTCAAATCAGTTATGTAGACAGGTCCCTGGGAGTATGATTACACAAATGCTCCAGCTGAGAGAGGCATTATCCATCCTCAGTCACAACAAGTGGCCCCAGATAAAGCAGCACATCTCCGCCTGCATTCAAAGATGTTTTCAGCCAGTTCTGGGGGACTCAGCTGAGCATCACTCAGCAGACATAGATGATGCACATCAGGGCCGTCTTAAGTATATCTGGCGCCGTGGTACAAAGATCCCTCTGGCGCCCCCACCCCCATTTCCCAGAGTTGTCGACCTTTTTACAGCACTGCCGGCAGCTTTGCGGGGCTGGAGGAGGCAGGCAGCGGCTGGAGGGTGGCTCCTACGCAGAGGATCCGGGCACGGTGTTGCTTTGGCAAGGGCAGCAAGCTGATGCCGGGAGGTGCCACACCCAGCCTCCGCCTCTTCCCTGGCGCCCTCCAGACCTTGGTGCCCTGGCGCCCTGCTCCACTAGCCTCTATGGGCAAGACGCCCCTGATGGACATGAAGAGGCATATTATCCACATTGGCTGCCAACATGGGAGCTTGCTTCTACATGGATTATGGCACAGGTAGCCAATGTGGTGCTCTCCAGATGTTGCTGGATTGCAGCTCCCATTATTCTTGACCATTGGTGGCTAGGACTGATGGCTAGGAGTTGAAGTTGAGCAACATCTGGAGGGCACCATGTTGACTACCTCTTAATTAAGGGAGCAGTGGCAAATAGGCATTACGTCTGAATAAATCCAGGGATCATTTTGCCAACAAAACGTAAACATGCAATGATTATTAATGGGGGGGGGGGAGAATGTAGAGCTGGCTTAACTCTAAAGAAATCGAGGACTGATGCTGAAGACCAAAGATGATTCCCTCTGTTTCTGAAGTTCAGGCTGTAAGTGCTGCTGCTGAGGTAGCCAAAAGCAACTGCGCAAAATTATTATTTATTTGATTTAGATACCGAGGCCCTTCATCAAAAGATCTCAGGGCAGTTGAAAAGATAAAAGAGCAAACAGTGGGCTCAAAGAATTCTGGGCGCTGTAGTCTACCCCTCACAGAGTTACAATTCCCAGCAACTCTTAACAAAGGACAAGGCCCAGAAATGCTTGAGGGAAAGAATGTGCTCTCAATGTGCTGTGCAAGTCTAATGCATATACAGCCACAGAGTGCCCATTAACCACAGAATCCTGGCTGACTGTGATGGAGAAACAGAAAACCAAGGGGAAGGAAAATGTACTGGAGGGCCAGGAGTCCTGTACAGAGAGCACTCTATGCTGCAACCTTTTGTTGCAGGTCCTATTGGTATAGCCTAATTTGTTTTTATTTTTTGGTAACTTCATTTCATGGGGTGCCATCTGAATGTTCTTTCAGCTAGGGATAGGGGAGAACTTAAGTGCTACTGGACAATTTTTTAATTTTTTAATTTATTTCAACTGTGTCAGACCAACATGGCTACCTGCCTGAAACTAATTTCTGTCTCCACCCAGGTCATATTTTGTACTCTTCTCTTCAGCTAACGTGCTTTTAACCCTTCCACGTGCCAAGATGGCTGCCTGATTGATCTGTTTCTCAAAGAAGATTGTGGCTGAAGGTTTATCTGTGTACCACATCATGTCTGGCCGTGAGACAAAGTTGTCCTAAGAGGCCATCTGTACATGGCCATCTGTAAAGTGCTTTGAATTAGAGATGCATGCTCAGGGCTAGCTGACTATAAGATGAAGATCCCCTGCTTATGGCAGTTCCAACTCTACCATTCTATGATTCTCTGATCTATTTCAGTTTCCCTAGGGATTGGAATTGACTAGCCCAGAAGCTATACCTCTGGTCTAGTTAATTTCACCCACACATTGACTTGTATTGGGAAGCAGCTGGAATTAGGAAAATGAAACGAACAGGCTTTTGCTAACCCAGTGAGCCTTTGATAACACACCTATATACTTGGCTCATTACTTATGCAAGGGTTCGGTTCTGGGGATCCACATGCAAAAGCAGAAACCCCAGAACCCACCGCCTGGCGATGTGGAGGGCTGCTTACTGGGCTCTGGGAAAAAGGCTTGAGGGCTCTGGGAGCATCCCAGGACCCTTGTGTGACCTTCTCAGAGTCCAATAAGCAAAAAAAACCCCTGCTGGGTGTGTGGGTGGGGAAAAGAATAAATATATGGAGTATGGGAATGTTGGGTTTTCCCTCTCTCTCCATTTATTCATTTATCCCTCCGTGTAAGGTTGCATATGTAAAGTAAATGTAGGTTGTGGGCCCATTGCATGTGCAATAAATAGCTATGGCTTCCCAGAATGTTTCTAGACAGTGAATACACATGTGTGATCATCACAAGGGAAGATTGAGGCACAGATTGTGCTTCCTGCATGGAAAAGCAGACCTTTATACAACTGGATCCCAAGGACACGGGCACACACCCCTTACTCTGCACCACAGCTGCTTTTAAGATCCCTTTGCCCATGGGTAGGCAAACTAAGGTCCGGGGCCCGGATCCGGCCCAATTGCCTTTTAAATCCGGCCCGTGGATGGTCTGGGAATCAGCGTGTTTTTACATGAGTAGAATGTGTGCTTTTATTTAAAATGCACCTCTGGGTTATTTGTGGGGCACAGGAATTCGTTCATTATTATTATTTTCAAAATATAGTCTGGCCCCCTCACTGTCTGAAAGACAGTGGACCGAGCCCCCTGCTGAAATGTTTGCTCACCCCTGCCTGCCTTTTGCCTGTGTTTCACAGTGAGTGGATAAGTGTATAGCATGAGGAGACCACTGTCAAAGGCATGGACACTATGAGGGAAAAGACTGAAGACATTTTAGTTTGTGTCTTGGCTTGCATGAGAGTGAAATAGTAGGAGCAGATGCCCATCTGGCTGGGTTTCCCCAGCCACTCTGGGCGGCTCCCAACTGAATAATAAAAACACGATAAAACATCAAGCATTAAAAACTTCCCTAAAGAGGGCTGCCTTCTGATGTCTTCTAAAAGTCAGATAGTTGTTTATTTCCTTGACATCTGGTGGGAGGGCGTTCCACAAGGCAGGCACCACTACTGAGAAGGCCTTCTGCCTGGTTCCCTATATTCTCACAGTGAGGGAACTGCCAGAAGGCCCTCAGAGCTGGACCTCAGTGTCCAGGCTGAATGATGGGGGTGAAGACGCTCCTTCAGGTATCCAGGGCCAAGAACGTTTAGGGCTTTAAAGGTCAACACCAACACTTTGAATTGTGCTTGGAAACATACTGGGAAGCTATGTAGGTCTTTCAGCACCAGTGTTATATGGTCCCAGGAGCCACGCCCAGTCACCAGTCTAGCTGCCACATTCTGGATTAGCTGTAGTTTCCAGGTCACCTTCAAAGGTAGCCCCACGTAGAGCGCATTGCAGTAGTCCCAGTGGGAGATAACTAGAGCATACACCACTCTGGTGAGATAGAGAAAAAAGGCCAACCCGCAAGAGAGCACTAGGTGACCTTGGCCAATGGGGTTGCCCTGGGCTCCTTGGAAGCTATGTGCTCATGAAAAAAAATACAAGACAATTCACGTTTGTGGATTCTTACCAGTTTTTTTTTGTTTTTGTTTATTTTGACTAGCTAATGGACCAGCTCAGGATAATAATTTTCTCGATGTTATTGAGCATTCATTTTCTTACAAAACAGACCAGGCACACTTCCAGACTGTCCCTATTTCCAGGAGAGATTCAATCACATATTGGAGCCTGAGCAACACACCCTCTTCCCCCAAAATTTGACTTTTTGCGATAAGGAAATTGATTGGAATAGGCAGCAGAAAGTGTGGGTTAACACTTGCTTTGATGCAATATTCTCCAACCTCCCCACAAACAAATCAGAATGAATACTCATGACTTAGCCAACTAAGTCTAATCTCCCTGCAAACAAATCAGGATGAATGCTCAATAAACAAGCCATTTGGAAGTGCTCCAAACCCATTTACAATTGGATGCTTTGACCAGCTCTTTCGCTGCTACTCTCCCTTGTACCTGACAAATTCCCTAATTAGACTTCTGCTTGCAAACCACTTTCCTGCCCACACACACACACACACACACACACACACACAGGTCCTGTCTTATGCCTATCACAGTGTATATCTGTATTGGCGTTGCCAGCCCAAGATGGCTAAGGTGCTTTTATTGGACTTCCCTAATATAGCAGCTAAAATCAGCATGTCAGCATCATCTGAATAGGTTTAATTGATGAGGACACTAATAAACGCGCCGGCAGGTGAGCAAATATTTTTATTTTGGAGGATCACTATAACCGGCTCAGGAAGACTGGTCAGGACAAAGTTAAAAATAAAAGACAGGAAAGCTCAGCTCTCCCTAGCTATGGAATGCAAAAGCACCACCAAGAGCTGTTGTGTCGCTTCCCTTTGCTCCAGCAATTTTCTCCGAGCCGGCTCCAGGCTTGGCTTCAAGCTCCTACTTCAGAAAGAGAAGCCATTCACACTGTTTTTGTTTTTGGTTTGGTGGTGATTTTCTTTTTTTGGGGGGAGAGGGTGGTGGAGGTTCAAAAAACCTGAAAGCAGGCATGGAAGAAAACAAGTCAAAATGAGATGCAGAAATGCAGTTTTTGTGGCTGAATACTCTTGCAAAAGGTCAAGCACAGCCCTGTGATCCTTTGGTTCTTGTTTCCCTGAGATATAAATTCATCCCATTTCAAGAGAGCCGATTAGCATCTCTACATCAGGGGTGAGCAGCTACAGCAGGAAGTATCTTTGAGGGCGCAGGATTTCTTTCACAGGGGACAATGGCCGATCAATAGCACTGCAGCTTAGGAGCCTTGTCAAGGGTCCAGCTCTTGTTGACTCCGAGTGAGGTGCTTCAAGCTCTATGGGAAACCTCACTCAATATGTTTGAGCTGCCTATTGAGACCATCCAGGCTGGATTTGCTCAATAAATGTTAACCTATAAGATTTCTGATTCCCAAGCTTTCTAAGCCAACAAGCCACTGTTAATCTTGACATTTCTTTTCACAGTCCATGGCTGCATGTATTTATACAGCTCAGCAGTCTAACTTTTGGAGATGAAGTAATTCCAGTATGGAGGAACCTTTTCCTCCTCTGCTATTTCCATAGCTGTCAACGTTTCCCTTTTTTTAAGGGAAATTCCCTTATTCCAAATAGGATTCCTCGCAAGAAGGGAAAAGTTGACAGCTATGACTATTTCCTTTGCTTAAGGGCAGTGGTGTGTGTGTGTGTGTGTGTGTGTGTGTGTGTGTGTAAGAGAGAGAGAGAGAGAACTCAATAGTATGAAGTGCAGTCACCTCTTTTATTGTTGCCCATGGCAGCCATTTTGTGTTGGCACCCACAATACTTTTGACAAGATATGACAGGGGTGCCAACTTGAATAAAATATGGGGGGGAGGCATCACATGACCATTTGAATGGCAGTGCCATTCAATACCAAAATATTTTAGAGGTGGGCAAAGACCCTCTCAACCCCTGAGAGTTGGATCCTCTAAGATATGATTAATGCCACCCAGTACCTCATTTTTAACCAAAAAAGAAGCACTGCCTCAGGACAACATTTTTTCATGATTATTAAAAGAGGAACAAGGATGAGCCCTCATAAAAATTTTTTGCAGATGGGCATAATGACGTAAAGCTGGATGACACTGCTTTCTTCAGAAAGTATCTACACATCATCCCGCTAGGGTACTACAGCATTATAATGTCAACAGAGGCTGCCTTTGAGTCCCCCCTAGTCTCACTCACATGGCCCAGATGTGCTGCTATTAACTCACTTAGCGTCGCCGGAGGATTATTTAAAAGGGAATTGGGAAAGGCATTCTTGTTTTTCTCCCTGGGCCTCTTCTCAGCTCCAGAAGAACAAAGTGTCCCTTTCACATGCTGGCTAGCAGTTTCCCAATGCCCACCTGCGAAAAAGATGTCATGATCCTAATCAGAAGATTGTGTTGCATCAGGTCACCATGCCACATTTTCTCCGCTGTTAATGGTCTGCCTTTGATCCACGGTACCTTTCTGAGGATTCATGAGAGGGATATTGTCTGTCAAGGACTATTAAAGAGCAGATTCAGTATTGCTGGACTCAGGGGTTGAGATCCATGCCTCAGCAACTTTTTTTAAACAACAACAACAGAGAGCTCAGTTTGTTTGCCAAAGTCTCTTCATAATTCAGTTCCTCTCCCTGCCCCAGCCCACCCCACACAACTTCTTCAGCTGGTAACTGAGGAAAGCAGAATCTAACTGAATGGTCCTAGCTGAAAGTAGGGATGGACAAATTAGTCAGTTTTTATTTTCTCGACTGCTCGTTTCCCCCAGTTCTCTACATTTCTACATCAGTTTCCTTTTTTAAAAAAATAAGCAAGCCCCCATGAAAATATGTTAGAATTTTTGTGTGAATTTACTGTATACGTTTTTGCAAGCATTTTTGGCCAAATATACATATTTTTGCAAATCTGTTTTTCCCAATATGATGCATTTTTGTATGTTGTTTTCAGTAACATATGCACTTATATGCACACTTTACCACAGTATATGCATTTTTTGGTGTGCATTACTTGGCTGCAGGGCGAAATCTGGGTAAGTGTGCAATTTTGAAGGGCAGCGGTGTTTCAGCTCGTGCATTGTTTAGTAAAATGCAAATTGGGCAATCTCACCTTTCAGTGCCAGCTGAATTGAAGTTCAATTGAAGTGTGTATCTGAAGAAGTGTGCATGCACACGAAAGTTTATACCCAGAACAAACTTAGTTGGTCTCTAAGGTGCTACCAGAAATTAGTGTTAACATTTCTGTCACAATGAGTTAGCACAAGCCTTAAGCTTAAAATAAATCACATATACAGTGGTACCTCAGGTTACAGACGCTTCAGGTTACATATGCTTCAGGTTACGGACTCCGCTAACCCAGAAATAGTACTTCAGGTTAAGAACTTTGCTTCAGGATGAGAACAGAAATCGTGCTCCGGCGGCGCGGCAGCAGCAGGAGGCTCCATTAGCTAAAGTGGTGCTTCAGGTTAAGAACAGTTTCAGGTTAAGAATGGACCTCCGGAACGAATTAAGTACTTAACCCGAGGTACCACTGTATTTTATTAGGTTTAAAATATTCTTTCTGTTTATTATTGCCACGTGCTCAGAGCCACTTCTGAGGCAGGAGGAGAAGTGGCTCTTAAGTCTTTCCGTCAAGTAAACAAAGTGAGTGGCTGCCAGGTCCCAGCTGCAAAAACAAATACAGATGGGAATGATTTTGTCTGTGACTTGGGGACAGGGAGATCAAAGTGGGAAGGATGTGCATCCTGAAGAAGGGGGAATGGGAGATTTGTAATAAAGAGGATCGCTGTAATGATTCCCAGCTCTGCCAATCAACAGGAGGGGCAGGAGGATGTACAGCCTTTTGCACTGCATTGATTGGAAGTCGCCAGAAAGGGGCTCGCATCTCCCCTGGCACTTTCCCCCTTCCAGTCTGTGGACTGCTTAGTGCAGTCATAGGCAAACTTGGCGGCACTCGACTACAATTCCCATCATCCCTGACCACTGGTCCTGCTAGCTAGGGATCATGGGAGTTGTAGGCCAAAAACATCTGGAGGGCTGAGTTTGCCTATGCCTGGCTTAATATGTCAAGAACCATGGCTCCTGTAATTGTTCAAGAAGCAGTGAGGCAACCCACTAAATCGAACCGATATGTTTGGATTTCTTTTCAAAGTGGTTGGTTTTGATTTGCAATGCACATCTTCAGCGGGCAGTCCTTCTGTTACATAAGCCCTAAGAGCAGAGAGCGAGCATTTCTTTAAAAGGCAATAAGGCTGACTATACTCTGTGGAGCAGATCCAGATTTCACCGTAACCGAAACAGCCCTCAAGTAGGCCGTCTGGTTGGCTTTTGGGAGGGGGAGCTATTCTGGAAATGTCTGGTGCCACTGTGATTATATTCCATGGTTTCCTCTTGGTTTCGTACCTTACATTCAGTAGCTCCACTGACAGAAGGAGCCAAAACTAACAAAGATGTGGCGCTGGCAGAATATCTGGCCTGGGCTTTCCTGTTGATGGTGCTCTTTTGTGGTGCTGGAGCTGACAGCCCATGAGAAGGGAGATGCTTGGGCTTAAGGAGTGAGGATTTTATGAACAAAATCTTTTTTATTGTTATTAACAGCAGGACTTCGAGAACTGCACAGCAAGCAGAAATAAATAGGTGAAGCTTTTCCCAGCACAGGGGATGGGGTGCCAAGCCTATTTTGCCAAGATTTTGACTGACTGCAATGGAGATTTTTTTTCTGTTAGTCATGCTGCTGTAGCTTTTTGCTGCTGTTTTCGGTGGGTGTGTGGTTTATGGGTTTTTCTGAATTGCATGCTTCATAGGATTGCTAGTGCTACTCGAGAGCAGGCTCACTGAAGTTAGCAGACATATTGGTGTTGGTTTTTTGTATGTAATAAGCATGGAAATAAGCATGAAAAAAAATAAAATTAAAAAAGAGGAAGTTAGCAGACATGGCTAACTTAATGTTGTTCATTTCAATGGGCAGGATTCATCAAATGAACATCGGCAGGGGTTTGCAGGATCCACTTCCCAGTCACCCCTGCTCTAAGTCCTTAGGGAGGTGAGCAATTTTATCCTCAAAATGCGTTCCATTTTGTTTTTGCTTACCAGGATGATACATATTAATCAGCCTTGTGTGCCTCTCAGAAATGTTCTGCCAGATGGGCTACTTGAGGATGCAATGGAGGTGGAGAAGAAAGCTCTTTTGCCACCTTCACTACCAGGCAGGTGTTGCCTTTGCAGAAACCCTTATACCTTTTGCATTTAAGCCATCTACTGGATGCTACAGAGCAAATATACTCATGGCTCAAAGTTTCCTTGATGCTGAATGAATCTACTTCATTTGGTGGCCTCACTCAGGAAAATACAAGAAATGAGACGGGTTCGGGAAAAGTACCAGAATGTTCAGGGCTTCTCTAAAAAAATTATCACTAAAGAATGCTCTTTTCTCCTTGCTTTTTGGACCAAAGTTTGCAGAATTAAACCTACGTTTCTGAAATCCCAAGAGGAAAGGCTGTGAGCCAGTTTCTTGACACGTCAGCTTGTGTACTGAGTGGCCTATTTTCCACTCCAGATGCAAGATATCTCTTGGGCAGAAACAGATGTAGGAGGGATGAAACCGTTCCCCTTCTATCCAGCAAAAGACTCAGAATTTCATTTGGAAGCCTTCCCCCACACCCCCTTTTAGAGAGAGTGCTGCAGAAAAATTGCATGTCTTTATTTGATTTGATTCCTGTCCTGTATGATGAAATTAAAGATGCCTTTTCTTGCCCCACTAAATTAAGATCAAGTCTTACTTCAAGCATCTTCTTTTATCAGTGAAGGCATTAAAAGTCCTTTTAGTAGCCGATTGGTTTTGTGGCCTGAATCTAACAAATCATCTACACTAGCAACACCTGTGCAAATGTCATGCATTGCGCATTAAACAGGCAAGTGGATCGATAATGGAAATATTTTATAAAGTGTTTTGATATACTTTTTTCTATATTTCCTTAGGTTGTATTAAGCAACCATGGGCTATTTGGGGGAGAAAAGGGAATGTATAAAATCGATAAGATAAAATAAACACAGGCCACAATCCAGCACAAAGCTAGGCAAACATAACACACACCCCCCCCCAAAAAAGTGAAAGGGCTTATGCACACTTAACTCTGTTTTGGATTGTGACATCAGCATTTGCGGAAGAGTCGGTGTTAACTCCTCAAACTTAAAACTGGCTACAGTTACTGACAAATATTAATGCTGGCTGTCTATTAAGAGCTCCACTGTGATAGTTTCCAGATGAATATGGCCTTCCTTCCTAAGGGGGAGCGGATCTTCAGGCTTGCATAACCCCATTGCAACACCACAACCCATTCAAAGCCATGCACATGTCCCCTGTTTTTTACAGCCAGCAGATGCACAGGAAGGGAAGGTGTTGAAACATACAGACACCAGCCAGCTCTCAGTATTTAGTAGTGTAGTTAGTGACTAATTGCAAGACAGCAGGATGAGGTGGGCCATTTCCACTCAACAGTTCTAGCCTAGAAAAACAGATCTAATCCTAACATGCACTTCTGAAGCCAGGAACAGGAGGAGCAATGCAGGTGTTGTGATGTGGTCAGCTTGGGTGGGTTTTAGATGTTTCCATAGAGATGTGGCAAAGGGCTGGCACAATGGGATTTTGGAATCCACCCAGGAGCCAGACAACTGTCCCAGCCGCCTGTGGGCTTTATATCGAGCAAACCTGGCCTTGCACATTACACTTAGGCCACAACCACTGAATATATTTAAAGCACTCTTATGGCATTTTAAAAGTAATATTTTCCTCCCAAAGAATCCCAGTGTCAGGGACCGTACTGAGGAGAGCTGCACTGAGGAGGAATCGTGGGAGCCTTCCCCTCCCCCTGAGCCAGATCCTGAATCTTCCCAGGAGCAGGAGGAGCAGTATAGATTTGGAACACTGATTTACAGAGGGGCACAGTTCAGAAGGCAGAAGCTGGGAAATACTGGATGGGGAGCAGCTAGGAGAAGAAACACTGGAAGAGAGAGGGTTAACAGGATGTGAGGGCAATCTGGCTGCAACATCTGTCACCCCATTGATTGCCAGGGTTGATTCAGCTGATCTGGCTGGCTAGGCGGGTGTCCCCTTCCTCCCTCACCACTCCATGTGCATCCCTCCCGAAGCTGCACACTCAGTGGAAGAGGACAACCATCTCAGATAGAAGGAGTGTACCATTCTTCGGTCAAGGGAGAGGGTTAACAGATTCACAGTCTCTGTACAGCATTCCTCCACTGCCCTCCCGAAAGTCGAGAAGAGCTCAGAAAGTGGCCGAACAGAAAGCACAGAGGGTACAAGGTCAGATTACAAGATTTAGAAGTGATGCAGGTTAATAGGGACAGAAAGGGGTGGGATCCTTAATTGGGAGCACCGCCATTACTAGGAGATGTGTTCTTTGTTTTCTCACTGTGATGATTAAGGTTTCAAACTGGTAAGAAGACTCCTTTCCTTTGTTCTGCTTATCTACTGCCATGGAGGAGGAAGCTAATTCCCTGAAGCCTGACAACCAGGAAATGTAGTTTGTGAAGAGTGCTGAAATTTGTTAGGAGACCCCTACTCACCTCAGAAAGCTACAATTTTCAGAAATATTTTAACAACCAACCCCTCTTTCCAGGGGATCCTGGGAAACATAGCTCTGTGCAGGGAACTGAGGTTTTTGAACAACTCTCAGCATCCTTGACAAACTCCAGTTCCCAGGATTCTTTGGGGGAAGACGTGGCTATTTAAGTGGTATATGTATGGTACAGATGTGGCTTAAGTTTCACTTTCCCATCTGTAAAATAGGAACTGTAGCAATATACTATCCAACCCCAAAGAGCTGCTGGCAAAATGAACAGAGTGCACATTTCACAGGCAGGACCCTGTGAATTTTACAAATCTGTAATCTCAACTGTTTGTGGCCCCAGAATGTTTATGGGAGTCACTGTCAATGGGAGGATCAGGTGAGTGCTAGAATTCTGCTTTGCCTGAGCCCACAGTCACCATTTTGGTTATTCCGATCAGTGACTGCACCACCACCCTTAGAATGGCTCCAGCCTCCTCCTCTTTTTCATCCTACCTTCAGCACCAGCCCTCTTCCATACATCCTGTGAATACCACTTATGTGCATCCACATAGCAGCCTCTTGCTTCTTCTGCGTTGTTCTGGTCTTTATAAAATTCAGTGACATGGTGGAATGTCAACAATACGGAAACAGCTCATTCCATCATTATAATGTTGTGAGCCCTTTGGTGAGCTGTAAGGAGGATATAGTTCTATGCATGTGTACACCCATACACAATGCAACATCTGCTTCCCATTTTATGAAGATCTGCATGTTTTAAAACTTCACATAATTGTGGTGCTGAACGTAGGGTGGTTCACTTCCAAATATGAAAAATCTTCTTTCCTAGCCCTGTATTTTCAGGTCTCGGGACAGTTGATGTGGTTACTTCACTCTCACAGCCTCTAAATATACCATTGATCCTGAGGGAGCTCTTTAGTTCGTTTAAGGCAAGTGTTGGTGACCCTGTGGCCCTCCAAATGTTGGATCCTGACTCCTATCAGGCCCAGATGGCATGGCCAATGGTCAGGGATTATTGGAATGGCAGTCCAGGAACGTTTGGAAGGCCACAAGTTCACCATCCCTGCTTCAACGCCAGACTGGTTGGGAAAGAAGTTAGGACATCCTCTCTTTGAGTTGTATCTTTACTCAGTGTAAATCCATTGGAGGTAATAGATTTAAGGAAGTCATGTTCATGAACATTGATGGGTCTACTCTGAGTATGACTAGCATTGAATGAAGCCTTTTTATCTTTATTTGTCTGTGGCAATATATTCATTTCTAGATGTTCTGTTGTTGCTTTAAGGTAACCATTGCACCATTGTGCTAGTCACAAACATTTTCTTCTCTTCCATCTGGTGGAATTTGGTTTACTTTTGGGTCTTAGGGTAGCAGAGTATAGTTTCAGTGCTCTGCCCCCAGAACCTCCAAGACCAGAAGTTAATGTCAGTTCACATTTTCCTTATGTGCATCATGGAGAAAAACATTAAGTGAACTGTCTCAAGGAGCAAGTTGTGTCTGAGGGTTTCTCTTGAGGGAACATGATTCACAGTTAAGTCATGCATTTCTGGATTCCTCCCTCCAGTACCATAAATTTCTGTCAGATTTATGGAAACTTCCCCAGTTACATGTGTTAACTTGTTTCTGTCTGTATCTAGAACGAGGTGCACTGGGCCCATAATTCATGTGTCTGCACTGTTCACACACAAAGCATAAGAATGCATTAAGGACATAACAGCAAATTTCTCTAGGTCCCTCTTCAGCCTACTATGTGGCATATTCTCCAATGGGACTTATTTAATAGCTGTAGTACTCTATTATGTGTACTGGTAGCCACTATGGGCTGCATTTCTACCTAATAGGACTAGCATCTTTTGGTTCGATCTCCCTACCTTGCTAGCATGTACCAAATTTTAAAATTCCGGCTGTTTTTGTATGTGGGAAGTAATGAGGCAAAACATGAAAATTTAACAACATGCACAACTGTGGCTCCTCCACCCAAAGTTCATCAGAGTATAGTAATGGAGCCCATTTCTGATGACGGGGGTAGATCAGAACAAGTGACATTATATAATAGATTCTGAGCACATGTGGAATTTATTTTCTCCACAGTTGAGCAGCAACCAGATCCCTAGTGATCCTGTGTTAAGTATAAAGGCTTCCCAGGCAACATGGAGGCAGGGCTCAATTCTCTACTGCACATCATTTGAGGATTTAAGACTTCTATCCAATACATAAAGTCCCACTGAATTCAGTGGACCTTGCTTCTGAGTAGGCATGTGCTTGAGTCCTGTTGCAATTCTGCACACTTGTACAAGCTAGGCACATTTGTGAAAACAAAAAGCCCCAGTTGTTGCTATCACAGAAAACAGCTACTCCCATCTAGTACACATACTTACATTTGTAAGTGAAATACAAGGGGATAGCAATCTGTTTGATAAGCGAAGGACACTCAGATTCTTATTAAGAACTCCTTGTCCCCCCCTCTATTAAGAGCCAAGACGTTAGCCAATCCCACAAGCATCCCCTCACTTTTGCTAGCAAAGCAGCTCCTCCCAAGGACATGAAAGCCAAGCTTAGCTTTGTGCAAGGAAAGTGGAGGGGCTAGAGGGGGTCTAGGCTTTGGTGCTGCTTCAGTGCAGCATCTTTTTCTGCATTGGCTAATCGTAAATGCAAAGACATCCACGTGCTGGAACTCGCAAAGGATGAAGATTCCTGGTTAAATTCTGTCTCCCTTTTTTCTGATGCAATTGCTCCTTTTTGCTTTTGTCAATGCTCTGCATTCAGCTGCCACGTATGTAAAGAAGTTGCAGTTATAATTATCTCACTGGCTCTGTCATTTGGTGCTCTTTAAGGGAAGGTTTCGCTTCAGGCCAGAACGCAGAGCATTTAAGCAGCTGCCACGTTGCAAGCAGAAAGCGAGCTGGTTCCACTCTTTAAACTTTTCCAGATGTTTTTGTCTTAACAGGACAAGTCCCAGCAGCTGCACCATTTCAATGCCTCGAGGCTGGAAGGCATAACTAGTCCACCGCAGAAAACATTCAGCCTTGCTGAAGCAAGTGACTGAAATGCAGGAATGGGAATTGTACAGAAGCATCTAAGCCGGTTGCCACCTTTTAAACTGGATCAGCTCCTGTGCCTTTAACAGCAGACCAATGTGCAGAAAAGTTGCTGGTAAAGCTTTTCCAAAAAATCTCTTACGTCCATAACAGCAAGGATGGAGAATTTGTGCCCCCCATAACTTTGGTGGAATTCATCTCCCATCAGCATGGCCAAAGGTCAAGGATGATGGGAGTTGTAGTTCAACAACATCTGGAGGTCCACAGGTTGACCATCTGTGCCATATCAAGGACTGCTAAATTTCTAAATATCTATAGCTACTGTTAAAAGGCATAAGGATGATGACAGTGTTTAAAAAGAGAGGCACAAGCTTAGGCCCAAGAGAGGCAAACTAATGCATACCGGGTTGGAGTGAGTTCCATTTAACTCAGTGGGCTTTACTTCTGAGTAGGCGTGTATAAAATTGCCCCATTATGTCCATTTATAATCTTCTTGGGTATTTGACTCCCAGCTATTCTCAGAAAATGCAGCAGTTAGGGGCTAGCAAAAGGGCCGGCCATGTTATTGCACTCCAGGATGGAAAGGTTGTTTGTTTTTGCACACCTAAGCCACACAACATCTGTGCACATCCTATCCCAATGTCTCAGTCATCAATGGTGAGCTGCACAAGGATGCTACAGGCCACACATGGCAACATGCAAGCAACACACTACCACCTCATGTCTTCTATGCCCTGAGGTTTGATTCCCACACTTCTGGTTGTACGTTGAAGCCCAAACCAGGCGCTGGGACTACATGAGTTCCCTGTGTTGAGCTGGCCTTAGATACACTCATGCTTACTCTTTTCAAAAAAGAGTTGGTTGAAGACTGCTCTCACACACTCTAGGCCAAGCTGAACATGACACACACACCCCAGCTATGTGGCCATTAGGTACTCATTGTAAATCATAGACAAACATTCTCCGAATGTCCCTTTTTATTTGAATCCCAAACGTTTGAAAATGAGAACATGACTATGAGAAACTAGGATGCTGCTCCAGTCTACATTTCTGGTTTCCAAAAAAATTTTTCTTCTTTTCTTTCAGGGCCAAATACCAACAACCCAATTCATTTGTATACCGTCTCTTTCAGATGGGTGTGGCAGACATGGCCCCTCTAAATAAAACAACAGTTTTCCACTCACCTTCAGTAATTGATGGACCAACCTTATCTAAAATGCTCCTTCATTTTCATAGTTAACATTTTCTCACTGTTTAAAATGAAGTCTTTGTTAAAATGGGGGGGGGGGCATTGACAAACAAGCGTCCTAAAAGGACTTTTTCTTTGAAAGTTCTTTACCATGGAAATTCTTAAGGGATATTCCTGGTAGCATTATGAATGAGTTGTTCAAAGGCAATGATGCCTCCTGCTTTTGATTTATGAAATATCATAAATGGGGTTTGTGAACCATCACCATTGTTATACAGTAACAGCGTCACACACAGAAAGAACAACACAGATGGAAATTTGCTACTGGAACCTAGTGAGTCACCAATCCCATCCTTTTGAATATGTATCATGAATAATCTACAGTAATTGATACCCCATTGACTAAGATCATGCATTCCAACTACTTAGGCTTTGCTGCTTAATCTGCAGACATCTCAGATCTATCTGATGGCCACAGAGGTCATGCTGAAGCTGCCTGACAGCTGGACTACATATGATTCAGTCCCATTTACGACTTCCTTGAGGGAATTCTCCCCCCTCCCTGGTTTTGCCTTTAATCTCACAAGAAAAAAGAATTGTAATTGAATCGGGAATTCCAGAGAGTCAAAACTTTCCATTTACAGTGGTACCTCGGGTTAGGTACTTAATTCGTTCCGGAGGTCCGTACTTAACCTGAAACTGTTCTTAACCTGAAGCACCACTTTAGCTAATGGGGCCTCCTGCTGCCGCCGTGCCGCTGGAGCACGATTTCTGTTCTCATCCTGAAGCAAAGTTCTTAACCTGAGGTACTATTTCTGGGTTAGCGGAGTCTGTAACCTGAAGCGTATGTAAGCTGAAGCATTTGTAACCCGAGGTACCACTGTATGACTATGTAAGCTATAATTATTGAACTTTTTGCTGTAGTTGACTAACCTATGCAGATTGATAATGTTGAAGCAAGTGTTGACCCGCTACTGTGAGCATCTTTCTATCATTGATAACCGTGCCTACATTACCTCTCCTGCCCACTTCCTTTGCTGTTGCCTTGATGTTGGAAAACAAATTCAAGGTAAATGCCTTCAAGAAGGCAAGTGTCTCGATGTATGATCACAGCAGAGAGACACTCGTTTGGACAGAGATGGAAAGATTTATTGTTTAGTATGGAGGAATGGTTGTTGAAGCTATGGGAGGCAAGGCTGATATGTTTGATTGGAGAGAGGTCATTGGTGACATTCGTTAATGACAATAATGGGAGAACCCCTTTTTGGACTTTTTGTGTGAAAAGGAAAATGTATGACTTCGGGACGCATGGGTCTGAAGACTGGGGAAATATTGCTTAACAGAAAGTAGAACCATTCTAGAGTGAATGTTTTGAATAATTTCTTTTATGTAACTGACAGATAGAAAATTGGAAATCCAATTTATTTCTCTCTCTCTCTTTTGTTTTCCTTTGGTGTCCTCTGCTCTGGGCCATTATTGGAGTCCAAGGATTACACACATATGAAGGAGGTAGGTGGATGAAAGGACCCTGGGTAAGAGGCAGGGTAGGGAAGATCTCCCAGGATCCCAGGACTGGGCGAGGAAAGGAAATCTCCCAGGTGAGAGCTGGGAGGGCCCACTACTTTCTGTGGGAGACAAAGGTTAAGAGCTACCTTTGAGAGAGGACTCTGCGTTTTCTTTTCTCTTTCTTTCTCTGTTCTTGTTCTTACCTAGATTATTTTCTTTTAACTTACTGTATCACAAAAAAGCTTTAGCGAAATCTTATGGAAAAAGGGCAAGTTTAAATAGAAGTGGGGTTTTGGGGGTGGGCAGGGGGGAATCACTAAAACTCACAGGCATTGTACTGCTTGAGATTTCTGAAATTATAAATACGCAGACAAGATGGTTGCTAACTCCTTAAATTCTGCTAGCATGAGGGAAGGCAAGAAAGAGGGTGTTAAGTTGTGGGTGAACATATCAGACGACACAGCGGTTCTTCAAACAGCTCTTGTTTATTCACAGGCCAGAACAGAACTGAACTGAAGGGTTCAGCCAGCCTGCTTATCTAAAGCTCCAGTACCACGCAACTGTAACAACTTTCTGTAACTATCCAATCACTGAACGTCACTTTCAATCCCGTATTTGCATATGTGGACCTGAGTGAAAACTATCTACAGTATCCCCCTGCTGGCCCAGGGTGAGAACTTCAGTACATAACAGAGGGCATCCCTGAAAACCAGTTACTGGGAACACCAAGTGGGGACAATATTGTTGCCCCCAGGTCCAGCTTGTGTGGGTTTACCACAGGCTACTGTGAGAACAGGATACTGGATTAGATGGGCCTTTGGCCGGATACAGTGAGACTCTTCTTAGCTTATCAGCCAAAAGGTTGGAGAGTTTCTACTCATGGCTAGGTTGCATTTTATCAATATATAAATGTAAGAATGTTAATAATGCAGATGACAACCAACCCCCTCACCGCCCATCCCCAGTTTATAAATGGCTGTGGTTAATACTATAAAATGCCGTGATTCACAAACTAAGGTTTTCTGGAAATGCAGCTTATCTCCCTGGAAAAAAAGGGATATCCATGTTTAATGGTATTTTTATTTTCATAAACTTGTTATAATTCCTATTATAGCAAAAATAATAATAATCTGGATTGTATTACTGGTGTCTTTGGCCCCCCCTTCTGCCTCGAGATATCATATATGCTTTCCATGATTATTTTGTTCAGTGCTTTGATTTTGCATTTTAATACAACAATACAGGAAAAAACAAATAACTGTAGGAACTATTGTTCACACCAATATGAGATCACTCACCACCCAACTGGCCACAACCCAACACTGAATTACTGTGCTTAAGCCCCTTTTAATCAATGGACTTAAGCTACATTGGATTGTTGCCACCCTCTTTGCAATATGTGAACATGCCCTGAATAGGTTTACGAGGTCAGATGGATCCCTCCGTCTCTTAACAATACAGACTCTCCTTCCCTATATACTTAAGGCCACTCCACACAAGACGATTTCCTTGTTCTGTAGGTGGGAGGATACAATATCCTAAGGGGCTGCTGCCCAAAATGGTACCCCTGTGTTCATTTTTTCACCTCTGCTATGCAGTATGTTGTAGTGGAGCTTAGGTAAAGGTAAAGGGACCCCTGACCATAAGGTCCAGTTGTGGCCGACTCTGGGGTTGCGGCTTTCATCTTGCTTTATTGGCCGAGGGAACTGGCGTACAGCTTCCGGGTCATGTGGCCAGCATGACTAAGCCGCTTCTGGCGAACCAGAGCAGTGCACGGAAACGCTGTTTACCTTCCTGCTGGAGCGGTACCTATTTATCTACTTGCACTTTGACATGCTTTCAAACTGCTAGGTTGGCAGGAGCAGGGACCGAGCAACGGGAACTCACCCCGTCACGGGGATTCAAACCGCTGACCTTCTGATCAGCAGGTCCTAGGCTCTGTGGTTTAACCCACAGCGCCACCCACGTCCCTGTAGTGGGGCTTACTAGTAGCATTATCCTGAGCACATCATAGCTGAGCAGGGACGTAGAATGAGCATAATAAAAGCAGGATGCAAGGGAAGTTGAGTTCCATGCTGTACGTAGATGGGGGAAAGGGAATGTGATGCTGGGCTGCTGTTTTCAGAAGCAGGCTTGGGGGGACGGTTGTGTGGGTGATGTGTAGTTTCACTGTGGAAAAAACCAGACACACTGTGAGTTGGGAAGTGCAGCCGTGAGTATTAATTCTGCCACATGGATTAAAAGTCTCTGTATGCACTTTGTCGTTCTTCTGACTGAACTTCTGTCCTTTCATACAGAGCTCTGACTGGTGAGGGCCATTGTGATGTGGTGGTTAGAGTGTCAGACTAGGACCTGGGAGATGAGGGTTCAAATCCCCACACAGCCACGAAGCTTGCTGAGTAATCTTGAGCCAGTCACTGCCTCTCAGCCTAAACTACTTCACAGGGTTGTTGTGAGGATTAAATGAGTCTTGAGGAAAAGACAGGCTAGAAAAGCAATAAATGAATAAAAATTCAATAGATAAATATCAGTGTAGGGAAAATATGTGCCAATCACACACTAAAAGATGGCTATGAATGCCAGCAAAAAACAGTGGTGTGCTTCCTTATATAATTCCCATTATAGCAATTTTTTAATGTTTGATGCTGTATTGTGTTTTTAATATTCATTTGGAAGCCGCCCAGAGTGGTTGGGGAAACCTAGCCAGATGGGCAGGGTATAAATAAATTATTATTATTATTATTATTCCTTTGTCACACTGCTTGCCTTAGGAGTTGGTGCTAATGTTGATGGCACTATTGTGGTCCTTTCCCTAGAATAGTTGCAACTGGATCCTCTGCCTCAGTCAGGTTATGCACCAGTACACAGCCATCTCCATCGGTCTGCAAGGTTTGTATGAACAGGAAGGACTGGGCAGCACCCCGTAAAGCTGACAATATTTTTGGGAAGCCCGAGAGAACAAAAGAGTCTTTGCTGGAATCCTGAAATGCCTGCCACAAATGTGGCGCTCGCCTATGATTCTCCATCATCTCCGCTGCCGAAAGGCAGTGTATTCCTCCGCCACTTCTTGATTGCTCTGGTCTATCATTTAGTTTTTGGCTGCAGCCTCAGATTATATTTTTGGGACTCGGGAAGAAGGGGACGGGGTGGGAGGGGGACGGGAGGGGGAGAGCCAGCCCACTGTAGAGAGAAAGAAACAGAATTGGAAAATAGAGAAGGAGGAGGAGGAGGAGGAGAAAGAGAGCCAGCCAAGCAGAAACCCAGCCCAGCAAACCTCGGAACGGTTTCCTGTTGCCTCCTTCTAAAACACTTAGATTCCTTCAGACCCTTGAGAGAGGCTGAAGTTTTCTCAGCTCCACTGCCCTGTCCTTGAGGTATGGCATCAAATCCTCCTTTTCCATTCTCTGCTCTTTCTCATTCCTCTCTGTTAATGATACTAAGCAATCGGGTCAGTTTATCAAAGATCTAACATCGGCACCTGAATCGGTGGAGAAGGGGAGTTGTATTAATGTGTGGGAATATTTTTTTGCATTTTCTTGACTTTCCATTCTTGAGAATTTGCTTGCTGCACCTTACTTTTGTTCCTCAGTTCGAAAGCTCTTCCCACCCCTCTTATAGCTGAAGCATGTTAATAGGCTTAGTTCAATGACATTTCAGAAAGAACAGGATTTTGCTGCTTATTTCATTGCTTTTCGCTGCTTGCCATAAATATGTGTTTATTTATTAGAAGGAGATGACAGTAATTTTCAAGCAAGTTGTTACTCTGTTGCTAGGATTTCACAATTTAATTCCTCCCCTCTAAAAATAATAATAACAATTAGGTCTGGCACATGGAATGCAGCCTGTCATTGGTCACTTCAGGTTACGAGCATCTAAGGAACTATACTTGTCAAGAGAACGTTATCTTAGCACATTTAGCCCAACGATATTTTTCTTTCCAGAAAAAGGCCATCAAAAGAAGAAGAAGAAAGTTGTTGTTTTTAAAGTATACTACCCCCTGCAATTGTCTTTATTTATCTCACTGATTTGCTTTTGGCAGAGTGACAGCAGTACAGAAAGAGGATGAATTTCAAGTCAGAATGTTGTGGGGTTTTCTGTTTGTTTTGTTGTTGTTTTTTTAAAAAAATAACAACAGTGGATGCTAAAAGGGATTTCATTGCCTTTAAAGGCAGCCACTGCCTCCCCTGCTCTGACCCAAGAGAATAGTTCAGCTGCTCTTTTTTTTGTTTGTTCCCTCTTGGAACAGTATTTTATTCCAAAACGTTTGCCAAGAAAAAGGCAGTTAATTTTGAATTGCAGAGTGCAATCTAAGTGCCTGGAGCAGTTTAATCTGGTGCAGATAGGAAAGAGCCCTGTTGCTCTGAGCAGTCTATTTGTGTGCGTATTGGTGGGGGACGAGGGGAAATATAACAAAAATGCAATGGATTGTGACTCTGGAAGGGTGGTAAAGTTGAAGGGGAGAATTTTTTTTGTGTGTATGCGGAGGGGATTAAGGAAAATGCATGCACAGTCCATGAATCAGTTCAAACAAAGCCATTGTCTGCCACATAGGCAGAAGCAGGAGATTGGGGGTGGGGGGTGGGGAGATATCAACTTTTCAAACTTTTGCCAAGCTCCGCCTACTGGGGTGGGGGAAAGGCGCTCTTCTCTTGTATGACTCTCCCACAATGGAATGTCGGCTTCCATGGCAACCCTTTCAGGGCCTTTTGGTTCAGGAGATGCAAGGCCTTTATGGCCTGAGACGCAGAAAGGAAAAGATGTGTTCAGCTGGAACTTTTCCCCTTTGCAGAATTTTAGCTGCGGAAAAGTTCAAAGGTTTATTTTTTGAAGCGCTGCTTTCGGTTCTGAATCGCCCTTCTATGCAGCATCCAAAAAGAAGGAATGTAGGAAGACACAACAGAGCGCCTCTTGACTTCTCCCCAGTTGTCCTTAACTGACGTTTCCATCTATTATGGCAGAGGGGATCTCATAACACACACGTCTTCATGTCAGTAAAGTATTTCAGTTCACTCGCTATCATTAAAACCAGAGCTTGGCTTCTGCAGAGGTTCAGCGAGGGCTCCATCGGGGACTGTGTGTTCAACGCTTGAACTCAATTCTGGAATACATAAAGTAAAGTAAAGGAATATATCTTCTGTGCAAGTGTCTTTACCACTAACTATGGTGGTGGTGGTGGTAGTAGTATAGTGGTACCTTGGGTCACAAATGCTTCAGGTTACATATGCTTCAGGTTACAGACTCTGCCAACCCAGAATTAGTACCTCAGGTTAAAAACTTTGCTTCAGGATGAGAACAGAAATCGTGCTCTGGCGGCGCAGCAGCAGCAGGAGGCCCCATTAGCTAAAGTGGTGCTTCAGGTTAAGAACAGTTTCAGGTTAAGAATGGACCTCCGGAATGAATTAAGTACTTAACTTGAGGTACCACTGTAGTAGTAGTAATAATAATAATTTATTTATATCCCCAGCCACTCTGGGAGGCTCCCAACAGAATATTAAAAACACGAGAAAACATCAAACATTAAAAATTTCCCTAAACAGGGTTGCCTTCAGATGTCTTCTAAAAGTCAGATAGTTGTTTATTTCCTTGACATCTGATGGGAGGGTGTTCCACAGGGCAGGTTCCACCACCGAGAAGGCCATCTGCTTAGTTCCCTGTAACTTCGCTTCTCACAGTGAGAGAACCTCCAGAAGGCCCTCGGCGCTGGACCTCAGTGTCTGGGCTGAACGATGGGGGTGGAGACGCTCCTTCAGGTATGCTGGGCCGAGGCTGTTTAGGGCTTTAAAGGCCAGCACCAACACTTTGAATTGTGCTCGGAAACATACTGGGAGCCAATGTAGGTCTTTCAAGACCGGTGTTATGTGGTCTCAGCGGCCACTCCCAATCAACAGTCTAGCTGCTGGTCTGTTCCCTGCAACTCCAGATTAAGATGTAAATCTTCCAGAGCCCCAACTCTGGGACAGCCACTGTTTAATGGTATAGCGAAAGAACAGCAATTATGCCCACACAGTTATTTATGTCAGCTACATTCATGCCAGCTGTTTATATCTTAAAACAAAGGGCTATGATTAAACAAACCAGGCTTTAATTAACTTTGTGCGGTACTTGATAGTTTAGGTATTTTTTATAACTTAAGAAAGTTGCTGATATCTTTTTGCACTGGAGGAGGGGTGAACTGTAGGGGTTTCACAGGTGGTGAGCATCTGGGCTTCCTTCCAGGCCAAACTTCCGGCCACTTTCCTCTTGGGACAGGCTGCTGGTAGCTGACAACATGAATGGTGAGCAGCTGGCCTTGCTTTCATCATGGTGCCGCAGAATCCATAAAATAACATGACCCAAAATAACTGGAAAATTACAAGCAAAGCAAGCCCAGCTTTCCAGTGCTGGATATCTCAGACAGGACTTAGAATTTAGTCAGGTCCATCCATCCATTTATCTGTAAGCTGCCTTGAATCCCATTCTGAGGGGAAAGCCTTATTATTATTATTATTATTAGCCACAATTGTGCCAAGGCACCACTTCTGCTGAGATACAGGACATCCCCCAGAGGCCCATGGGATGGCACAGGGACTTCTGGAGCAGTCTCTTATTTCCTGGTAGGAGGGAAATCTAGAGAGAGCAGAGCACAACTTCCTTGTGCTACTTTTGTCTCCACAAATGCCAACAAGAAGTCAGCGCTGTCTGCACTGAAATGAACATGAGAGAATTGTTCTCTTGCTCCTTCCTTGCTGCCAGACATCCCTTTCACTGGGAAATGGAAGATCACCTCAGTACACCAGGGAGTGAAGTGAAGCTATAGCCATAGCTGTCAACGTTTCCCTTTTTAAAGGGGAAATTCCCTTATTCCGAATAGGATTCCTCGCAAGAAAAGGGGAAAGTTGACAGCTATGGCTATGGCTAGTCCTTGCAGGAACCCAAATGTACAACTCCTCTTAAGCCAAAGCATTTTAAGGCCCTCTTACTTGAGAGACACCGCCCCACAATAGGGAGCTGCTGTTGTCCCAACTACAGTCCCAAGCTCAGGTTTATCACCCCAATGAGAATTATGCCCCAGGCAGCACATTAAAGGTGCATGTGATTTTTCTTTCTTTCAAAAACTATTTGCTAAATAAGACTGGAAAGTATTTAGCTTGTGCAGCTAAGGACTAGCAATAAAGAGCTAGATCATATCCCTGATATTACAGTCATATAAAGCTTCTTTCCCTTTATCTTTACGGTGAAAATTACCTGCTGTTTCCTCTGCCCTTAAGCCTTGGATATTCTGACATGTATCATTTTCTCTCCAGTTAAAGCCACACATTTGATACTAGGGAGCTGAATTATTGGGTAGTTCTCTTGAACAAGTTCTTAAAATGATGACACTTTATACAGTGCTTCTGCCAGAGCAGACTAACATCAGCTTGTTTTTACAGAGGAGAAAATGAAAGGGATCACCATTTTCCAGCAGGAAAGGGAGGACTTAATGTGTGTGCCTAGCAGTACAAAGTAAAGTCAGAAATGGAATCTCCATCCTGAGCTCCTTTGGAAGGAAGGACAGGATTAATAATGATGATGATGATGATGATGATGATGATGATTATGTTACCCAACCATTTCCCAAGCTTTTCCCCCCTCATAGTATTACATCTTCGTAAGCTTTTAGCTAGTGTGGCTTTTGAAACATGGAGTTACTAGCAGTGGCGTAACGCCCTTTGCCAGAGCCCAGAGAAGATGAGCATGCATGTGCCCCAGGCTCATCCAGCCCTTGCCACTGATGTCGCTGGGCGGGTGTTCACGTGCCATGCGGGAGCAGGGTGTGGAGGGTGCCCTTCACCCTTCACCGTCTGCACTCCCCCGCCCCTATCGCCAGTGGGCAAGCTCTGCTGTGCTGGGCAGGGGCGGGACACGCAGAAGGCGATCTTCATCCTCTGTGCTATCCAGTCCCTGCCGCCGGGTGCAAGGGGGATCTCAGTGGGGTGAGGAGCTCCTGGTTCACACACACCCAGATTGTTCGCCCAGGGCAATATCCCCCATTCCCCCCCATGCCACTGGTTACTAGACAGTCTTTAATGTTGTAAATTGCTACTTGGGTTTAATAATTGGAAAAGAAATGGTGATGCAATCAGTTTCCCTGAAGATGAACAAGACAGGGTTAAATGCACAAGAAGAGCCCTGCTAGATCAGGCCAGTGGCCCAGCTAGTCCAGCATCCACAAGATGCTTAGGGGAAGCTTGCAAGCAAGATCTGAGCACAGCAGCACTCTCCCCTCCTGCGGCTTTCAGCAAACTTTTATTCTGTTCATGGAGGCAGAATGCAGCCCCCAGGGTTAGTAGCCATGGATAGCCTTTTCCTCCATGAGGTTTCAAAGCAAGCTGCGCTGCATTCATTTATTTTTGAGCAACTTTTTATGGGGTTTCTATAAACAGAAAGCTGCACTTTAAAAGTATTACCGTTGCAGCAATAGCTATCACATGCCCCCCCTCCCCATTTCATTTATATATTTTTTAAAATCCGGCATAGCACTTCAAGCAAGACCAGATAGCTGTGCCCACTCTTTATTTAAACTCCCTCTAATTCGTTAGTGTAGGGTTACTCTCAGGCATTGTGAGAAATTCAGCTTGGTGCTGCTGCGCCTCAACCGCCACCAGGTACACTTGCCAGGGCCTGGTGACAGAGGAGGCTGGCCATCATTGAGCATTTGCCCAAGGCTTCCTCAGCCTAGCTCAGTGGGCTTCCTCCCATGTTAGTGACTGTCTGTGGATTGCAAGCTACTAGCACAAACCGCTCCCTCATGGTACTCATCTGCAAACCCTGGTTTGCGGTTTGAAGGCTTTCTCCATGAGCAACAGTTGCAAAACGGATCCGTTTTGTTTAGGATCCTGGTCAAGCCATAGTAGAAGGTAAAGGACCCCTGGACGGTTAAGTACAGGCAAAGGCGACTGGGGTGCGGTGTTCATCTCACTTTCAGGCCGAGGGAGCTGGCGTTTGTCCACAGACAGCTTTCTGGGTCATGTGGCCAGCATGACTAAACCGCTTCTGGGGCAACAGCACACCGTGATTGAAACCAGAGTGCACAGAAATGCCGTTTACCTTCCCACCGCAGTGGTACCTATTTATCTACTTGCACTTGTGTGCCTCTGAACTGCTAGGTTGGCCGGAGCTGGGACAGAGCAACAGGAACTCACCCCGTTGCACGGATTTGAACTGGCAACCTTCTGATCGGCAAGCCCAAGAGGCTCAATGGTTTAGACCACAGCACCATACTAGTCAACTTAACTGATTGATAAAAAGCCGATCCTGAAGAAACATTTGGCTCTATCTGAACACTCATAAGGCTTCTTGCACCCTCTCAAATCTGCACCAGAGGGTTTGCTGAACTCTCCAGAACAGAGGGCAACAGCAAAAAGTGGGAATTAGTGAGAATTACCTTCCTTCCCAGTCCATTCACAGAATTTTATGCTGGAGCAATGAGTTGGCCATGAACAGAAGGACCCAACTAGAAGCATCCCTTCATAAATGCTGCTTTGAGCCATATTCATATAATGCTGCTACATGGACAGGTGTTGCACAGCTCTTCTCAGAAAGAAAAGGCTCAGGATAAGTGAGCATATTGATGACTGTGCACACTATGATAGCTTTTTAAGAGAGACATGAATTGGCAACATGGGTTAATACCCCCACCATGTCAAATCAGGGTTGAAAGAGTAGTTAGAACGAAGGGGTGCAGGCTCTAGCCTTGGTCCATGACTCCGCATCCTTTAAATGAGATGGAATGTGAACAAAGAGGACAGCAGAGAAAATTGAGTTTGTGGTTATTTCAAATGCTGGGTAATGAACGTTATCCTTCCTTGGGAAAAGGCAGAGAAAGCAGTCCATGCTGTCCAGAGGAAGCCACCAATGCTAATCTTAGAGAGAGGGGAGAAAAGAGAATATCTGTTAAGAGATGCTTGAGATATGCAGTTAATAAAAGGCAGCCACCAAAGCCACCTAAATTGCTGGTGTGGAAATAGGATGATCACATCTTTTCAAAGCTCTTTTAAGTAACCCTGCTCTCATTATTCATTATCATCATAAGGTGCTGTTTTGCATAGGAACATATGTCAAAAGGAAAGAGCAAGGAAAGGTGGCCTGATGTATGTGTTCTGCAATGGACTCTGGGCGTTAAAGACAGCAAGGCAAAATGGTGGAGTCAGCTAGGACAAAAGAAACCCTTACAGCAGCCTATGTGCTGCATTCCAGATATCACTGGGGGGGGGGGCACCCAGGGGAGATGCCCTGGTGGGAACCTTCCTTAGCTCTGCAGCAGCTACCAGTTTCAAGCCTATTCTTGGTATAATGTGGACTTGAATGTTGATTTAAAGTGGGGATTCAATATTCCGCTGTTCCTCGCAGACTATAGACCACAAGGCAACAAAGAGGTACACGTGGCACCCAAGGGAAATTGCCAGGACAGGGAGTTTATGCAAACTGCCACCTAGTGCGCTTTCCCTTTCACAAGAAGCTTTCCCTGGGATTGTTGTGTCAGATGCAGTGGTGTAGTGGCAAATATTGAAGAGCTCATCATGACAACCTTCACAGCCACACCCTAAAGGAGTGTCCAAAAGTACAGGCAGCTGCACTGATCCCTATATTTATGTGTGCATAAATGTGTGCAACACACACACACACACACATATCAAAATGTAGAAGTACATAGCATATTACCAAATTGGTTAGAATGAATATGACCACAATCCAATGTAGTTTCCTGGTAATAAGCACTATGCATAAGGGAAACCATGCATAAGTTTATAGCCATGTCAATCAGAAACGTGAACCATCTTGCAAAGAAGTGTTGCCATTTAACCCGCTAGCATGAAGTAAGAACCCCAAACCAAAGGAAATATGTTTCCATCCTCTGCTTGATTATTTTCCTCCTTCTCTGACTGTGCTAAATTGACACAAACAAGCTTGAAAGCTTTATTGTCATGTCACTTAACTTGCAAGGAGAGTTTGTCAAGTACCCTAGCACCCCAGCAGATGACATCATTGTCCTTGCACTTTCCTACATGACTCCCAACCCCAATTAGATCATGGGAAAAAGACCACACTTCGGCAGGACAGGAGTGCAGCTCTGATTTATTTGTTCTTTGGGGGGCGGGACTCTGCACATGCTGAGAAGCTGTCTTTTCCTCCCATGGGATATATAGAGAAATCACTCCAGTTAAAGAAAAGCATGGGATCCTTATCAAATGTCAGCACCATTTATAGAACCAGATACCAACTGCAGCCTACACAGCAAGCCCTGGCTGAAACCAAACACAGAATCTGGTTCTTCTGTAGTTCAAACTAGGATAGTGACCATGCCACTTAAACCTTATTTAAAGTTCTGTTCCTTTGGACAACTAGCTTTTGCATCTGTTCTGTGTTCCAACCTACTCTTGTGAAACAAGAGTGTTGGAAAAGGAGAGTTGTGTCTGCATTCACGAGGATATGAATGCATGTGCATTAATCCACTTTGCAGATCCAAACTCTGAGTCTTGGCACTGAGAAGCATGTTCGTGGGTTGAGCCCCTGTGGCTCAATTAAGCCCCAGCAGCATGCCTTGAGTCATTTGATTTTCCACAGATAGCTGTGTGATGGCTGCTACACAGGTCTTCATTGCGAGAGCATCACACTATGCATTTGACACCTCTATTGCAAAGTACCAAGGGTACGGCTGGAAGGCTTCAGCCAAAGCAGCTCCTCTTAGACAAAAAATAAGTCTCTTATGGAGGCATTTCTGGACATTTTTGTTTTTCAAATAAACTTGTTTCCTGTCTCCAGCCACAGACGTTTATGTAAAGCTTGTTTGCTCAGAGAGTTGATCCATGTCCCTTCTACCTCCAAGCACAACAGTGGCTGTTCTCAGTGTTTGCTGGCCTGCTGTCAGATGGGCTCCTATACCTCAGCACAGCCCCGGGCCTTGAAATCTGATATTCTCTGGGGCAAGGAACACCACTTGAGATCCTCATCCAATATTGACCAGGGTGGCTCAAGGGGTGTTGTCTTCTGAAAGCAGCCCCTTGACACCTGGCTCGTAACTGCTGAACCTCAGCGAAGTTGTCGGACCTTGGTCATCAGTGGACCTCGGAAGCAAGGCAAGAAAGAGCCCCGCTAAGCAAAGCACAAGAAAATCCCTTGTAGATCCAGGAGGAGGGAAACAGCCAGATGCAGCTGTACTTTTCCACCCCAAAAATGCCATTTAAAAGGGGAAGAGCTATTGACCTCAGCTTCAGGTCTTGGCAGTGACGAAGGATGCTTTCACCAGCCTCCAGAGCAAATAAAGGCAAGAGGAAAGGACTTGGTGTACTGAACAGCAGGAGGAGAGGTGGGGGCAGAGGAAAGAGCTGTCTGCATTAGACAGCCGCCAAGTCAATGGGAAATAGGCCCCCTACATAGCCAACGTGGTACTATCCAGATGTTGTTAGACTGCAACTCCCATCAGCCCCAAGCAGCCTGGTCAGAGATGGTGGGATATGTAGTTCGAAGCATCTAGAGGGCACAAAGTTGGTTACTCCTGCCTTACTCTATACTCACCAAAAAGTGTCTGTAATGATGAACTGTCAGGCACATCCATGATTTTGCATGAAACCATGTTGCATCTTCATGAATGGTTCTATTTCTCTTACCATGATCTAACCATATACACAAAAAATACATCATGCAAAACATGCTGGAGGCTGCAGCATGAACGTTTTTAGAGAGTTACAGTGTAAATATTGCTAAAGCCTGCTACATTTGGCATAAATAAAAGCTGAGGTGGAAATTTCAGACATCAGCCTTTCTGTAGTGCATTGAAGGCAACATGTTTGGAAAACGATTCCACATTTTGGGCGCAAAGGGAGCATGCTGCAACCTGCCATAGAAATGCCAGGAAATGCATTCATATTAGATCTGCAATATATTGAGAGGTGGAGGGAAATCAGCCACATTTTGTATGAGGTTGCATTTAGGTGTGAAATATGTTTGTAGATAGGGAGCTACTTTGCAGAGTTCAAATTTTGAAAGTACTAAGTTGGAGTTCAGAATTTTATATTCCGCAGTTTAAGACTTGGGAGACTTCTGGCTTGTGAAAATATTTCACTGTTAGATAAATATTTCACTCAGGCTTGCACTACAAATGAAAAATAAAAACCACTGCCAGTGTTGTCTTTATATTTTGTCATACATCTGTCACATGAATCTGCTACCAATAGGGAAGGTTGTGAGAGAACTGCACGCATCAGTCTCATAATCTTATTGTGAATACAAATTCCATATTCTCCTGGATTTCCCTTCTTTGTTAGAAGCAGGAAGTGATCACTGAACAATAGATTGTATCTGAGCAATTGAAAAGGCATTTGGCAATAGCATGTTTTATCGGTTGGTCTGGATTTCCAGATGCCCACCCGTTTGTACCTACTAGTACTCTGTGAGTGGTTTTTCAGATTAGCAAAGAGTTCATATATCATTTTACAGTCAACACATTCAGATTCTTGCCTGCATGCTAGGCTCAGCAAGAGATTCCCCTTTCTTCGCAGTTCATACCACTTTTCATGGACATAGATATTCAAGTTCTACAAATTGCGTCTGGAGTAGACAAGATAGCTCCATATAGGAGCACTGTCCATCTGTATCAACACTCTACTCTTAGGAAAATAGGTGAAAGTCTGAAAACTCTCAGTAGCAAATATATAGGCCTGTAGAAGAAGATTCTGCAGTTGCAGCCTCTGCTGTATGCCAGACTGCAGATAAGCAAAGAATTTAATCACTCAGGATTTCCTCAGTTTGTTTCCCCAGTGCTTTCTGGCAAGAACTTCCTTGGGCAAGGATTTACATGCCTTAATGCTATTGCGTTTGAAAGATAGGACTTTGCACCAGCAGGAAGATGGTTTGGACATTACATGATGCAGAGAATAACACTGACTTCCACTTTTCCACCCTTATTTTTCCCCTTCTGAAATATTTTTCCCAGTAAAACTTCCATGTTTTTGTTTTTAAATCCAAAGGATATTTAAATTCTTCTATGGTTATCTGTTATGCACACTTCTGCAATGTAGTTAATAGGAAAAAGCTCATTTTAGTTCCTTTATTTCCCCCTACTACCCACAAAGTCTGAAACAGAGATTATAACTGAAACATTAACAGGTAAAATTTATGGATGCCAGGTTTCAGCCCAGAAATAGTGTCTCTGCCTTCTATTTCTCTGCCACCTCTCCCGCTGCATTTTCCTTCTTTGCTTGTAAGGGGTCAAAATGAAGGCTTGCTTTGCTAGGTCCAGGAAGTAAGTGGATGGAGGTCATTGTGGCGTCTAGCCTTACAACAGGCTCCACAAAGCCACCAAGTTCAATGAAATTTACTCACTGGGCATGTGCTTGGTCAGGGATTTCAGCCTAAAAATCCAGGAAGAAATTTCTGACAATAAGAGCTGTTTGATATTGGAACCAACTCTCTTAGGAGACTCCCCTTCATTACAGGTTTTGAGGCAGAGGTTAGATGGCCAGTTGTCATGGATGTTTTAGTTGAGATTCCCTTGGGGTCCCTTCCAACTCTACAATTCTTTGATTCTATATATTGTTGAAGGGAGGAAACTGTAGGTATAATCCTTCCATCACCTAATGTTAATCAAGTTCATGCATGAATTGTTCTGCAGAAGACTTCGGCTTTAAGTTCAAGTCATTTTCATTACCCCCATTTCTTTCTTTTTTGAAGCATCCTTGCAGCTCATCAGCGTCAACTATGTCAAAAGCCTTATCTATCCTTACTTATTCTTCCTGTAAGAAGAAACAGTAACATGAAAACGTGGTGTTGTGGTTACAATGTTTTACTCAGCACAGGGCTCAAATCCTCATTTGAGCTCTCCATGATTTGGGGGCCACTCACTATCTATCAGCTTAGCCTACCTCACAAGGTTGCTGTGAGAATAAAATTGGGGGAGGATCAAGCATGCTGCCCTAAATTCCTTGGAGGAAGGGTGGAATAAACTGCAATAAATGAAAATAATAAACTGACTCTCGTGCAATAAAGCCCATAATTTTCATAAAAACTAATACAGTAGAACACAATACTCAATCCCCACCCAAATATAAGTCAAATGTTTCCTCTTCTCTCTCCAGACTTCAAACAAAGATGCGGGTCTGGATTTTCTTCCTCTTCTGCCTGGCAGGCAAGGCCCTGGCAGCACCGGTAAGTATTGAAATGGGATCAAATAAAATTTTAAAACCTGTTTCCTAGAATGAATTTCTGCCCCTCCTGCTATAGGATTGCCATTGGGCAAGGCATGAGAAAGGTGAGTTTCAGGGCCAACATACAACAAAAGGATTGCCGCATTTTGACAGTACAGTACCTTGGAAGTCGAATGGAAGCCTTCCAGAAGTCCGTTCGACTTCCAAAACATTCAGAAACCAAATCGCGGCTTCTGATTGGCTGCAGTTAGGGAAATGGAATAAATTGCTGTGTGAACTCAGGCTAAGTCAGAACAAGCATGATGTACACACGCCAGAATCCATCCTTCTCAGATGACTATATTCAAAAGTTTGATTCTTTTCATTTTTTTTTTTTTAAAGCAATTTATTGGGTTTTACAATAATAATAAACATAATAAACAATATAACATTTGTCTTAACATAGTTTCACATTTTCTTTGGACTTCCTCACATCCCCCGCTCCCACTTTCATCGTTATAACATTTTGTCAGCAATTTATCATCTTATTTAAATTCTTATATCTCTTCAATGTTTCATAATCTTATAGTTCTCATAAAGAGTTAAACTTTCACAATCTTACTTATTTTCTTAAAAACTTCTAAGTTAAGTGGTGCTCAGTTATTTAGTCTAGCGTCTTATTTAGCATTCACTCAAATCACAATATTTTTGTAGATAGTTCTTAAATTTCTTCCAATCCTCCTCGATTCTCTCTTCTCCCAGGTCACGGATTCTGCCGGTCATTTCAGCCAGTTCCATGTAGTCTATCAGTTGCATCTGCCATTCTTCCAGTGTGGGTAAATCTTGAGTTTTCCAATGTTTTGCAAGAAGTATCCTTGCTGCTGTTGTTGCATACATAAAAAAATGTCTGGTCCTTCTTTGCCACCCCTTGGCTGACAATACCCAGAAGGAAGGCCTCTGGTTTCTTGGTAAAGGTATATTTAAATACCTTTTTCAATTCATTATAAATCATTTCCCAGAACGCCTTCACTTTAGGGCAGGTCCACCAGAGGTGGAAGAACGTTCCCTCACACTCTTTACATTTCCAACACTTATTATCAGACAGGTGGTAAATTTTTGCAAGTTTAACTGGGGTCATATACCATCTATAAATCATTTTCATTACATTTTCTTTCAGAGCGTTACATGCAGTAAATTTCAATCCATTACTCCACAACTTTTCCCAGTCCTCAAACATAATATTATACCCAATGTCCTGTGCCCACCTTATCATAGCCGATTTAACCATTTCATCTTGTGTATTCCATTCCAACAGCAAGTTATACATCCTTGAAAGTACCTTAGTCTTTGGTTCCAACAATTCTGTTTCTAATTTCGATTTCTCCACCTGGAACCCTAGTTTCTTATCATTTTTAAAAACTTCTTTAATCTGAGCATAATGTAACCAATCTCGCACTTTGTCTTTCATTTTCTCCAAACTCTGCAATTTCCAATTGTCTCCATCTTTTTCTAGTATCTCCCAATATTTTGGCCATTTAGCCTCCATATTGGGTCTTTTCGGACCTTAGCTTCCAAAGGTGAAAGCCACCTTGGTGTTTTATTTTCCAGCAAGTCTTTATATTTTGTCCAGACATTATACAATGATTTTCTGACAATATGGTTCTTGAAGGCCTTATTTGCTTTAACTTTGTCATACCATAAATATGCATGCCATCCAAAAACATTATTAAACCCTTCCAAGTCCAACACATCAGTGTCTTCAAGAAGTAGCCAGTCTTTTAGCCAGCAGAACGCTGCGGCTTCATAATACAACTTTAAGTCCGGCAGGGCAAAGCCCCTCTTTGTTTTACATCGTTTAATATCTTAAACTTCATTCTGGGCTTATAGCCCTGCCAGACAAACTTCGAAATATCTCTCTGCCACTTCTGAAAGCACTCCGTTTTGTCCAAAACCTGAAGTGTTTGAAATAAAAACAACATCCTTGGCAATACATTCATCTTAATAGCAGCAATTCGGCCTAACAAAGAAAGTTTCAATTTTGACCAACTGTCTAGGTCTCTCTTAATTTCTGTCCAACATTTTTCATAGTTATCCTTAAATAGACTTAGATAGTGTGCTGTTATGTTGCCCCCTAGGTATTGTACTTTTTGAACCCCATTAAGTTCCGTCTCATTCTGAAACCGTTCTGACTCTGTATCAGTCAAATTTTTCCCCAAAACCTTAGTTTTCTGTTTATTTAATTTAAATCCCGCCACCCGACCAAAATCATTAATCAATTGTAATACTCTTTTCGTACTGGGCTCTGGCTTCTGCAAGGTCAAAACCAGGTCATCTGCAAAAGCTTTTAGTTTATATTGTTTCTGACCAACCTGAATTCCTTCCACCAACCGATCCCCTCTAATCATGTTCAGTAGCACTTCCAGAACCGAAATAAATAACAAAGGGAAATAGGGCAACCTTGTCGTGTCCCTTTTTCAATTTTAAACTCTTCTGTAACCACATTATTAACTATCAGTTTAGCTTTCTGTTCTGAATATATCGCCTCAATCCCATTCTCAAAACCCCGTCCCACTCCCATCTCTTTTAAATTTCCCATCATAAATTTCCAGGAAATATTGTCAAAGGCCTTCTCCGCATCTATAAAAATTAAAACTGCTTTTGTATTTATATCTGTTTGCAGAAGTTCCAAGATGTCAATAATGTTCCTTGTGTTAGCAAACAGATGTCTACCTGGGAGAAAACCGGCCTGGTCCTTATGAATTACTTCATTTAATACTTTTTTAAATCTACTTGCCAAAATGTCTGCAAATATTTTGTAATCCACATTTAAAAGAGAGATGGGACGGTAGTTCTTCAGTTGTGTCTTTTCAGCTTCTAACTTTGGTATTAATGTGATAAACGCTTCCTTCCACGAATCCGGTGCCCTCTTCCCCTCGATAATTTCATTGCTGACCTCCATCAAGGGTTGTATCAAATAGTCTTTTAATATCTTATAATACTTGGAGGTCAGCCCATCTGGCCCTGGAGATTTGCCAAGTTGCATGTTCTGAATAGCTTGTTCAATCTCCTGTCGTGTTATTTTAGAGTTCAGGATTGTCCTATTTTCTTGTGACAATTTAGATAGTCCATTTTTTGCTAAAAATTGTTTAATCTCAACTTCGTCTTGCGGCCCTTGGGTATATAATTTTTTAAAATATCTCTGGAAACACTTTCTAATATCCACTGGATTCTGAATGTTTTTTCCGTCAACCTCTAAATTTGTAACCGTGTTTAATCTTTGTCTTCTCTTCAACTGCCAAGCTAGCAGTTTTCCACATTTATTCGCCGACTCAAACGTTTTTTGTTCATTAATTTAACCTTCCATTCAATTTCCTGATTTATCAATTTAGAATATTGTGTTTGATAGAGTTTAATTTCTCTCAGAGTTGGCTGTGACTTTGGATTCACTCTTAATTTCTTCTCTAATTCTTTTAATTTGTCCAAGATTTTATCTTTTTTCTCATTTTGTGTTCTTTTCTTTACTACATTCTGTTGTATCAAGAATCCTCTCATTACAGCTTTGCTTGCGTCCCAGACAATTCTTTTTTCCACCGAATTGTTCATATTTATCTCAAAGTAGTCCTTCAAAACTTTTTGGGCCTTCTTGGTAATTTCCTGATCTCTAAACAAATTGTCATTCATCTTCCATCTAAAGGATCCAGTTGGTAGTAGTGTCATATCCATCTTTACTGCATTATGGTCAGAACAGGTCTTTGGGCAGATTTCCACTTTTCTGACCTTAGGTGCCAGGCCTCTGGAAATCCATATTTGGTCGATTCTTGTCCAGGTCAGTTGGGCTTCAGAAAAGAATGTTCCTTCTCTACCTAGTGGGTTCTTTGTCCTCCAAATGTCAATCAAATCCATATTGTCAGTCATTTCAAAAAAAGTTTTAGGTAGTCTGCCGTCTTTTGTAACATTTTGACTTTGTGACTTGTCCATGTTAGTTGACACGACCCCGTTCATGTCTCCCATCATTATGATGTTGTTGTAATCCAGATATTCCAGCATTGTCCCCTGCAACTTCTTGTAAAATTCCGATTTCCCTTCGTTAGGTGCATAGATTCCTAATATCCAAAAGTTTGATTCTTTTCAAAGTCACTGCCAAAACTGCACCTTAGGGACAGGTGTGCTGTAAGTGTTGCTGGCAAAGTCCATTGGGTGGTGCCCAAGTTAGTGAGCAACAGGAATTCACAGACCTTAACTCTTTGAATTCTAAGTGTGTATATGTTTTAAATAAAGTTGGGCGAAGAATACTTAAGTGCCTTCAAGTCTATTAAGGAATGAGATATGGCAATACTGCATTCCAAAGCAAGGCAAGGAGCTCCACAGACTTCAGTGGGGCCTGCTAGGTTCTAACTGTGGCAAAGGGGAGCATTATGCAGAAGGTCTCACACTTTCTTCCTGCTGGTTGCAGCACTTGGGTGGGGTGGCAGAGGAGCTTTGTACATGTGTGTGTTTGGTCACTGCAGTAGGAGTGGAGCTTCAGGCACAAGGTTGAGGGAAACCCTGCAGTAGAGCTAGGATGGGAGACACATCCACACCTGACTTCCTTATTTCTTCCTTGCAGCAGGATGCTCTACCAGAAGAGATGGAAGTAGTAGAGGACCCTACAATAGAGGTACGAGGTGATGCAATACCCCCCTCTTTTTATGTGCTTTGTGGGAACAGATGCATTGGAAGAGGTGGGATAATGACTGATGGGAAGTTCTATGACCACCACGCAAACAAATTGGGATGGATGCTCAGCAAACAGGTGGTCTGGAAGCAACCTAACACATTTTCTATGGCATATATGTTCAATGGACTGCAATCTGCTTACGCCATAATAAATATGTTAGTCTTTAGGTACCTCAAGACTCTTTGCTCTCTTTTTTTGCTAAAACAAACTAACACAGCTATCCTTCCGGAAATAGTTGCTTCAGATCACCATTTCTCAAGATCGGTCTTTTTATTCATTTTATTATGAGTTAAGAGCTTTCAGACTGCTTGCTTGAAATTTAAGGGTGATCAGAAGAGGAACGGAACTGCAGCTGGAAGCCCTGTTGAAAGGTGGGGCCTGTAACGCAGTCACAGTGTGGAGCGCTCTTGTTCAGGGTTCCAGCTAGTCACCAGTCAACCATACCTCTCCTAGGACACCCCATTCCGTTCCATTTCCCCTCCCCCCTGTTTTCTGTATCCTCCACCCACAACAACCAGCTGTGCCCATTGAGTGTGTTCAGTCCTCATTGAATTGCTCAAGAGTCCCTTCCCCTACTTTTATAGTTCGCTCCCTAAAAATTGTGCTTCTCCAAATCTTCCTCAAAGACTCCTGTGCTATTTGGCTACATTTTAGAGTATGAACTCACTATTGGCATATAGTATACTAAATACCTCAAGGACCACCTCTTCCCATATGAACCAAACCAGATCATCATCTGAGGCCCTTCTTTCTGTGCCTCCTTCATGAGAGACCAGATGGTGGCAACGTGAGAACAGGCCTTTTCTGTGGTGGTTCCCCGTTTGTGGAATGCTCTCCCCAGGGAGACTTGCCTGGCACCTTCGTTACATATCTTTAGCACCAGGCAAAAACATTCCTCTTCTCCCAGGCCTTTGGCTAATTAAACAATCTATGGCCCTTTAAATTGGAGGGGGGTGTTGTTTTTGTTTGTTATTATGCATTTTCAACCACCCTGTAATCTTCAGGTGAAGGGCTGTATAGAAATTTAATTATTATTAATAATAATACCTCAAGTTGGCTCTTCTTTCATGAAAGGAAATTAACTCTAGAGACATTTCCCTGACCTCCGGCTTCCTAATGCTGTGAGTCTCTCTTTGAACAGCCTATTTGAGTGGGTATGGTTGCTATGTCGCAACAGGCTTCCAGGTTGTCATCAACCAGAACACAACAATAACTGACCTTATTCCACCTCTCTTCCCAGGAACCTGTGGGTATCAACCCCGTTCAGGTGGAGGTTGGAGAGTTTGAAGAGCCCACTGTGGATGTGGAGGAGATTGTTGCTGAAAGTAAGCAGTACTCTGGATATTATACTTTAAACCTGCAATGTTTTATATGTACACATAATATTAGCAGGGCCAGCCCAAAACATTTTGGCACCTGACATCCTGCCACCTGAGGCGGTTGCCTCACCTTGCCTCAAGGGTGGACCAGCCCTGTATATAAGAATGCATATTATATAGAAATGCAAAAAACTGAAGAAAAGGGGTTGTTGCAGCAGCCCTGGTATGCTCATGCCAGATGATGTTTCTTGCTACTGTCATTTAAGTCCCGCCTTCCCAGTCTTACATCCTGAAGACCCGACAGCATCACTCTCTCCATAGGCTGCTTTAAGTTGCAAGGGGTATCACTTTAAAGGACCACAGAGGGAAGGAAATGGTCTGTGAACCACATGCTCCCTCTGAGGCCAGTCCTTACTCCATTTCAGCCATGCAGAGTGTGTTTACAGATATCTATCTGTTTTTTAGGCTTGGGAAAGATTCGAAGTACATTAGATGGTGGCAGTAAGGTATTACTCTTTCAGAAGAGAATGCTGACACTTGCAACTCAACTCCAATACATCAGTTAAGGAGTTCTGGTCATTCCTGTGCTGCCCTAGTTAGAGACAAACATAGACTATTGGACTATATGCCTTGCTCCATAAAATAAATATGTTAGCCTATCCTACATCTGATGAGCCAAGCAAACACTACGCTGGATGGCTCAGACACTACTGTTGGTGAAAAGGCTGAGTATATCTCTCCATGGCTAGTTTTCCAGGGGTTTTTTAATAGTGAGGAACCACTGACACTGTTTTGGCTTCAAAAATTGCTTTTCTTCCTGGTCTTGCTTAGATCCTTGCCAGAACTATCACTGCAAGCATGGCAAAGTCTGTGAATTGGACGAAAACAACACCCCTATGTGTGTGTGCCAGGATCCTTCCAGCTGCCCAGCCAGCACTGCAGTGTTTGAGAAGGTGAGCAGAGAAGATGAGTGAAGTCAGGCCAACAGAGCAAACTGACAAAAGTGGAGGTCTTGGGAACAGTGATTGCTTATAGCCTCAGTTATATCTTAGCTTTAGCATAGCAGCTGATGCATCTCTGAGGTTTCTCCCAGTAACATCTGTAACTTCTGGTGAGGGCATATCACATAGTTAAGTACCATGCTACCAATGAAGGGTGTTTTGCAAGTTTGGTATATAGCCACGTCATGGAACCTGGCTGCATGAAAGGAAGCTGCAGGAGTTACTGAGAAAGGGATGTGAGCAGTGACAGGAGAGTGGCCACCATGCCACTGGACAGAATGAGTGCAGCTTGTCATTCTTCTGAATCTTTCAGTGGTTTTGTCAGATACTGACTATCAAGTCTTCCTCAACAGCCCATGACACATGGAGTGAGAGGCCCTGCCTGGCAATAGTTCTTCCCCTACCTGATGGGTCAGTGCCAAGAGTGACCCCATCAAATCCAGGGTTGCAGTCCAATCCTGAAATGAATCGAAAGTGGAGTTATGGGCTGGATAAGGATTGCCAAGTAGAGGCTTTATGAATACCTGATAGACATTTGAGCTTGTCTAGCTCTGGAAGGTTATTGATGTTGTCCTAGATGGGGAGAAAGATGGATCCATGCCACATTTGAGCACTTCATCTTTCTAATGCAACTAACCCTTTTCACAAAGGTATGTGGCACTGACAACAAGACCTATGACACCTCTTGCCACTTCTTTGCCACCAAATGCACTTTGGAGGGAACCAAGAAAGGACACAAGCTTCACCTGGACTACATTGGACCTTGCAAATGTGAGTTTTCATCCTCATGCTGCAGAACAAAATCTATTCAGAAGGCAACTACAGTGGTACCTCGGATTAAGTACTTAATTCATTCCGGAGGTCCGTTCTTAACCTGAAATTGTTCTTAACCTGAAGCACCACTTTAGCTAATGGGGCCTCCCGCTGCCGCCGCGCTGCTGGAGCACGACCTTTGTCCTGAAGCAAAGTTCTTAACCTGAGGTACTATTTCTGGGTTAGCAGAGTCTGTAACCTGAGGTGGGTGTAACCCGAGGTACCACTGTAATCAACATCTGCTTTCCAGATGTTGTGGCACTACAGCTCCCATCATCATTGACCATTGGCTATGCTGCCTAGTGCTGTTGGGAGCTGTATCATGACATCATCTCTAGAAAGCACCACATTGGCTACACCTAGTCTATATTCAACTATATTTTCAGAATTTGTGGCTCCGGCGTCCATGTGATCTAAGGAATAGCAAAAAACACTACATCAAGTTATGTTAGCATGGAGATCTACATATCAATGTGGGTCACAAATAAATAAGGCTTGGATAATGGGCATCCTGAAGACTGTTCATTCACAGGGGTGCACAACACTAGCACATGCTGAAAAAATAAAAACGATAAAAATAATAGTTTTAAAAAACAAAATACTTAGGTCATTCTGTGCCTGCATCATGTGCCTGCATTCATAACAGTCAAGCAACAGATTCTAGGAAATGTGCTGGGAAAACTGACCCATAGGTCAGCCCAAAGGCATGGCACCTACCATCTTGGTTACCTCAGCCATTGTGCTCACTGGTCCAATAAACCAGGAACAAACCTTGCCTAGAGCTTGTGGTTTGTCTATTGTGAGACAAACCACAAGCCTGCTTTTGGTTGTAATGCTAATCCAAACCTCAACATAGCCCCAGGTAACAAGACAAAAGCAGAACCAGGGGAGGAGCACTGTGGTTGAGATTTCGGCTCTGGGAACCTACACATTTGCTAGTCTGTGCTGTGCCGTGGCTTGGCTTAGCATTACATGTGAACTTAGTCTCTGTCAGAGAAAGGTGGCTTGGACTCCATTAATCATCTGCACCTGAAGAAGCGGAATAGCTAGGAAATGTCTGTAGGCTGCTCAGCTACAGCAACACATCTGAAAACACAACCTAGATCTCTGTCTAGCCAAGATTTCCATGACCCTGCTCACTGGTAGAGAGGTTTTATAAAGTTTCCATATTTCATTGCATGCTTCATAATTGCAGCTTATTTTGGGTGTAAGATTTCACAGGGGGGAGAAAATGACATAACCAGTTCCTCAGGTGTGATCGTCAGAGAATGCATGATCAAGATGGTTCTGCAATGTTGGGTGTTGGCCTTCAGCTTTGTTTGGTCCCTAACTATAAGGCAAACGTGATCCTCTGTATCCTGTAAATAGAAAATGGTCTATTTACCATGCTGTAAAGTTCTGCTATAGGCTTTCAGTGGATTTTGTGATGTCTCTTACATGACACCCCAGGTGACAAACAAGTGATAAAGTACTCATTCAAGAGCCTTCTCATCTCCAGCATCTTTCTACATCTATCTCTAACCACAAGCCTGTAGAATGAGACAGCTTCTATTTTGCAGGCATTGTCCTTGTCCTAGCTCAAGGTATCCACAGTTGCTTCAGTGGCTGTGATGATTTCCTGTTTCCAGGGGCTCCACTATGGATGCCTTGTGCAACTAACAATCGCTCATTTAAGCATGCAGGCAAACATGTTGAATAAATTGTAAACATATCACCAGCCCAACTTTTGAGCAGATGGAATGGAGTTAGATCAGGTCAGAACACAGAAAGTGTGGTCAAGGCGGCTTAACTGTGTTAAGTGTTGGAAGGATATTTTTATTTTCAAGTGGTCTCTAAGTTTAAGGCAAGAAGCGGCCTTTGCAGCCAACAGAAAGAAATACTTTAATATCTTCTCCTCCAGACTGGATTAACCTGATAGCTAGTAAGTCCTAGATTAATTTTAAAAAACAAACACAGACATTTAAGCACTGAACCCATGGATGGTTGATGGAGTTAGATAAATGTTTTCCTCCTGGAATGCTATTTTCTGCTGCTTGTGAAAGGCAAGCTTATACTTTCCTGTTTTGTACAAAATGAAAAACTTAAGAAGGTAAAAAGTTCAAAGACAAACAAACCTGGATCAATCCACAAGCTGTTTATTATCTCAGGTTAATCCTAAAGTTGGTTCTGATGTCAGGGTGCAGAAAGAGAGTACTGGCTTGAAGAGATTTTGGGGAGGTTTCTATGGGGATGAATGGCATCCCCATCGAAACTTGCAGAATGGGTCCCTTTTTTGCATTGTTAGCAAAAATAAAATTGTGCAAACTTTTTGAATGCAGTGGCTCTCTTTGCTATAATGCGTATCGCTATCTAATAATTTCTGTGCCGTTGTTAGGTAGAGTCAGTGTTTCATGGTTAAAGACAATAAATATGGCTTGTCCTTGACTGTAAATGAGCTAATGGGTCTCTGGTTGGGTTTCAGTCATTCCTGAGTGCCTCGACACCGAGCTGAGTGAATTCCCCCTGCGTATGCGTGACTGGCTGAAGAATGTGTTGGTCACCCTGTATGAGCGGGATGAAGACAACAACCTCCTGACCGAGAAGCAGAAACTCAGGGTGAGCTACAGCTCCACATAAACAACCATCCCCATAGCTTACATGGTGCACAAAGGTGGAGTCTTCCTATATTGTTATTTTTCATGGTTATGGATCTACCACTCCATCGCAGCAAGGCCAACACATCATATCACATCACACATGAGTGAATATAGGCAGCCCACCTGTTCAAAGAAAACACTCCCTGCCCCCAAAGTGCACCTAATATTTTTCAAGTGTATGCCTAAACATATAACATATGAATATAACAACTGTGTTTGAAAACATGTGTGTCTCACCAGCACACCCATTAGAGCCAGGATTACATCTGTAACAGATTCATACCCAGCACACACTTCTGGCAAGTCTGGTTCTTCTGACACACAATGCATGACATGACCTTAGCTGCTCAAATGTGGTGCGCAGCATGCCATTCACAAAGCCTGTCCTGTGTCACCAGCCATTGTGTGTCTTGCATTACCTTCATATGCTGGTGTATTCCACCAGATAGAAACTTCTCTTGGACAGCATGTCATGCCCCTCTTCCTGTACATTTCCGCCAGTAATTCACTGCTCTGTGGCTCTTCTTTGGCCATCTCAGGATGAAATACAAGATATTGCCCACTTTACCCCAGGAGAAAGGCTCTGATGGTAGCTTCAGACTAATTTCTTTTTTAATGCAAATTGTATCTTGATGAATAGGTGAAAAAGATCCACGAGAATGAGAAGCGCCTGGAAGCTGGAGACCACACAGTGGAACTGCTGACCCGTGATTTTGAGAAGAACTACAACATGTACATCTTCCCTGTGCATTGGCAATTTGGTCAGCTGGACCAGCACCCCGTCGATGGGTATGTACCCACCCACTTCCCTAGCCTGTGATAAACTCTAGCAGAGACAAGTCACATTCGTATTAGATCACAAGCAAAATTCTATTTTTTATAACCTTCATTAGCCCTCATCAAGCAAGGCTTAAAATAATAAATAGCCTAAGATACAAGAACCAAGTCCCTTATTTATCTTAGGTGTAAAATAGCCTGCACTCAGCTCTTTGAAAAGCTACTTTGTTAGCAGAGGTCAGAGTGGTGTTTACTATGAAAGATGGGCACCTTCCCTTACTGCATGACTGTGCCACAAATCAAGCATTTGGCTTTCAGCCTGCTAAGCAGTACATCCTTCAGATTCTCAGGATTCCTAAATTTAACTTTTAAAAACAGAAAAGGGAGTGTCTGCTGAAGGCTCTGGTATCAATGGATAGAGAGTACAGCCCATCCATTTAAAGGGCTGGTTTCAGGGCATTCTCCATCCACATAATGTCCTTCAGGTTTGGGTAATGGGATGTTTTGCAGGTCCTTCCATTTCTTAGATAAGACTCCTCCACAAAATGAGAGAGATTTCCCAAAGAACAAGATATCTTTGGTATATAAAGCCTGATCCATATGTTCTCCAAATGGCATGGTGCATCATGACTGCGTCCTGCGATGCTCCAGTAATGTACGAAATGAGAAAATCACAGGAGAAGAATGGAGCACATGGAAAGTCCCTAGATTAGTTTTTGTTTCCTTTCATACATTACTAGACTGGCAAAAGTCAGGGGGTTGGAGCAGATGCCCATTCCAGCTCTTATGATCCTATGATAGGTCACATATACAGGAAACTGGCCTCCATGAAGCTTGGATAATGTATGACTAGGAAACAGGCCTCAGTCCAATATAAAAGGGGGGAATTGCTGCCAGGCACAAGAAGAGATGGGAGCACCAGTGGCTTGAATTGCTAGCATGGATTGACCTAGCCCAAACTTAAGCCCACAGGTATGTGCTCATTGTCTTAATGGCACAATGGAGCCAGAACATAGAAGCCTTTCTATTGAATGGACATGAGAATGAGCCCCAAAATATAAAGGAAAGGTATGATTGGGTGGGAGTGGAGGACCAGAGCGAAGGGATTGTTGCCTCTGTCCTTTCTGCCAATCTAGTGAAAACTGCGGTTGATGGTAATTTTAGGGTGTTGTTGTTGTTGTGACCGCCTTGATGCTCCTTCTTTCAGGTATCTGTCCCACACTGAGCTGGCCCCACTGAGAGCTCCCCTCATCCCCATGGAGCACTGCACCACCCGCTTCTTTGAAACATGTGATCTAGACAATGACAAGTACATCGCTCTTGAGGAATGGGGCAGCTGCTTTGGCATTAAGGAGAGTAAGTATGCTGCACACCAGGGCTAAGGCATCACTGGGACTTCACTAGAGGAAAGGGGGTGGGGCTCCCAATTGCAAACATCTCCTGATGATTCCAGACCAAGAGCACTAGGGAGATACACCAGAAATAAAAGCACTTGCATAAAAGGAGCTTGCCACGCCTAACACTGCAGTCCTCTATAGGTCCGCTCAGTAGTAAATCCCACTGAGTTCCATGGGTTTTAGTCCCGGGTAAGTGATTATAGGATTGAAACCAGAGCAACTTCATAAACTAGCCCAGTTGGTGGCACACCTGATGAGCGCTGGGATCTACTCTGGAACTCCTTGACAGTCTGCCTCTTTTATTTCACTTGTACCCCAGTCTTTCTCCAAGGAATTAAAAGCAGCTTACCTTTGGTTGTCAGGCTGCCTTCGCTGTTAGACAGCTTGTGGGGATAACCCTGCTTAGCTTTGGCAGTGGGACCAGGTCAACACTCTGGTCAAGCTTAAGAGCCAGCCCACGCATTAGGTGGGGTGATGTAGCTGCCTCAGGTGGCAGAAATGCAAGAGGCAGCCACCGAAAAAGCAACCCAGGTAAGTGAAGTGGTGGTGGCAGGGCAGCACAGTATTGTGATGCACAGCTTTGCTGCTGGGGAGCCCCTAAGGGTGGAGAGAGGCCTTCTGCAGAACGCCTTACTCGCAGTGAGTCTCAGTGAGAGGGAGGTGTTTAAGAAGCCCTTGCGGGGTTTGCCCCTCTCCCTGCCCAGTGGCAAGGCTTTGAAAGGGCTCTTGCTTGAGGGGAACCCCTTCCGCAGCCTCACACCCCCACCATGGAGGCATTAGCAGGATGTCTCAGGTCACCCCTACCAAGCACTCAGTGCTATCTCTTCCCTCAGTAGGGCTGTATCCTGCAGAGAACTATGGCCCCATCTGCACTGTACATTTAAAGCAGCATCATATCACTTTAAACAGCCATGGCTTGCCCCAAAGAATGCTGGGAACTGTAGTTTGTGAAAGGTGATGTGAATTGTTAGGAGACCCCTATTCCCAGAGCTGCAGTTCCCAGAGTTCCCTGGAAAGATAAATTAATTGTTAAACCACTCCTGGGAATTGCAGATTTCTGAGGGGAATAGGGGCCTCATAACAGGATGTGGAAGAAACATCAACAGGCAAATGGGGCAGCTGGTTTGGGCAGGGGTGGTCGGCTGGGCTGGCAGGCAGGGATTAAGGGTGGATTTTTCAATAAACACTCACATACATATTGGGGAATAACACTGTGCAGATTCACGTACAACGTGTTCTTACACCATGTCTTTCTTCTTCTTTTGCAGAGGATATTGACAAGGATCTCGTGATCTAAATTCAGCAGCTTCTGCTTCTGTTACCTACAACTCCCATGTTTTCTTTTCTTTTTTTTAACAATTTGGGGGTTTTTTGGTTGTTTTATCGGGGACAAGGTGCTAATATAGATCTAAACTTATATATTAACGGTGCTAAAAGAAAAAGAGAAACAGAAAATTGTTAGTAGCCTAATCTATACCACTAGATTACTCTGCTCACGCACTCATCTGTGTGTTTCTGTTGACCTCTTGATTCGATAATATCAGTACAGTGAAACAAATCCGCTTCTGTTCAAAGTATTGACCCCCTTCTCCTGGCCCTCTCTTTTCTAACTCTTTTTTTTTTTTTAAGAAACAAAATCTTAACATGTTTTTGGCTATTTAACTCTCAGGCTAAGGACCTCCAGACCAATTTACTCCCTAATTTCTAGAAGGCAAGTAAAGGAAAGTGTACCAAAAAGGGTGTTGGGAGACTGGGCTATAAAAAGTCAAGTAGTGGGACAATTGTTTTATGAAAGTTTAGGAGATCCAGATTTCAGTTACTTAGTAGGATGGAAAAAGCGTACAGATGGGTAAGGTCTACAAAATCCAAAATGGTGACTTTATGAATTCTGCGGTTCTTGAATCTGGCACCAACTCACCTGAAAGGAATGATTACAAGAGAGCAACTGAGATGCAAGGGGGGAAAAACGAAGTCTTGTTAACTCCCACCTTTTAAAATAAAAAGTAAGAAAATTCTACCTGCTTCATTGCTGCGCAGTGACTGTATTCTTTGTTGTTGTCTTTACCATGCTTTTAAAGTTAGATTTGGTGCTTATCTGTGTTTGGTGGTGCTTATTTTTCTTTTCGTAGTCTTTTTCCCTGCTGTGGTTTGTTTGTCACTGAAATCCATTCTGAGGAGCAAAAGCACATATCCCTAAGCCAAGTCTTTCCCTCCTAGTCGTCTGTGGTCATTCTAAAATGACCTCCGAGGAATAACACTAGGCCTGTTCATATGATAAGCTGGATGCGTGTACAAGCATTCTCTACACAGGTACAAGTCAGGCCACACACGGACTGTTACACTGAATGTAACAAGCAAGTGTCCACTCAATTGTTTGTGCACACACATTGAACATAACATATGAGCACCCCTTTGGCACGTGATGGTTCTACTCATAGGGAGTAGATGAATAAACATTTGCATTTGGGTTGAGAAAACTCAGGGGAAGTATCTTCCTAATAAGAACATCTTCAGTAGCAACAAATAGTTAGGTCTCATAGGCTGGGAAGTCACTTTTATTTCTTAATGTACTCTGTACATCTTAGTTGTACAAAAATGTTGCTGCAGTGTGAGCAATGAGGAATTTTCTCAAACAAACAAAAAAAGGAGCTATTTGAAACCACCACGCTATATGAGATAAAAAAATGAATCTGTAGTCCTCAGTATATTACTAGTGACCCTCATCTCAGCAGGGTCACTTCCAACTGTCTTCTGGGAGCTGAAATTCTAGTGTTTGAAAAAAGCCATTTATCCTAGATTTGATCATTTGACACCTTTAGTAAAAAAGAAGGACATATATCTACAGGTGAGCATGGCACTGAAGTATGGGCTAGAAGATTAATCAGTTCTATGCCAGTCCTGTTGAATAAAGGTGAGATCTTAGGCCCTGGGAGGTTACGTCTTAATGTACAATCTATATTCAGGATTTGAATTGGTTGAACAGTGATTTCTGTAACCCATGAACCCTGGGAACTGGTTTTTTTAGGTGGCTAGAGACTTCAGACATAGAATTCTCTGCTCCTGTACCAAGCTATTATTCCCATGACACTTTGGGAGAAGCTGTGATAGTTAAATTAACACAAAATATTTAGTCTGCTTGCAAAGTGCTCCCCTCTTTCTACCCTGCTTTCAATGAACAGACCACAAACTGTTCAGTAAGTTTAAAATGCTTGAGAAATATTCCAAAGGTCAGATTCATGCCTTTATCCAAGCAGCAGCAAAAAGAGCTCAGGCAGAATACTCTTGGATAGAAGATACAGAAAGATTGCTTCAAACACATGCTCTAAGCTTGGAGCAAGGCTTAGACATCCTTCTTGGTCAGTTGCATGGTGTGGAGAGAGACTAGGAAGAGATGGCTTCACTTCCTCTCTCATTGGTGGAGGAGCAGTGGGAGCTAGCCGAGGCTAGTCCAGCTCTATTGTTTTGACCCCTTCATGCACTAACTAGCACTCATGCATAGTTATGTTTGACTGCAATTTCCCATAATCTGCTTCCAGGGGATGTGGTGATGGCCAACAACTTGGATGCCTTTAAAAAAGGATTCAATGAGGTTACGTTTATCAATGGCTGCTAGCCATGATGGCTATGTTCTACCTCCACTGTCAGAGGCATTTTCCAGGAATCGCAGATGAGTGGACAGGCATCTGGCTGGCCACCATGAGAACATGATGCTGGACTAGGTGGTCCTTTGGCCTGATGCAGCCGGGCTCTTCTGAGGCTCTTATGTTCCACTTCAGTCATGGCAACAGGAAGCACAACTTTTCTTGCGCTTCCTGCTTTGCCGCTTATGTCATGAAAAGTCACTCCAGGAGGGTGGGCACACACAAACCCCGTAATTCACACAGGGTTTCATCTCATGTTCTCCAGCCTTGGGCTTTCATGCATGCTAAGTGGCCCTGGAAAGGAAAACAAACCCCAAGTCATAAATACAGGAGATTGGTTATTTTGGGCAGTGCAGAATCCCAAAGCATTAGCTTAGAACTCCCATGACCGCAGGAAACCATGATGCCACTACTAGTTAGTTGAAGGCATAAAACTGTCAGGGCTCATTTCCGCCCAGCGACATCAACTCCAGTTTTCCATGTGTGCTGCATTCTGAACACCAGGACTCTCCTAGGTGTCTCTGAGGAATCAATTCACTAAGTCTCTGTAAGCTTCCACACTTGAAAGTTGGATCCAAGTAAGTTATACTCAGAGTAGATCTAAGTTTGTCATGTCCATTAGTTTTAATGAGTCTACTGTGAGTAGGACTACCACAGACTATGAACTTGGGGTAGGGTTCGCTAAGTTGTGGGTAAATATATATGACCCTAAAGAAGATAATGTATAAGGCTTATATTAAAATGGCTGGTTGACACCACAGCACTGCACATCTCTGAGAGACAGATCAAAACAGCCCCAAAGTCTTCATGATTCCCCTCCTTCCTCCAGTTGTAAATCCAATACACAAAATAATTGACAATTTGTTACCTTTCCATGGTACCCCATCCAAAACTGTTGTCTGAGGTGGCTGCTCCACCTTGCCTAACATTAGGGCCATTCCTGGCATCTCTTCAGCTAAGTACGGGAACCCTTGTTAGAACCTCAAAAATTCAACCAGCCATGAATAAACCATTCAGCCAGAAATGTTTGTGGGATTGTATCAGTGTCCTGAATCAACAAGCTGCTGCATCAGCAACTAAATATTTTGGATGAAGGGATACTGCCTGTAATCCTCAGCCATCATGAAGATCATATTATGGTTGCCAATTATATTGTGCCAGGAGCTATCATCTCCAGATACGATGCAAGCAATGGCACACAACTGAGTGGAGTAGAAGCAAAACAATAGCAGAAAATATGAGACCCACTTAAGGATGACTCATCTGTTTTATAGATAAGCAGCCAAGACTCACTACTCTTGCTTATAGCTAAACTGCACCATGTTTTTCAACAGTTACTTATCTGCAGAATTAGGATGGTAATTTGTAAGCCTTGGGATGACATCTGCTCCAGAATTAGAAGGGCACAGGTGGTGTTCTTCAGCTTGGGGTGTATTTCAACAGCACCAATTCATCATCCATAATATGGCTAGGTTGAGTGCAATGGACCCTTGCAGGAAATTGGCTGGATACTGAGACAGGGCAACATAGCTTGCATATTTGCAACATAACTTGCATATCAACAACCCTCATTTCAGTATGTTTATCATTCCGAGGCTCTACAAATCAAAAGCGTTTAGCTCTCGACAGAGCTGATATCATTTGAGTGATAAGCTGAGCAGGGTGAAATTAAGCCATGTTCAGTGGTAGGACTGAGATTTGCCTGCCATTCTGTTCTGTTTTTAAGGGCAATCTTGGTCCTCTTTGCAGCTGAGTGGTCCTAAGATGCAGTCAATGGTTCTCAAAGGGGGTTTTCGTCCCTCAGACCACTCAAAAATTGCTGGTGGTCTTAGCGGATCACTCCCTGCCAGACACACACATATCAATGCACATTTTAACAACCTCTTTTCTTCAGAGGCAACATCCTCATAATCAAAGCAGGGTTGCATTGTGGAAATCACAGGCCAAAGACTACATTAACATTTTTTTTGTGAATGTCTCAGGTCCTAGGCCAGGCCCTTGGTCAAAAGGAGCCTCAATCGCAATAATCTGAAAAAGCATCAAACGCAGGGTCAAGTAGAAGTATTCTTGACTATGCGCTAGACTATCTGAATGGAGCACACAGATCACCATTTATTTGAGAACCTCCAATAAAGACAATATAGGTCGACTTAATTTGATTATTGATGTGACAGATAATATTTGTTTTGATTTAGGAGTTAACCTGATTCCTGCATGCTAAATAACATCTAAAGCAGAACAAGGTCCATATGTTCTTTTCCCTCTTGATCTGGATAAAAATTTGTGGTGCACTACTGAAGAGCTAATGCTAGTAAGAAACTCTTCTGTTTACCAGACCTCAAATTACACGAGGGGGCAGAGGAAGCCCACTCCCCTTCTAAGCTATTGGATTGTATCCAAGGTTAGTTATACTCAGAGAAGACCCACTGAAATCATTTCAACAGATCTGCTTTGAGGGTGACTTAATTGGATACCACCCACAGCTTTTAGAAGGCTATGAGGCACAATTCGGTTAAAACGGGGGGGGGGGGGGGGAGTCAGAGAATGCTCATTTTATGAAAAGTGCCCCCCCATCTTCCCCCTCACACTTTTAGCCCTGCTGTCTGCACAAGCATTCAGCCACCATCTTTTGTTATTACATGTAACCTGCTTTCAGGTAAGGTGTAGCCCACAGAGATAAGGCGTTATATGTTAAAACAAAGAAGTAAAGAGATGCCATTACAAAGTTCATTAGAAAAGGCAAACACAAAAGACAGGCATGGATTGACATGGAGCAGCACACTCAAACGGGTGCAGTGAACGAGTCTTGAACTCTACACATTGAAGTCTAGAGTAGTAGCAAGGCCAGTACAGGTTGCTGGGCAATGTTGGAGTGCAGCTAGAGACCATCTCGGTTTCCTGTTCCTGTTCCTCAGACCATAGCAGCCTCCTGTTCCTGTTCCTCAGACCATAGCAGCCCTCCTCAGTTCCACCTCAAGAAACCCCTCAGAGGCTTCCATCTGGGTCCAGATAGTTCAATCGTGCAGTCATGGGTTCTCTCCAGTTTAAAAACTGGCATGGATGTTGAGGAGGGTCACAAAGAAAAACAAAGCGGGATAGGAGATCTGTCCCTTCCTCTCCCTCCATGCACACTCCCACTGCTGACTGAGGAATGGAGGAAAGGAAATGCAGACAATGGATGAGAGCGATCGCGTAACCTGCTCACCAGTTGCTCCCTCACATCCTAGGGCTCCCTCCTTATCTCCATCAGCAGTCAGAACAAGGGCAGCATTCCATCCGATTGAGCACAGTCTGCATCTCTCCCAGAGTCCAAGCTAATAACAGCCTACCAGACAGGCTCCTTCCCTCACTCCACACACACACACCCCGCCAGTCGATGAAAACCTTGCCAGGCGTCTGCACCCCACTCCCTCCCTCCTTCCTTGGCTGCTCCTGGGTCGGCCTGCCTCTGAGGAAAAAAAAATGGGAGAAGCAAGCAGCAGCATGGGAGGAAGCTGAAGAGGTCCCCCTGGTGGATTGAGGAGAAAAAGGTTCTGAATGAGAGCGAGGTGTAATTTTGCTGGGCCAGAGGGAGGCAATTTCAGCTTGATGACAATTGCATTAACAGTTGGAGTGAACATGGACATTGTGAGGTTGGCGGGGCAGAAAATCGGGAGGGAGAAAGAAAGGGGGCAGCAATTTTTAATTCTTTTGCTTAGTGCATTTGCAGAGCTCCCCAACCTATCCTCACAACACTGACACAAAAACTCTGCAAATGCACTAAGCAAAAGAGTTAAAAATCGCTGCGCCTTTTTTTTCTCCCTCCCCCTTCTCTTCCCGATTCTCTCCCTCGCCGACCTCACAATGTCTATGACAGCAGCGTCTCACGCTGAATGCAACTGACCTGTAGAAAGGACTCTTAACTATGAAACCCCTTTAATAAAAATAACTTTTTAAAAAACAACAGTTTAGATGAATTTCAACACCAAGCAACTTCTCCGAAAATGCCAGTTGCATAGATTTTCAGTTCTGACTCCCCCCCCCCCCCAGTCTCAGCATTGTGATTGTTGATTAGCAACAAGGATTTGGTAATAATTCAACACCACTTGAATGAAACAAAAAACCAAAACACTGTGTTTTGTATTGGGTGCATGATGGTGGGTAACTGATGCACCACAAAATAGTTGTAACTGTGGATATTACACTCAGTGTCTGCACAGTCAAGAATGGTATCCCTACTGAGCTGGGATAGGAGAATCTTGGATTAGACAGCGACCTCCAAAATCATCCAGCCCAGCCCCCTGCTGAAATCCTCTGCCACAGCAGCCCTGATAGGTAACCATCCAACCTTTATTGAAATACCTCTGTCTCAGTGCCATGCATTCCTGATTTAAGAGGTGCAAGAGGCACCACAAGTCTAACTTCCTCTCACATTGGATCTATGGCAGTTTAAACTAGGAACTTCGCAGCTCACAGTCACCTGATTTGCTGTGCACAAATCTGAACCATGAATCTGTCTAATACCGAGTCTGACCGCAGTGGTTCATTTCTTCCAGCCTTGTCTGCTGTGATTGATAGTGACTTTCTAGGTCTCCCATAATTTGCTATCCTTTTAGCTGGTGATGCCAGAGCTTGAATATTGGACCTTCGGCATGCAAAGCCGTGGCCCCTCCCTAATCTCCGAAGAGGAGTAATGCAGCAGTTTTGCCTTTTCGCCCCAGATGGCCACAAGATGTCAGCAAACAGCTAAAAATGCATCTAACGAAGTGGGCTTCTTTGTCTTTGTGTATACTTCATGTACAGTTTGTTAAATCGAGCCTAAAAGCAGATGAAAGGTAACTCAGAACAGAAGGGACATAGCAGATGAGGAAAGGAGGAGCAGAATAGAAAGAGAACACTAATGGAGCAAAAACTGGAGCTAGAGTAAACGGCAACATGTACACAGCATTCCTAGCTGCCACTGAAAATTCCTCCTCCTGAAACCCAAAGATTATAATAGCATATGAAGGAGAAAATGCTAATGCCTTTTCAGGCTGACATGGTGCCTAGCACAGCAAATCCTCCTTTCCCCCAACATGTGGAAGACAAAGGTAGGAGGTGTGCAGCCAGGCATTCCACCCCATTTGTGCCTTGGTTTTACGGGACGAATTTCACATCTCAAGTGCAAAGGCCATCTTCTCAGACTTCGAGTAATGGCAGTGCATTGTGTTACATTGTCCCAGATTTCCTTCTGATGTGCTGTGCAAATCACCAGACTCATTCAGATGCCTTGATCACGAACGGTCCTCACACAGAGAATGGAAACTCTGAAGGCAAATATGCTCTTGCCACTGCGTTTTATGCAGCCTTCAACATAAGGATCAGGAAAACTAACAAAGGAAAGACAAAAGTTAACAGAAGGCAGGTGTAGGTTGTTTGAGGCCTGGGTGTGTTGAAGGGTGTGGAATTTGTGTGAGTGGAAGTGTGTTGAGTGAGTGGAATCTATTTGATGGGTTTTGAGGTTTTATCAGGGCACTGGGATAGTATAGGGGAGCTGGAGAAAGAGAATGGTTGCAACTGTCAAGAGCAGGTTTCATTGTTTACTAGCATTTTGAGAGTTAATTTCATTGGCCCCTATTATGTTCTAATGAATTACTGGATGCTTTTTTATAGAATCATAGAACTGTAGAATTGGAAGGTACAAAAAGGGTCGTCTAGTAGGACTCCCTGCCATGCAGGAATCTTTTGCCCAAAGTGGGTCTCAAACCCATGACCCTGGGATTAAAAATCTCATGCTCTATGGACTGAGCTACCACTTCAGTCTGTTTGATAAAACTCATTCACTGCAGGTTTTCAAGCAGAGGTCAGGTGGTCATCTGTCATGGATGCTTTAGATGAGATTCCTGCATGACCCTCAGGGTCCCTTCCAACTCTACAAATCTATGATTCTATGATAGAGCATCTCTTTTACGTGAAGAATGTCCTTGGTTCAATCTCCAGAAGACTGCTAGCCAGCCAGCTAGATGGACCCATGGTCTGACTCTCTTGCCGCGATCTGCTTTATCATTCCATATACAGTAATGTAAAGGTAAAGGGACCCCTGACCAGTCCAGTCGTGACTGACTCTGGGGTTGCGGCGCTCATTTCACTTTATTGGCCGAGGGAGCCTGCGTACAGCTTCCGGGTCATGTGGCCAGCATGACTAAGCCTCTTCCAGTAAACCAGAGCAGCGCACGGAAACGCCATTTACCTTCCCACCCGAGCAGTACCTATTTATCTACTTGCACTTTGATGTGCTTTTGAACTGCTAGGTTGGCAGGAGCTGGGACTGAGCAACGGGAGCTCACCCCGTTGCGGGGATTTGAACCACCGACCTTCTGATCGGCAAGCCCTAGGCTCTGAGGTTTAACCCACAGCGCCACCCACGTCCCTTCCATATACAATAGTGTGTTATTTAATTTTGCTGCTGGGTTTCCTTTGATCTGCAACCTTTTTGGATGAAACGCAGCTAGTGAGATTGAGCTTATTGATTGGTTGAGTGATATATGGGTTCAAAAGGAGTGTAGACAAGTTCACAGAGGAGAAATATATTCATGGCTATTAAAGGTACCCCTGCCCGTACGGGCCAGTTGTGTCCGACTCTAGGGTTGTGCACTCATCTCATTACTCATGTATAAAACCTCTGTGTACAAGAGCAGTTGGCATTGCATAGCCATTAGTTGGAGAGCAACAGCAGGAAAGAGATGTTGCCCTTGTGTCCTGGAGGCAGGACACTCTGAGAAATGGGATGCTGGATTAGACAAGCCTTAGTAGAGTAGAGCCCCGCTGGATCAGGCCAAGGGCCCATCTAGTTCAGCATTCTGTTCTCACCGTTGCCAACTAGATGCCACTAGGAAGCCCGCAAGCAGGACCTGAGCACGACACCACTCTTGGGATTCTCAGCAACTGGTGTTCAGGGGCAGACTGCCTCCAACAGCCAAGGGAGGAGGGCGGGGAGGGACAACAAGACAAAGAATACTGCATACAGCTGCAATTTAAGTTAACAGAATATGTACAACTTGCAGACTTAACATATAGAATAAGATAACAAGAACATACTTTTAAAGAAGATTGGAAAACATTTATTGACTATATAGGAAATAATGGTGTACAGCTGAAAGCGCTGGCAGCATTAAGATTAATTCAACAGCGTAAATAAGTTTTGATGGATGCAATAATGGAATACTGAATGGTATAGTTTTTGTAAAATATGCAGGGATTTATGATATGTAAAATGAACCATGGGAAGAGAAGAAGGGAAGTCACTGATATCTTAAGGATGTAAAGTGAGCATTTTAAATTGTAAAACAGAACATTTAATAAAAAGTGTGTGTGTGTGTGTGTGTGTGTGTGTGTGTACTTTTGTCCATTTACTGTATTTATGTTTCCTGATTTGAACTATAAAATGGTGATTTTCTTGAATCAAAATGAGAGTACCCCTAAACATTTTTTAAAGGAAAAAAGCACTGTGTGTGTGTGTGTGTGTGTGTGTGTGTGTGTGTGTGTGTGTGTGGCTGGTTATTTTGCAGCATTAAAGCCAGGGTTTAAACAGGCAGCAAGCAGTTGTGTGTTCTGAGCAATTGCAATGCTTAGTATCAGGGTGGGAGTGAGGTGCTGAGTAGAATATGACTGGATGAAGTGAACATACAGCAATACAGGATGAGCACTCTCCATTCCCCACACGGGGTGGATACCCAACCCTCATAGTTCTGAACTTCAAGGTGAAACTGCCACTATACCAGGTGTAATCTCTCAGTTGGTTAATATGCACATGCCTGCACAAACACACATATATAGCACTAAACTCTAAGCTGCTCTTGGAGTACAAAAGATCCTTTGCTGTTAGCACAGGGCAAGCTACGACTGTGGCTGGCTTTCTCGCTGTCTCGCCTCTGGCTGCACCTTTAACATGTGTGGGCACAACCTTAAAGAATCCGCAGAACACAAGCAGCTGCTGAGTCCCACGCTGGAAGAGAGGGCACACTAAGGACCTATGAAGAGCCTGCTGGATCAGGCCAGTGTCCTTTCTAGTCACAGTGGCCTCCCAGATGCCTGGGGAAAACCTGTAAGCAGGATTCGAACACAAGAGCACTCTCCACTCCCTTGGTTCCTACTTTCAATAGAAGGGCTGCGAACTATGACCCTAGGAGTAGGGATGAGGGGTAAATTCAATTCAATTCACATTTAAAGCCAAATTTATTCAATGTGCACTTTCTGAAATAATGTGAGAACAGCCATCCTTTTGAAATTCACACTGATCCGAATTTCATGATGCAGTTGCTTACAAAAATGCATACATTGGGTAGAAGTGTGCATAAAAATGAATATATTAGCAACAATAACATACAGAAATGCATTATATTAGGAGAAACTGCTTGCAAAATTGTGTACATTCATCAAAACTGCGTACAGAAAAGTGTTTATTGGGAGACATTTGCACTAAAATGCAGGAGGATTTCCAGGAGGATTTTTTTAAAAAATGAAATTTGCAGGGTGCAGCAGAAATGTGGAAAACCAAATTTAAGTTTGGAAAAATGAAAACTGAAAGAACCAAAATTGGTAGGTTCTTCCCTCCCTCCCTGGGAGTAAGAGACCCTTACTTCTGTGGCACAGGGTGGCAGTGGAAGCATCTCAAGCCTAGGGCTAGGCTAGGCCACTTCTAAAAAGGCAAGGACCAGCATGCTCGAGTGATTCTTTTAATGCCTTTTAAAAAATGGAGCTATGAAGGAGGCAAGGGTCATCAATTTCAAAAAGGTGGAGGAGGAAGAAAAAGAAAAAGAGGGAAGGGAGTCATTGGAACGATTAGAAGTCAAGCAAAACTTGGTATATTAATGTGTCAGGAACCGTTTACTAGCCCTGAGTAAATAGCAATAATAATGTCATAATGTAAATAATGTCATAAGCTGCTGTGACTGTGTTTTAAAGATGTTGACTCTTTTTCATTCTTTCAAAATGTTACAGCAAAACATTTCCTTTCATTCCTTGTTTACCCATGCCATAAATACATGCAAAGCACACAAGTTTTCATTCCTCCTTGTTTGCTAACAAGTTCCCTCTTGTTTGTTTGTTTCTTAAGCCAGCCGAAAATGTTCTTGTTCCCATGCTTTCTAATTTGTTGAGATTTTGTTGCATCTCATCCTCTGCCCCTTCGACAGTCAAATGATGATTGAGCAGCTCTTGCAGACATGACTCCACCTGCTTCAAATTTTTGCCTCAAACGCTATTATTATTATTAATAATATTATTATGACTATTACCATCTAGTTTTATTTCAGAGGTGCTGGATCACAGAGGTGCTGGATCACAACTCCCAACAACCCTGACCATTGGCCATGCTAGCTGGGGCTGATGGGAGTTGTAGTCCAAAACCTCTGGAGGGCACCACGTTGGCAATCCCTGTTCTACATATCTCGTGCTTTACAGAGAACAGGTCTGGCAAGTCCTTACCCCAAGGGAGCTAATTTTTAAAAAGACATGAGGGAAAGAGTAGAGGAACTAGAGGCAGGGGAAAGATGCTATTATTTCAGGTACACATACATAGTTACAATAGGTTAGGTGTGGGGAAACTGAGGTCTTCCACGTGTTGTTGGACTACAACAACAGGCATAGGCAAACTCGTCCCTCCAGATGTTTTGGGACTACAACTCCCATCATCCCTAGCTAACAGGACCAGTGGTCAGGGATGACGGGAGTTGTAGTCCCAAAACATCTGGAGGGCCGAGTTTGTCTATGCCTGGTCTATGAGTAGTCAGGGATGGTGGGAATTGTAGTACAGCAGCACTTGGAGGGTCACAGGTCCCTTATCTCTTCAGTGGAGTATTAGCACCTGGGAGTTGTTCCAGAGGACAGATGTTCATATGATTAAATCATGTCTGACCTTTTTAAAAAAATCCCTCTTTATATCTTGCTTTCCTTTCCTATTAAACAAACAAAACCATACTGAACATGATAGCTGAAGGTCAGTACCATTGATAGGGTACTAAGGAACACACCTGTTTGAAGAAGAGGTCTCACCAGCATTGCAGCTAAAGAAAAATCCCAACTCTGGCATGGATAACTGGGAATAGCTCGTTTGTATGCAAGAATGTGTGTCGTTGTTTAATTATACATGCCCTATAAAAATCTCTGGGGGGAGCTCTTCACAAACAGAGGCATGCCAGTAACGGAATCCTTCAGATATGCTGAAAACGGACTCCTTCTATTGCATTTCCACCCATTTATCTTCAAATACAAGATTTCAGAAAAAGAAGTGAGGACTTCCCCTTCTCCTCCAATGCCATTTTAAAACACATAGGCATATTTATTAGTAGTAGGGTCTCTTAAAACCCATGGGGATTTTCACATAAAGGCATTTCACTTGGGTTGTAAGAAGAGCCTTGATCATTCTAACCCTCAAACTACGATCACTGAACATATAGAGGTAAGACGAGTTGATGCATTCTTCCCTGTCCTGATCTCTTCTGTGCACTGAACATTCTGTGGAAGGCATGTATGGACTTTTACATGCATGCAACTATATGCAGCTTCTTCCACTTATCAGGAGCTTTGCGCCATCACAGTTCTAAATTGCACTTACAAAGCAAAGGATTGTGTCCATGTGCAGCTCCATTCACACCTTAGATGCATGGGAAGGGGGCCAGGAAACACAGGCAGTTGCCTTATACTGTGCCAGCCCCTTGGTCCATCTAGCTCAGTATCATCTATTCTGTCCAGGGTTCAGACAGGCAACATTCCCAGTCCTACCTGGAGATGCCAGGGATTGAACCTGCAACCTTCTGCATGCA